AACGTGCCTGACCTCGTTCAATGTGCAGAAGCTACCATCATGTGTCCTTATCTTGATCGAGCTTGTCCCAACCACTTTGCAGACAGAACTGTTGGCCATCGAAATGCTCCCTCCGTCTACCTGCTCATAAGTCGTGAACCACTCTCTCCTTGGACAAATATGATAGGATGCCCCAGAATCTAGATACCACACATCTGAGTGATGAGTGTTTTCATCAGCAACTAAGGCAATGTCTTCTTCAGAGTTGGTGTCTTCTTCAGCAACAGCAGCAGAAACTGATTGTTTTTCGGATTGCTTCTTCTTCTTTGGACAATCAAAGTTCCAATGCCCCTTCTCCTTGCAGTAATTACAGACATCATCCGGCTTTGCACCCTTTGACGACGGCTTTCTCTCCTTCTTCTTTCCGCCGTGTTTCTTTCCCTTTCCGGTACTGGTGAATAGGCCGGAAGGTTGTACATCTGTACTTGTGCCGTTAGCCTTATGCCGCAATTCCCTGCTATGAAGGGCCGATCTAACTTCTTCCAGAAACACAGTATCTTTCCCAACAATGAACGATTGAACAAAATTTTCAAACAATATTGGGAGAGATACCAACAGAATCAGGGCAGCATCTTCATCCTCGATCTTCACATCGATATTACGCAATTCTAATAACAAAGTATTTAATTGCTCTAGATGTTCCCTGAGTGGTGTACCTTCAGCCATTCGTAAACCGAATAGACGTTGTTTCAGAAGTAGCTTGTTGGTTAAGGATTTCGTCATGTACAGACTCTCCAACTTCAACCACAAACCAGCAGCAGTCTCCTCGTCTGAGACCTCCGTGATAACGTCATCTGACAGACACAACATGATCGTCGAGTGCGCCTTCTCTTCCAGAGTCGCCATCTCAGGAGTAGCGACGGCGTTTTTGTCTTTCGACAACGGCGCCCAGAAGCCTTGTTGTTTCAACAAAGCCCGCATCTTGATCTGCCATAAACTGAAACTGTTCCTCCCTGTGAATTTGTCGATTTTCACGTTCAAAGCAGACATCTCGAAATTCTCCAAGAACACAGATTAACCTGGCTCCGATACCAGTTTGTTATGCGGAAATCGTGAATAACAGATATAAACGAGAAAACACAACAACAGATCTAACGTGGTTCAGCAACGTTGTGTTGGCTAGTCCACGGGGAAAGAGGGGGAGCAGTTTTATTTCTGATGGAGAGGCAAAAACAGAATACAGAATACCACACCTAGGGTTTGTGGTAGCACCCATATATATAGTGCTTAGCTAAACCCTAACAGACTTGGGCCCCAAACTATAGAGTTAACAGATAATTAGAAAGCCCAATAGAGGTAGGGTTCGGATCTCTCAAGATTCGTATTTCTCGGAATTCGGATTTCTCAACTTCTCCGGAATTCGGATTTCTCAGAAGCCAGACTTCTCCGGATTCTGACTTCTCCGGATTTGGACTTCTCCGGATTTGGAGCTGTAACAGATCAGATTCAAGGCATTACAACAAACTATATGAAATTTAATCATCACTTACTTTAAATTTGCAATTCATATGAATACAATGAAATAAATATCTGATAGTTTTGGGAAAGATAAATCAAATGAAAATCATTTTTGTACAAATACTCAATACAATTTGTCATTTAACAGATGATCAAAGGGGAGGTAATACGTGGTTAGGTAGGTTACAATGATACATGATAAACTCGGCTCTTATGAATCCATGAATCGTAAATGATAGATACAAATTACAAATCGGAATAAAAAAAGGGAGGGGAAGAAGAAGAAGAGAGATACGGAGATGGAACAAACCGGCCAATGTCGTAACACGATAGAGCTGGCCGTTGAGGCCGCCGATGGCGAGCCTTCCGAATCCTTCGGCTCGAGCGGCCATAGATCGGAGCTTAGAGTCGACGTCGGAGTATGGCAATGCCGCCGCCATGGTGTTTCTCGCTCAGGGGATATCTGCTTCTTCCCGGTGACGGGAGCTTTCATTGCGCGAGATTTTTTTTTTCTTTTTTATGGATGGGCGGGGACATCTCGATAATTTCGCTCCCCGCGTATCTTTTCCTAACAACTTCTAAATTTTGTTCTTGTTTTTGAGTTTTTAATTCTTAGCCGTCAACAAAAAAAATTGGGACAGAAAAGTTCAAAATTCTTATTTAAAGTATTTTAGACAGAAATTACTATTATGAGTTGTGCTTCCATAATGTTTATAGAAATCACCCTAAATAGGACTAAAACATAGAGAAAAATATCAAAATAGTACTTTCATGTTTTTATCCTGAAATAAAACTTTGCACTGTGATAATGTACGTGACAGTGTACATGTGCACATTACTATAATTTTTTGGTAATGTATATGACCATGTTTGATAATGTAAGTCTTATTTCGGGAATAAAAACATGGAAGTCCTATTTTGGTATATTTTCAATGTTTTAGTCTTACTTTGGTCTTTCTCTCTAATGTTTACGTGTGAAATAAAAGTTTTCTCACATTTTTAGTGGACCGGCATGTGAATCTTTCATTTTTTCAAGATTCCAATCCATATTTAAGCTTTATATATTAAGGTCTGTAAAATGCGTGTAATTCTGTAAAATACTAAGGTTCTAATTAACTCCGCGTTCATCTAAGATCCGTAAAATAAGTTGTGGAACTTTGCTTCTGTCTTAATAACTAATTAATAATTTTTAATTAATTAATTTTGATAGGTCGGATTTCGGGGTGTTACACCTACAACAGCAACAGAGGAACTGTCGCCTAGGGTGGTCGCTGCCGCTAGTCCGCTACTGTAGAGCCGCCGTCATCGCCACCGCCACTTTTAATTCATCTGTCGATCGATGCCGCGTGCTTCAATTCATCGCACCTAGGGTTCTGTGTCACTCTCCCCTTCGATCGATGCAACACATCCCCTTCGATCCAATTGCTGATCCAATTAGTTTTGTTTGTTCGGTTCTTCCCGTATAGCCGAGTAGCCGAGTGTAGAGTATAATTTGCGAAGCATGAATTTTATTCCCTCCGTCCCAGAGTATTTGTCCACTTTCATTTTTACACACCCTCTAATGCACTTTTTTAATCCATTTTATCTTGTAATTTGTATATTAAAAAATTATAGAAATTATATATTAATAATCTATATGTTAAGACAAATCAAACAAGATCACACATGACTATATTTAGGCTTACACATTGAGAGAATTTGATAAGTCAAAGTGCTTAGATGAACAGTTCCAAAAGTCAAAAGTGGACAAAAACTGGGGGACGGAGGGAGTAATTAGATTATCTTTTTTTTTAATTCTACAAAAGTAGAAACATTTCATCCATCCAAAAAATATTGTCTCATTTTGAACACCTTGTAAAATTTTATATTTTTTATTCTTTTTTTACAGTTTGGTATATAAATAAAAAGATTAATTATATATTTCAAAACTACATTAAAAGTTTTATAAATTAGACGTGACAAAAAAATTATCTTATCAAATATATAATTAAAATACACATATAACAAAGTTTATTAGAAAGTCAGAATAATAAGTGAGACGATATTTCTTGTATGGGAGTAAAAAACTACTTTCTATATCTCGGATTTATTGTATTAGTTTGACTTCAAGAATTTTAAGAAAAATGTTGAAAAATAAAATATGAGTAGTTGAAATATGTTTAGACGGACGATAAAGAATTATGGGTCACATAGTTTTGTTTTATTAAAAAGACGGAAATTAAATTACCTTAAATAAGAGTAAAGCATAGAAAAAGTACTAAAATATGAGCTTCGTGTTTTTATCCCTAAAATATGAGTTTACATTGTGGTATAGTAATCTGACATTGTATATGAACATTTTACAATACTTGTTGGTACTTGGTAATGTATATTGTCATGCATGATTGACACTGTAAATGCATTTTTTTAACTTCTATTTTGAGAATAAAACATAAATTCATATTATAATATATTTTTTAATATTTTACTCATACTTTAATCTTTTTCAATTAGAAAAGTAAGTATATATATGAAGAATGGAAACAATTTATTTGAGATTAACACATGCAATAGCAAAATAGGGCGATTCATATAGAAGCAAGAGAGAAATGAATATAAATTTGATGGATGAGGTAGAAGAAGCTAAGGTTGGTAGAAGCAATGGAGATGAACGTGCCACGACTAGCTAGTTGACCCCTGCTGTCACAATAAAAACAACATACTCCGTACGTAGAAAATAAGGGAAAGAATTACGAGGTGAAAAAACATTCAATCATGTCGGGGTTACACCAAGATATACATTTAGATGAGATACACCGATATTTTTACGATTTACACTGCCCTAAAATACTAGTGCAATAAAAAAATTGCACTGATATTTTATGTCATTGTAAACTATTACGCTAACATAAAATGTTAGTGAATGCACTTGAAGTTTAATTTTTGGGGTATAATTAAGTGAGGTATAATTTTTTGGGTACAAATAGCTTAATTCAAAAACATTATATGCACATAATTTCAAAATTGATACACTTATAAAAAAAGTTTAACATATTATTTTTACATTAATTGACTAACACGTAATTTCACATTTGCGAATATTTTGCGAAAGAAAACAACAGAAAGTCTTATTTTGTTATGAGTTTAATATTTTAGTCATATTTAAATACTCGTTTTGTTCCAAATTGATCTTTTCAGTTAGCATTATATATGTTTTCTGACAGTGCTTATTTATTGGTATATTTTGATTTAAATTTAATAATATTAAATATTGTCATGTTTTATAAAAATTGTGATATAGTTTAGAATATCTAACCTTGTATATTATTTTGTAAGTAAAATAATATTAAAAATGATAAATTTTACATCTTATTCCACGATGATTCTGGAGGGAAGGAGTAGTTTTTTAAAAAAAATATCCAAACTATCAAAGCAACATTATTTTCAGGGCCCTGCAAAATAAATAAATACTCCGTAAATAAATAAATATATTAAATAACGGTAACTGCTCAGAGCTAGTTGCCGTTAAATACTCTTCAATCATTCAATGCCTCCACTCATAAACCACCCAGCTTTAATTGACAAAAACGATGTCTGCGCCACCGTCCGTCACCGAAATCGAAGTGGAGGGCAATGTGTTTCCGGCGACGGTGACGCCGCCAGGCTCCGCCAAGACCTTTATTCTCGGCGGCGCAGGTTCGATTCGTCAAATATTATACAATATTCCTATAGGCGTTTGATTCCATCGTCTTCTTTTTTAAGGTCAAGATTTCTGGTTCATGATAGCTGTTGAGTCTATCGTGCGCAGGTGAGAGAGGATTGAATCTGGACGGGAAGTTCGTCAAGTTCACGGCCATCGGCGTCTACTTGGAAGCTGATGCCGTTTCGTCTCTCGCCGTTAAATGGAACGGCAAAAGTCCCGACGAGTTGACGGATTCCGTCGAATTTTACCGGGACCTCATTACCGGTAACGGAACTGTACCATCGCATTTTGTTTTTGTTTAACGTGGATAAATCTCTTTGATTACAAATTAAATAAACATTATTTGAATAAATAAATTTTATAAATATTTGATATATCAAAACAAATACTAAGATAAACTCAATTATATTGAATTTAAATTAAAATTAAATATACTTTTTTCATAATTTATGGTAAAAAAATGACACAATTTGATTCAAAAAGTCCAAATAGAAAAAGTTTTCTGGGATATAGGGAGTATATTAGATAAGAATTATTTCGTATATATTTGAAAATTACATTGAAAAATTCTACTATTTCGATCTCTCTATACTGAAATTACATTAAAAAATTTTCTTTTTTTGTCAAAACTTTGGAAAATATAGAGTATAATTTTGTTATAGCTATGATTCAAACCCTTAACTTTTAATATGATTAAAAACAACTCCGTAATATGGACAACATATCACGAAAAAAAATTTATTTGGACGTTTAATTTGAACAAGTCACCTCTTATCTTATAGAACGTTTGATATAATTTTTAAATTTATCAATTTTGTTCGGTGATTAGGCGATGTCATGTTAAAACAGCATCTATCAAACATTCAATTTGAAAAAGACTAAAACTCTGTTTGTACATGGAATTCAAATTATAGAATTGGAATTGGGAACTACAATCTTAATTCTACTGTTTGGTTGTACAAAAGTATGTAGATTTATAATTGGTAATGCCAAAAATGAATTGAATTGGAAAATTCAATTCCATCCAATTTAATTCTATAGAATTTCAAATTTCCACTTAATTTCAATTCCGTATACCAAATGGATCATAATACTACTCAGGACATAAAAAAAGAATTAATCTTTTCATTGCCAACTCATTTTAGGATGTCATTTCTCAATTCTACATTATATCAAAGCTAGTGTTTAGGAGTTGAAAAAACTGAAGTCTATTCAAGCAAGTAACAGTTCTCACAATTCTACAAAAACAATAACTTTATATTAATCCAGTTTAACATTTTTTAAAGGTGAACTTTAAACCTTAACTCAAATAAATATTAATACAAAAATGATTCCATTATATTGAGACTAAGGGAGTAATCCCTATTAAGTCTCCGGAAACAGCCTATCTATGTTTTAAACATAGGGGTCAGGCTACGTACGTGATTATTTGTAGTGCTTGACCCGGGGTGGTGTCTTTGGAAACAATCTTTCTAATTTCTATTAGAGATAAGGTCTGCGTACAACACCCTCCTCCCCAGACCCTACTTTTATAGGATTTAGTTGGGTTATTGTTGTTGTAAACACTGAGCTTAGTTCTTTTGACACATGGTGTCATATTATGACACGCATCCAAATTGAGGCTCCCATGTTGTTTCATTTGAAAAAATTGATGGCTCTTAAGGGCTAGGGTGGGAGGGCGGAGGACAATGTGGGATTGCGGGGTTAAAGCAAAAAGAAGATTCAATTTTTCGAACAGAACACCGTAGTGACCTCAATTTCAGCGAGTGTCATATTATGACATTCATTCAAAGTGGGGGTCTCTCTTAAGTGAGTACTACATAGATTTGTGATTTATGAACAATACCAAACCAGTTAAGCATTCTAACAGGTCCTTTTGAGAAGCTGACACAGATAAGAATGATCTTGCCATTGAGTGGGAAGCAGTACTCGGAGAAGGTGACCGAGAACTGCATTGCTCACTGGAAAGAGTTGGGGATCTACGGTGATGCCGAAACCGATGCCATCGACAAGTTTCTTCAGGTTTTCAGTGACCAAATGTTTCCCCCGGCCGCCTCCATCCTCTTCTCTCAGTCGCCCTCTGGCTCTCTAACGGTATGAATTTACTCCGTCGCGAAAGTATTTATACAGTTTGACTTTTATGAATTTAAACTGGTCCAATGGAGACCGAGCGGGTCCAAAACAATTCTTCGTATCTGGCGAGAGACTGGATCGTTTTCTAGCCAAACGGATTTAGGTGTTGGACCGGACCGAAACCATAGATGATTCGCGGTCCAACCGGGCCAATCCGATTGTAACAACACTATCTTAAGCGATTCCAAAAATATAATCCCAAAGGCTTTATTACCATCAATATCACCTCGGTTCATGTGACATTGGTGTTCAATGTTATAGCATAACTTGGGCACCTACGGTGTTCCATTCAAAAAGTTGATGGTTCTTACCCCTTAACCCCCCAAGCCTTTCCCTCCCCTACACCTCCAGCCCCCTCCCCCCCTTCACCGATTGGTTACAGTAACTGTAGCCATTCGGCAAAGGGGATGGGGCAGGGAGGGTGGTGGGGTGGGGTGCAAGGGTGGGAGTTCAGGGGGTAGGTACCATCAGATTTTTGAACAGAGCACCGTAGATGCCTTGGGTCACGCTATGACATTGTCTTGCAATCTCACATGAACTGGCCCGTATCAATATACATCACGTAACGTTCCCTTTTAATTTGTGTGGGAGCTACAGATAAGCTTCTCCAAAGATGGCGCGATACCCGAGACAGCGAACGCGGTGATAGAGAACAAGAACCTATCGGAGGCGGTGCTGGAGTCCATCATAGGCGTCAACGGCGTTTCTCCGGCAGCGAAGCGGAGCCTCGCCCTCCGGTTATCAGAGCTGCTCAAGAAGGGAAAAGAGACTGGTGAAGAGAATGTATGAATGAAGACATGTTCCAAAAGAAGAAAGAAGATTCTCCTCTTGGAAATGGCATGCATGAAGAAATGGTCTATGTTTTATTCAGAGTTAAAAAGTGAAAGGGGGAGTAAGACAGAAATAATGTTGTGTGCTGTTTTATGTTTGTTTTATTGGCTATGTAGACTGTTGAAATATTGTAATACTAATATTGCTCCTTGAATTATGAAGTACATGATAGAGTATATATAGGAGAGACTCCTAACACAACTAGGAATAGAGAATGGAAACTAACTAAAATACAACTTCTACCACAAATAGGATTAGGAAGCTGACTAATAATGAAACACTACCATAACCAATACTACAAGAAGTACTATTAGTATTATTGTCTAACATTCCCCCTCAAGCTGAACTCTGGCTGAAGCAAGAGGAAGCTTGGACACTAGTTGGAAATTGGAAACTTTGAGAAGAGAGAAGTCTGACATGCGCCGGTGGCTGCTTAGATCATGTCATTGGAGAAGAGAGAAGTGTGACGCGCGCCGGTTGGCTGCTGACGTCGTTGGAGAAGAGAGAAGTTTGACGCGTGCCGGTGGCTGCTGACGTCGTTGGAGAACAGAGAAGTCTAACGTGCACTGGTAGCTGCTAACGTCGTTGGAGAAGAGAGAAATTGACGTGCGCTAGTAGTTGCTGACGTCGATGAAGAAGAGAGAAGGTTGACGTGCGCTTGTAACTGCTGACGTCGAAGAAGAATAGAGAAAGCTACTCGAGGTGCCTGTTTGACTGAAGATCCTTGACATTTTTTGTCTTTTTCTTGGATCCGGGCAATGCCCTATTTCCTTCTTGAAGGGGTGAGTTGTAGAGGTCTTATTTCCTCTTTCACTACTTCCCCTCTTGGCTTTGATTTTGTGCTGATTTACTTTGGATTTTTATTGGTTCAACAGAAGAGAAAGAGAAGGGAGGTTGATGATTATAATGAGTGAATTTAGAGAGAAAAAGTAGGTTAAAAATTGGTGATGGAAAAAAAAAATTTGGGTCTGAGATTTTGATATGGTGGATTGGAGAGAAACAACAATCATTTTTTTTCTTTTTTTGGAGAAGATAAGATGAGTTGATCGAGAGAGTTTGTGAGAAGTTGAGTTTTTTTTTTTGAGGAACCATGGAGATGACAAGAGAGAAGTTCCTCTTTTGATAGTTTTTTTTTGTGTGATTTCAACAAGGTTTTTTTTTTCTTTTTTTTTTCCATTTGAATGGAGAAGTTGATTTGAAGATAAAGAAGAAAAAGAAAATAGAGGTGAATAGGGTGGAGCCGCCGTCGCCGGAATTACCGGCGGCGATGCTGGGAGCAAAGAACTTTTTTTTTTAGGTCACCAAGAGCGGTGGCTCTGATACCATGTTGAAATATTGGAATAATAATATTGCTCCTTGAATTATGAAGTACATGATAGAGTATATATAAGAGAGACTCCTAACACAACTAGGAATAGAGAATGGAAACTAACTAAATACAACATCTACCACAAATAGGATTAAGAAGCTGACTAATAATGAAACCAGGCCCGCCCATTAGCAAGTTCAATAGGTGCAATAGAACAGGGCCTCTAAAATATAGGGGCCCATATTTTTTTTATACCTCTAGCCCAATTATAATTATAAGTTACAAGCCCACTACCCTAATTACCTAATACTTTGTAGATTACTAAATCACCATCCGTCGTTCCAAGACTCATCGGTTCCTCCGATCCATGCTGGCCGCTGTCTAACGGAACACTCATAGACTCCAACGCTGAGAATCTCCCTCCTTTAATACGCTAAATATGCCATCTTCCTTTGCCAATTAACTCCTCAATTTTTTTGGTGAGTTCTTAATTTTTATGTTTCAGTTTTTTTTTCAAAGTTACCCTTTCATCCTTTCAATTGAAAATGGCAATCCCAATTTTGTTGGTTTTTTTTGCACGGATGTCTTAATTTAATTAGGTGTTTTAGATTTTTTTGAGAATTATTTTAGTGTTAGAAATTTATTTTTTGCACCTTAAAATCTTAAATGATTCATTTTTTGTTTAATTGTTTCTTGAATGTTATAAATGGGTGTTTCTTCTTTAATTTTGCAAGACAGTTGTTCAATTCTACCTTTGGTTTTAATCATTGATTTTTTTTTAGAATTAGAGAAAGTGGTTGAAGGCTATAGCTCATCATTCTTCAAAGATATCAAGATTTGGAATTACTCTCTTCATCCTAATTTTTTTGCTTCTTCCTAAATTTTATTCTAATATGCCTCCTAAAATAAGAAAATATGAATATGTAAAAAGAAAGAAAGGATTGAAGATTTAATAGAATCTCAAAAAGGAGTCCTTCATAAATTTCTTTTTCAGTAGTTTGTATAATTCGAAGTGTAAAAAAAGTGTTGTAATATGTACTTCGTTCTTTTTCAAACAAAAATCTAAACGATTATTTTATGACCTTGAACCACTTCTTTTTTATATCCTAGAGCTTTGAATTATTGAGTTGCACAGGGCCATCCTAAATGATTGGGCGGCACTGAATGAAACACTACCATAACCAATACTACAAGAAGTACTATTAGTATTATTGTCTAACATAGACATACTGGGTTTATCCTCTGTATTTCTTTGTTCCATAATAAAATTTCACATTTTTTATCTGTTTTAGAAAAAATCCACTTTTGGAAAAGTGTTTGTGACTACTATTAGTTCTCATTTCTATGCATTATTTTCAATAGCATAATCTCACTTTTTTTTAATCTTTGTGTATCTGGTCAATTGTGAAACATTATCGCGGGATTGAGCACTCCATATTTTTTTTTCATTTTCTTTTTTTAAATATCTTATATTTTTTTTACTTTCCTCAAGTCAAAAGACAATTCACCTTTTTTACAACTAAAAGACTGTTGGTGTTACTCTGTGGTTATAAGTTTATCGAAATTGTTTATAAATTGTTTTTAACTTATAAGTCAGTAGATAACGTATATTTCTGTTCTTATAAGCTGATTTTTAAGCTGCTTATAAACCTGAAAAATAGGTAGGTCTTACTTATTTTTAGCCAATTTTTTCGTTTACCCGTTTTGACTAGATTACTTACAAAACTATCCCACACCTATTATTAATAACCTCAAATGACTTATATATCATTTAAGTCATTCTATCTACGCAAAAGAATTTTTAACTTTTAAGCAGTTTATAAATTAAAAATTGCTTATAAATAATAAGTCAATAAGCACTACAAAGAAACACCCACTATTTTATCCTCCTATTTACCTCTATTAAATTTCTCTTTAATTTACAATAATACCAAGGACAAAAACGAAAAATCAAATATTTTTTTGATCTTACATTTAAAAGTGAATCTAGTCAAAACAAAGAAAAAAGATATGGGGCACAAGAAGTGTTTGTTTTAATATATTGATGATGTAGTCTAGAAATCACTCACGATTACCGAAATGGTTAAAAAACTCCATTTTTCTCCTAATTAATTCCTTTTTATGAATGACTTATATCTTCCTTCTTTAACATAAACTTTTACTACAATTTATACTCCGTAAATGTTACAAAAAAATTGGTTTATCAACATTACATTTTAATATAAACTCAATTTTTACTAATTTTATATTATAACGAAATATACTTTTAAAAAAAATTATTTACAAAGTGGTATATGGTTTGACAAAAACGTCAAACTATGCTAATCTTTTTAAGACAGATAGAGTATTTAGGAGCCTGTTTGGAAATAGCGTTAGAAATTAGTGTTGACATTTTGAGAAGACTATCTATGAACAACGTTTAGCGTTAGCATTTTCAAAGTGATCTGCACCGTTAAAATTTTATCCAAAACGCTAATGATAATCTCTAACGCTATTCCCAGACTCTAGATTTCCACATAAAACTACTAAATATTGAATATTCAACTTGCTCCATTTCCCTATTGCACACTCAACTCCGACTTGTTGCTTTGAAGAAATTAGTGTGCTCAAAAACCAGCATAATAAGCTCTATACACATAAACCTTTCAATAATATTATACTCCGTAGGAATTTCATCGTTGATCCTCAAGGTTGGAGTATGGGTTTCATTTGGAGAATCGATCAAAATTCGTATCTGAGTGAAGCGTTTCCGAATATTCTCACAACATTTTCAAACTCAAATCAGAAACAGTTTCGCGATAATGGAAGGGTTGACACAGAGTATGCCATTGTTTGTGTCGAACATCATGTCTAAGTCGATCAAGCAAGAATTCGTTCGTAGATCATCTGCAGAGGCAGAGTATATAGACTATAGAGCCCTTAGTAATGCAATGGCCAAAGTGTTTTGGGCACAAAATGTTCTCTGAAGCAAAACTTGCCTATTCTTGTCTGTGACAACTTTAGAGCAACATTTGTTTGTAAAAGAACAACTCTGCCTTTCACCTTTGGATACCCAACATTTTGCACTTGATTGTCTTTTGCCCATACTGTAAAAGCAGTTAGGTCCATGTCCTGTATGTAGCTTGGATCTTGTATTTATTTATGGTACAAAAGATTCTTAGAGGGCATTACTTCAGGAATCTCATTGTGATTAGGTTAAACCCCCCATCCACACAACACCTTCATAAAGACTCCTAAAAGAGGCACTTAATACACACACATATATATAGTTCAAAACCCTAGGCAAAGAATGCCAGAAAAGAGTCAAAACCTTCTTCGTTTCATGCCGTCTCCACGCCAAACTTGGGGGCCGTTTGGTCGATAGTTCCCTTCTTGATCTTCCATGTTTCGCATTCTCCTACCGGGCGAAATCCCAGTCCTGTTTTCCAAACGCGCCTCGAATTCCCTGTCCCTTCTTGTGTTGTTTCTTTCCATGAATTCCTGATCTTCATCGGGAGAACACCTAAAAGTCCTAGGTCCATCTTCCCCGGAATGGAAACGGAAATTCTCAATGTGATTGTCATTGTTGTTGTTGTTGTGGTTGTATGGAGGACCACGAAAGGACCGGGCCCGTCTCTCGCTATATTTTCTATTTGAACTTGTGGGCCCACCAAAGTAGTCATCACCATCGTCGTCCCCACGATTCATACCATCAGGTCTTGGGGCTTTTCTGGGAAATAAACGGTTAGAAGGGCTTCTTCTTTCTTGTACTGTTGCATCCCCATCCCTGGAGCAATACGATGGGGAGTCGCGCCTTCTTGGAACCATTTCTTCGGAAAAATAATCGCATTCGGGTGACCTCATCCTGTCTACACGGCGATACATGATTGGAGATTCATCCAGTCCTCCTTCCATGGCTCTTCGACGAGAAGAAGACCAATGGCCAGAAGAGGAATGTCTCTGAACTGATTCATCCGGAGATTTTGAACGCACTCTTGAGTAGCCGCCGCGCCTTTGAATGGATGCAGGGAACATTGTTTTCCCACGGGGAAATTGTCCGTCTCTACTTCTATTATATGGAGGATCAATCATGTCAAACCTTTCGCCATGCCCGAGTTCAACCATCTCAGAACCACCTTCATCAGTACATCTACTTGGGGGACTAGTGTTTCTAGGAATCCTACCGTGTCTTTGAATGCCCCTGTCACCAGGAGAATGTCTCCTTGATGAAGACTGCCGAAAAGAAGGGGACCCACCATTCAATAGTTTCCTCCCTCTGCTGGGTGGACCCAAAACTGCTCTGTCGGGTAACATATCAAAGTCGTTCCGTTCAGCTTCGTCGTTGTCAATGGAAGAGCCGCGCTTATGTCTAGTGAAACAGTAATCATCCATACGGTTATTGTTGTAGCTAAAATTGCGCTCGGAATCCCATTCTCGGTGGGACCTACCATACCGGCCAGAACCTCGTCCCCTTCCACGTATGTAATTCCCTCTGGTGGGCCTTTCATAAGACCGATCTCGATATCTATCTCTTGTGTATTTGTTTGAACCATCATGGTACATTTCACCTCTGAAAAAAAGTCAAGAGTAACAAAATCAAGTGCTGTCAACCGTTGAACACACAAAAAAAAATGAATTAACTGCTACAAGATTAAAGAAACTGTTGGTAGTCAAAAGAACATGTTCACCTATTCCCACTTAGACGAAACTTCCCATCCTGAACAACAAAATATCTTTCCCTTCCACTTCTAGATGACAATGGAATACCCATGACGGATCTGGATTTACTAGGAGAAATGGAACTAGAAGCCCGGGGTAAATTGATAATCCGGCTCTTAACTGCACTAGAATCTTTAGCAGTTCCATTAGCATCCTCAACTGAGATCTTGGAAACAGTTACTCCTGTCTCATCACATAAAACTCCCTCTATGTTTTCCTCTTGCTTATGTTCTGTTTCTGTTTTTTCAAAATGCATTTGGTGAATTTCACTTATAGGCATAATAGCATCAAAGTAACATGTTGCTGGCACAACTTCTGACTTGGTAGAGATTGACGAACCATCCATCTCCAAAGATTGATCAACTAACTTTTCAGACACTGTGGTTCCATCACACTCTCGTGTACAGTAACTAGTAGCTGTCTTTGGATGAATCATAGGTTCATCTTTTTCTTCATCACCATACCGGACAATATTATCATCACCTGAAGCTACCATAGTGTGACTATCAGAATCAATAACCTTTTCTGAATCTGATCCCTCGACAATTGGGTTTTCTGGTATTGAATGCAATGTAGGCTCCCTCACTTCACCATCTTCAAGCTCATCGTCTTCCTTTCCACTCGGCCTACCTTCTACTTCAACATTAAAATCAAGATGATGACCATCTGATTCAATATCAGAACATAAGGATTCTTCTTCCATAACAGCTGATATGTCCATATCTTGCTCGCCATTGGCAAGAGTTGCATGAGGATGTCCGTTAGATTGCTCCAAATTTGACGTTTTCGAGCTGTCTACATTCACACCATCTGACTCACAAGCGTCTGTTTTAGAACCAGATGCAATTAAATCTTCTAGTGCAGAATGTTCATTTTTCGCAGCACTGCCTGCATTCATCTGATCTAATGTATTCTCACAACCATCAACTTCTTTCCTATGAACAGAATATTCAGATTGATTGGATAACTCTCTGCCGACAGACAACTCTGAAAATGTAGATAATTTTGTAGGAAGCGGCCTTTCAGATTTCAATGGCACTGGCAAAGTAGAAGACTCATTTGATGGTACAACATTTGCAACAGTTTGGTGCAACTCCATGTTTGACATCGTCCTGCAAGTTTCCTGATTAGGTTCCTGCAAGGGTTCAGGCTTCATCGATTTTTTCCCTATCACCTTTTGAATATCGAATTCCAAAGATTCCATGTTTCCGCTCTCAATGAATTTCCTTTTTGAGGAATCACTATCAAGTGTTCTGCAAGTACTGTTGCTAGAAGCAATGAAGTCCTGTTTTGAGCTATCATCAATTGGTTCTTCCTTTACACTTCCGCGTCCAACAGAATTCAAGTTTGTAATAGTTCTAGGAGTATTAGAATGTAAGATAGAGTCTGCCTTGGACATTGAACAAACCTGTGGCTTGCTTAGATCGAACCCACGGAAAGTGCTACCGAGACTTAGGCAAAGTGAATCCAGTGACTTGGATGACAGGCTAGATTGTATAGATGTAGTTGAAAAATGAGAAGTTGGTTCAAACACTCCACAAACTTGCTTCCCTTTATCATTGTAAGCACCAATCATACTATTGGAGCTTAAACTATGTCTAAGTTCATGTCTAGTACTGAAATGGCAAAGACTATCAATTTTATCTGTATCTTGAAAGGCTTTATCAGAACCTACCCAAGTATCCATAGTAGTGTTCAAATCCCAATTTGATCTATCAGTATCATGACTAACATCACTCGACCTACTGTTTGAACTTCCAATTTGAGGCATGGCCTTTTCTTTGTGTAGAGACAGAGATAACAACGATGGATCTAGACTATCACACATCTCAGAAGCTTCTCTATTTTGCACTCCCACCGATAGGCTCTGTCTGCTTGCCCCCCTTAAAGACAATTCAGCATTCCCCAAAAGTGCAGAAAGTTGAAATTTAGTGCAACTGTCTTCTTTGTTGTCCATGATTTCCATCTTCACATTTGTTGAAGTGTTTTCTAAAACCCCAATGTTGCTTTCAGTTAAAGCTACCTTAAGAAGACCATGGTCCAAAGGCCCCGCACCAGAACCCGACGGAACCTTTTCATTCAAGATGTGAGGTTTTGATCCCAGCGACTCCTCATTAGACTGGGCAGAAGCAACGTTTTCCCGAGAGGGTTGAAAGCCACCTGTTTCCTTACTAGTTTTGACAGATTTAGATCCGGAAGGATCCTTAGTGGATTGGGAAAATGATAAATCCGTTTCAGCAGGCTGAGATCCTGAGGGTTTTCCCACATATTGCACAGATGAAAAACTTGTGTGGGCAGGCATGGATCCAGAAGCTTCTTCCTTGTACTGGAAAGATGAAGCATTCGCTTCAGCGGGTTTAGATCCTGAAAGTTCCTGAGAAGAATGGACAGAGACATAATCATGTTCAATACTTTTGGACACAGAGGGTCCCTTTGGAAGTTTGATAGAGCTATCATCAGCTTCAGCAAGTTCGGAGTCGGAACAATCTATGTTCAGTGTGCTAGAGCTAATGTGTCCATCTTCTAGCCTTTCTTGTCTTGCCTCCAACAGAGGATTCTTGTTGAGATCAGATTTACTGGCATTGTTAGTAGTATCGACGGGGTTGAAGGATGAACTCGGGATCGAAGCAGACTCTGTTTTCTTTAAATCATTTCCATCACAAAAAGATGTTGGCTCTTCTGGTGGAGACGAAGAAGGAAAAACAAACGGGAACCTTCTCTTCTTTATAGGGATACCTGCGAAAGAGATACTAGACGGCATTCCAAGCTGCACACCCACAAGAAAATCAAATCAAACCACATCAATGCATAGGAAACTACATCTGAGATTCTAGCAAAGAAACATGAATCATATTCTAAATGTAAACCTCTTCCTTTCCAGAAACTGGCATGAATCCAATGTCAAAAAAACTCCAAAGATTTAATCCTTTGCCACAAGTATCACACCCTCATCTGACAGGTCCTGTCACTCACTTTTAATTGGGTAAAGAATACTTTCTGGCCTCTGGAAACGAAACTGATTGTTAGGCTTCAACTAGGGAAAGAAATAAATGCTGGATAATACGAACAGTTACAACTGGCATAGCAAATCTTAAGAAGATAGATAGACTACAAATTTATTGTTTACATTATCACAATTAAAAAACACCAAAAAAAACAGAGTAAGAAATATTCAAATCAACCACAGATGAATAAGTGAAAGCTACCTAAAGGCTAAACCTAAAAAGATTTCACAGGATTGGAAAATCCGCAAAAACTGAGGAAATTATGCTCCCATTGATAGCCTCACCTACCCAGCTAAAACCTCTTCCAAGGGAAAAACAAAAATAAAAAAACTTTCATAATTAAAAAAAAAAAAAAAGATTTAATTCCATCGATTCAACTCCGGTCAACCGCCAACCATCGGCGAGACGTGATCGGAGAACTGAGGAACAGAGCACAGATCCCCGTTCGGAGAGCACGTGTATAAACTGAAATGAGCGATCAGAGGAGTCGGAAAAAGGCAGAAAACCTAAGTGTTTATTGGGAGGAGGAGGAGGAAGAAGAAAAGAACCTCCGATTTGCTGGTCTTGAAGCGGAGAGATGGGAGGGAATCTTCGACAGGGGAACAGTGATGGATGAAGGGAGAAAGAAAAGATAAGAAGTGTGTAGGGTTGATGATGATGATGATGGGGGAGTTGATTTATAGAGCAATAAATTGTGAGTGGGGTTTGATTGGGGTTCTTTCTCACTATCTCAACCCTAGGTAGACCGGGTTACTCGTCATATCAATTTTGTGAATAGAACATTATAGTGCTTTGAAAAAAATTGTGGTATCGTGGTATTATCGTAGTTTAGTGTCACATCGATGATGATAATGATAATAATATTCCTTTCGTCCTAAATTATTTGCCACATTTGTATTCTCGAAGCAAAATATTAAGTTTTTTCAATTCATTTTATTTACATATTGGTATAGAAATAAAAAATAAAATTTACATATAAAAAAATTACATGAAAAATTTTTCGAAATATGAGGTGTCAAGAATATTTTATTTTATCAAATTACCAATGAAAACGTCGAAATAAACAAAAGTTCCCGCGACTGCTGAAAAAGCAATTGTTGTGAATATTTAGGGACGGATGGAGTAATAAGAACAATGATAATAATAATACTCGTAATATAGTAACAATGATGTTTTAAAATAGGTGTTGTCATAAGTATCAAACGCAACATTATTGTCCTTCCCACATTTGAAAGTGAGGTAGATATTTAGTGGGCACCCCAATGGACTCTCTAAAAACACTTGCATGTACAGAAGCTATGTCACGACTAAGGGGCTGTTTGTTTCAGCCTCTTAATGGTTCAGATGTCTGAATGGTTCAGCACTTAATGGTTCAGACTGTTTGTTTCAGCCTCTTAATGGTTCAGATGTCTGAATGGTTAAGAGATTTGCCTCTGAATGGTTAAGTATTATACAGAGTCTGAATGGTTAAAACCTCTTATCTGAATTGATCAGACATTTGCCTCTGAATAGTTAAGCAATATACTAGCTCTTAATGGTTCAGACCTCTTACTGGTTCAGCACTTAATGGTTCAGACCTCTTACTGGTTCAGCACTTACCCATTCAGAAGTTGTCAAACAACCCCTAAGTGTCGAGGTATGCAGGATCTAAAAATGTTCTCCGATCGTGAGAATTTGGTTTGGACGCTCAAATAGGGGAGGCGTTTTGTTTGTTCTTTCCACATGGAGTCTATTCTTGATTTGTGTTTTGAATTGATGAGTTACTTTTTGAAGGTGTGGTTTAATTTTATGAGTAGAGATTTGAATGTTGTTGCCAATACTTAGGCTAGATGCACTTTAGCTCAACTGGGTTTGTGGGATTCATCTCCGCCTAGTTTTGTAACTCACTTGATTCCAACTGAATGAAAATTTTTATTCCTTCAATAAAACTTCATCCCATTTCATTTTAAATATTACTACATCCCTCCCAAAATAAATTTTACTTGTAGATTTTTTTCTTTTTAGAATGTCTAAAAATTAAATATTCCATACCGCTTATTTTACAATTAAGAAATTAATATGTGACTCATAATATTTTTTGCTTTTATACTCCCTCCATCTTAATCTAAATCGCCTATTTCAGTTACAATGTTTGATTCAAATTATTTTCAAATCATTTTATATGAAAGATGATATAAAATTAAAAAATAAAATTTACATATTTAAAAACTACGGAGTAGATAAAAAGATCTACGAAACTAGTGATGACATGATTATATTTTTTTATCAAATGACTAACAAAAATAGAGAAAGAAAGTGAATAAAAGTTAACCATAGTACACATACAACTTAATTTGGGACGGAGAGAGTACAAATTCAAAAGGCATACTTTTGATTTTTCAATAATTTTTTAGAATTTCGTGAAATCAAAACCATAAAGGAGGGAGGGAGTAATCATTTTTTTTTTATAAAATAAACTTCTTACATCTTTCTATTTGAGCTTTCTCTCTTGTAACCCAAACAAACCATATTCTATCATTTAGAATTGCATAAAGCCAAGAGCATCTTCCAATGCCACCATGACTAATCCCAATCTACTACAAAGCTGAATAAATATAGCATTACATGAGACCATATTAAAACGTCTTGAGTTACATGTATGGTCATTGAGAAAGTGCAGGAAATACCAGGTTTTGACAATAAACTTGTTGCACCCAACCGAGCCGCCAGCCGCTGACACCCTTGTGGTGGGACCCTTCAGTTAACCCTCGCCCGCTAAACAGTAACCGCTGTCTGCCCCGGTCTTGAAAGAGGAATAATAACCAATTTAGCGTGTCATCTTGGACGTTTAGCCCCAAGGGGAAAAGACACTCGCTGAGAAGTCTCAGGTGTTGTGTCTGTTCAGGCTTGGGAAAGGTTTGGGTTTTGGTTGGATGCGGGATTAGGGTCGGAACCGTCCTCGTTGTCCTCGGTTTCTTCCACCGGATGAGCGGTTTGGTTCACAGGGAAAGCGAGTTGATAATTGGGGCTGATGAGGGTATCCTGCTCTGGAGGGAGAGGGATTCCGTGTCCTGAAATTGATTTTGGCAAAGGAATCTTGTTTCTGCTTCGAGCCAACTCTAACAGGACCTGTTTGGCAAGCAGATGTGTCAAGAGAGTTAAGACATAAGATTTGTGCCCTGAAAAAAAACTTTACACCAGAAGAACATAAAAAGGTCAGAAGGCACTGCCCTTATTTTTTTGTCCTTTTTTCACACATCCATTGCCCCTACCTACTTCACAGTTACACTCACTACCAACAAGTTCAAACTTGAAACAGAAACAAGTGTTAAAGACTTAAATCTTTGCAGGGTTTTCAATTCAAAGACTCAAAGAACTAGATAAAGTTGAACTTCACTTCTTATGATGTACTCTGCTAAAGATATACACAAGCATCATCTTTCACTTTAAGCGATAAAAAGGCTAGCTTTTCATAACTCTGCTAAAGATATAAACAAGCATCCTTCAACTTGCACTTCTAATGCTCTCTATGATGCAAAAAATGTACATAGTACTAAATAGAAATTTCCTACATTTATACTACTACCGTCCCAAAAATTGAGTTCGGGTTCCCCAAGGTACACATTTTCTAATTTTGGTAAGATACAGTCCTTGTAAACTATCAATCAAAGAAGTGCTTTTACATTTGTTTGTTCAACTAAATTTAGCATGCTTGTTAGTAACTTTTTTTTTGTTTTGGAAAGTTGATTGAATGAAAATTTGCTTCGTATAATGAGATTAGGCTCATGTTCAGCGTTCAGCCTCTCTAGTTTCAAGTAGGGGTAAGGTCTGTGTACACTTCTTACCCTCTACTTTTGTGGGATTTTACTGGGTTGTTGTTGTTGTGGGCTCCTGTTTTTTTTTTGAACAAAGACAGCATTGAACTTACAATAGATGTGATGGAAGATTATATACCTCTCTAGGAGGGGGTGGTGAGAAGCTAAAACTAACTTTAGATTGAATCGCAAGCTTGAGATCGTCAGAATCAATCACAGCCTTGCCGGCGTGCTCTGAGTACACCTGTGCATCTGTCAACACGTCAACGGCGTGTCTGTACATAAGCTCCAAGAACTGGTGCACCACACGTGGTTCGTATTCATCAACACCCATTGATTTCAGAAGGGTCTTCACCACCTTTGCATCCTTTGGCAAGTCCTCATCGGCTCCTTCTGCCATTTCCCCTCTGCTCTATATCCCCTCTCCCTTTCTGTGCGACAACAAAAGGCAAAACCATGGAAATAAATAATGGTAACACATTAGGTAATTGAGAAGGCTATTCCTCTTATTATTCTCCTCCGCGGCACCAACCTTATAAAGAAAGAAGCCAGAGGGTTCCATAAACGGTGAGATAGAAATCCCCCCTAAATGGCTAAATCAGGAATTGATCAATGAGAGAAATCAATTCCAAATTCCCAACACTCCTAGGACCCGTTTGAGAATAAGGTTGTTGATAAAAATTTAACGGTGCAGATAAACTTTGAAAACGCTAAACGTTGCCCGTAGATAGCCTTTTCAAAACGCCAACGCTAACCTCTGACGCTATTCCCAAACAGACTCCTAATCAAAGAAATAAATGGCATAATTACTACGGAGTAATTTATTCCCAGTCTCTTGGTTTTCTACAGGAAGCACTCATAAGTACTCTCTAAAGGAGTAAGGATTGAGGCCACTGTTGAAACTTGTTTATAGGACTGTTGCAACTTGGTACTTCTATTCAAACATATTTTGATATGCTCATTCAACTGGAAGCTGTGAAGCAAATTGCAATTGTATCTTACCAACACAATCATATTCCTAAACCATCCGTGGAGCAAATTGCAATTGTATAAATAATTTAAGCATACAATTTTAGAGTTCTGGATTATAACCCTAACATTTCTGAAATTAGTAATTTGAGCTTGATTCAAATGATCAAATCTGAAATTTAAAATAAAAAAAAAAATACGAAAAATTAAAAAGAGAATATCAAGAAAGTTTCTGAGAATATACCTTGAGTCTAGAAATCGATCTCCCCTTCCCCAGTTCTCGTCCACTCTCGAGTTCTATTCGCCGATCGGATCAGTCGTCGCCCGCCGGTCTCCGTTTCACACGAGTATTTGATATTTAAAAAAAATAATTCTATCCTCGGTTTTATATACTACTACATTTTAATCCAATACACCATCCAATACACTTCTTTAATCCATTTTATCTTGTAATTTGTATATTAAAAAATTATAAAAATTATATATTAATAATCTATATGTTAAGACAAATTAAACAAGATCACACATGACTGTATTTAGGCTTACACATTGAGAAAATTTGATGAGTCAAAGTGCTTAAGATGAACAGTGCTTAGATGAACAGTTTCAAAATTTGATGAGTCAAAGTGCTTAGATGAACAGTGCTTAGATGAACAGTTCCAAAAGTCACATATGACTATATTTAGGCTTACACATTGTAAGAATTTGATAAGTCAAAGTGCTTAGATGAACAGTTCCAAAAGTCAAAACTAGACGAATACTCTGGGACGGAGGGAGTACGAGTTTTTTTGTGAATTACTTCCCCCTTCCTCAAAAAAACAATCTTTCTGCTCACTGATGTTAAAAAATTCTAGAAAAATGCTAGGGGTACACCAAGGTGTATTCCATTTGTCCCCCACCTCTTTCATTACCACATAAATAGGCAAGAATTTTATAAAAATTAAATAAATTAAAAGTAAATAAAAATGGGTGGTGGAAAAGAGGTTGGGGGACAAATGGGGTACACCTTTGGTGTACCCATAGCATTGCTCAAAATTCTATCCTCAGTTTTAGGAAGTACTCCTTATATACTACTCCCAAACATAGTCTACATATAACTTAAAATAATTACTTCGTAAATATTACGGAGTATAAAAATTTGATAATCTAGTTTTACTAAAATTTACTCTATTCGTCCTTATTTCGATTACATTTTATTTTCTCTCCTCTTGATAACTTTTGTTTATTTGTGTGTTTTCATTGATTATTTGATAAAATAAAATATTTTTGTCACCTCTTGTTTTGTAGAACTTTGGACGCAGTTTTTTAATATGTAATTTTTATTTCTTATTGATATACCAACTGGTAAATAAAATAATTTCAAAAATCATTGATTTTACATCGCAATTCCCATTTTATAATCAAAATAGGGTCCTAGGAAGTACATTATAATTAAATACTCCCTATGTCCCTAATTTGATTACAATATTTTCTCTGATTCTTGCCCCAAAAAGAATTATAAAGTTCCAATTATAACACCTTTTGGACCATTTTACCCTCACTTCTATCTTTCTATGTAATGATTTGACTCGTCCTTAATTGGGTGTAAAATGGAGAAAAACTTAATGATTTGACTTCTCCTTAACTTTTCTCAAAAATGAAATATTGTAATCTAAAAGGGACGGAGGGGGCATATTTTTTCATAATTCATGGTCAAAGAGTCCCACAATTTGATCAAAAAGTTAAACTGTGGCAATCTTTTAGGGACGGAGAGAATAGAGTTTTCTATGTAACCATTTTGTAGATTTTTGACATATTTTTTAAATATGTAATTTCTAGTCTCTTCGGCCCAATTTAAATCACATGTTTCAGTTTACGATGTTTTACTAAATTTATTTTCAAATTATTTTATATGAAAAACGGTATAGAATTAAAAAAATATAAATTAAAAATTTAAAAAATACATCAAAAGATCTTCAAAAACTAGTTATAACATAACTATACTAATTTATCAAATTACTACCAAAAATAGAGAAAAAAATGAATGAAATTTGACCCTGTGAATAATAAACAAACAATTTAATTTGGGACGGAAAAAATATTTTTTTAATTGCATACCATTTTTTTATATATAATAAATTGAAATCAATTTCAATCAACTATTTTAATACACAACGAGATGATAATTTTTAACGGGAGGGTACAATCCTACCACGAGTACCCAAAAAATAAAGAGTATTCTTCCATACCGCAAACGTTTTACATTTAAATTTTTTGGTCAGTAAAAATACATGATTTATAAAATATGACAACTTAAAATAAATGCTCCGTATATTAACTTATATTAGTTGTAATTTAAATGATAAATAATACTCGTAGGATTATTTTCAATGTAGTTATGATACATTCAATTTTACAAAATTTATTTATTTAAAACTAAATAAATTGATGTCAAGAGTATGTAGTAGTTTGACCAAAAAATTCAAATCGTAAAGAATTTTATGGAACAAAAGAATATATAAGAAAATATTCTTATAATATTGAATAAATAAGAACTAATCATAACGATCCGAGGTGGCAGCCCCCGATAGCAGAGTCTAGGAGCAACAGCTCCGATTCCTCCGAACGAGATCCAAGGGACACAACCCCTAGCTCAAGTTGCTAGCTCAGAAAATATTTATTTTAGACACAATTGCTTTATTAAAATCTTTTAGATTTTTGTAAACCTAGTCAAAATAGGAAACATTCATATGAAACCATACATGATACATCCAAATGTTAGCGACATCATCTTCTGTAAAAGGACGCATACATTCAAATATTTAATTTAAAACATTCAGATGTTTCACGATTAAACGCAACAATTCAGGCAAACAACGAGAGAACTTTAAATTGTTGCAAACATTCAAATCATTTAGCCTAAACATTCAAATGTTGCTCGATAACTCATGTTGTTTCGCATAACAAGCACGTCCATTCGGATTTTGTTCTATATATATGGAGATCATGGTATGTTTGGGAGATTCAGTCATACAAAACTTCTATACTCGTTCTAGATACCAACATCTTATCCGATTGACAAGAAAACAAGCTTTTTAGAGGAACTATCTTTGAAAGAATTACGAAAATGCCCCAAAACCGAATGTGCGACATAATTGCCTATGATTTTCTAGAAATCAGCTCGCATGTTATGATATCATCCATGGACGATGCGGAGGTTCCAATACTTACCACGGGAACGAGATTGAGGATGTGTTCATTCATGATATTCACTCCTTGCCTTATTTGGCCAAATTCATCAAACACATTAGCAAAGATCTGAAAGATTGCTCCATGGGAGATGTTGAGACATGTCGTTGCATAGTAGATTCTGAAACTCTGCAAGAGGAAAAAGAATGTGTGAAGTGTGAAGTGTATAAAGTGTGTATGCAGATCTTACCCCTAATTGGAAATAGAGGGGCTAATTTCCAAGAGACCCCCGGCTCAAACACTGACACCCAAAGTAAACAAAGTAAAAAGAGCAAAGTAAGACATTAGCAATTAGACCCAAAGCACAGAAAGCACACATCCACTTAGTAGACCAAACACTTCTCCAATCCGAAAATAAATCCACAAGAGTAAGCCAAAGAAGCCTTACCAAGCAGGCTCCTATTTAAATTTAATAGCAGCAAAGGCTAATTGAACATTCATGTAAAAGCTACTTTTTTCTAAGATTACTAAAAAAGGAGATGACTCTCACTTGCAGACTCATACTTTACATATTATGATCTTCAATTTATTTTAAATATAAAAACAATACACGGAGTATTCAGTCATTTCAGCTACAAACCCATCAAATTAAGTCATTTCAGTATAACTTAGCCTCACCAAACAGACTCCAAATTAAAAAAAAAAAAGGTAAATTCTTCTGTGGTCCTAAGGTCCACTCTTATCTTATGGACAAGGTATATAAACACTATAGATGAATTGGGTTCTTCGAAAAAAAATAAAAGATTTCCATGTTGGCCTACTAAAAGTGTGAGAAGGTCCATATTTCACATGTGGACCTTAGGATCATGGAAGTACAACTCCTCTAAATAAATCAAATTAGAAGTTTTTTTTTTTTCAAAAGAGGAATTTCAGTAAAATAGAATAACTAACCAATATGTCATCCCAAGCAAGACTGTTTTCCGTGAGAACCTTATCAAAGCAAAAGATGCAGAACTGAGCAATTCTTTTTAAGTGGTCATCATTTTCATGGATGTTCTTCAAGGCCACATGTCCGACGGTTGCAGGGATGGACTTTGAGCAGATTCTCTGAACAAGATCTTTGGTGACAGAGAGAACTGCAGTACACATTTGTCCCATAATGCTACATTTCTGAAGGCATTGATCATGCCATGTTTCATACTGAAATCCCCAGTAATCTTCTTGCATCACTGGTGGATCTTCTGTAACTTCCTCGAGTGGAGCTTGTGCATGTTCTGCCAGATAAAGCACAGGCTTCACTTCTACCAAAGCCCTGCACAAGAAAAATGCAATCAATAAAGTATGAGCATAAAATTATTGATTGGCTTGTTTTTCAATTTAATAAAATATTAATGGTAGTCAGCAGAATAGCATTGACAATGCGGACTTGCACAATATATGAGGGTAGCTTAGGGTTCGTTAGATAACATTTCCACCATTGTATTTAAAAAAATCACTTCAAAAAGAAAATACTACGTATTACATACATGTAAAGAAGTTAGGTATGCTGGTTTTATTTCTACTCTATTACTCTGTATGAAAATATATGACTTCTTAAATATCTAACACTCGGGATGGATATATAATACATGGATAACTATTGGAAGTGTAATGGTTGCTCACCCTTGTATAGTTGATTAGTCGGGGATAAGTTATGGAGTGTAATTGATTGAAGTCTGTACTATGAAAGTGACAAAACTAACCTCCACATGTGTTGGAAACATTAACAAAAGACAATTTAGAAAAGATAATTTTTCATAGAACTTGCCCATTCCAACACCCCAATTAGGAGTGTAGACAAAGCTTGTTAGAATGAGAGAAAGCATTGGGAATATGCCCCCTTGCCTCCCATCCCCCTTTCTCCTCCCTACAACTCCCCCAAACAAAGGAAATAATTCTCTATTCATCTCAATCTACTCGGTATTAATCATCCCTCTCTTCCATCCATCCAATAGAAGCACCTGTGTTTTGTAAATTGTTCAAATTGGAACATGTTTCAAAAAAATTGTATTTTCAGGTCTTGTGGTACTCGGCTGGGTTTGTTGTTGCTGTATTCAAATTCTGTTCTAAGTGAGAAAAAAATGTTTGGGTTAATCAGTTAATGAATATGACAGAAGCATTGCTTAACCTTTTTGGAAGGTCAGGAACAAGGACATAGAGGAAAATGGGATGCAAGACATCCAAAATTCTTGAGGAATTCAACTGCCCCAACTTCATTTCTGTCAGAACTCTGGCCATCTCATTCTCAATGGCAGTTCTGTTTGATCCTTCAATGCGAGCAGAGCAGTAGATTGTGAAATGAATGGTTGATGTGGACAGTGAGCAGTTGAAGTTTCTTGCTATTGCTTCACTATTTTTAAGTGCTTGCCGAAGCTCTACAGTTGGGCCCCCTTTACAAAGCAACATTGTTGGTGGGTCGAGCCCTATTTGACCAGCCATGTAGAGCACATCCTTGTGTAAAGTTGCCTGCAGCAGGGCAGCACAGTCAATATTAACACAAACATAGGTCCCCCATCCCACCCTGATAAAGAACAATATTAAAGATATGTTTGGAAGGAAAAATTGTTCGGGGAGGGGAGCAATTATTTTCATTTTAAGGAATTCGCGCTTTAACTAGATATATACGGAGTATTTTCCAAATAAAGATATTAAGTGATAAATCAGTAAATAATATATACTCCCTTCGTCATAAAATTTATTTTTGTTTTCCTTTTCGGTTTGTCCTATATTTTACTTCATGTTTGCTTTTAAGAAAAGAATTTGTGTGGTTGATGTTGTAAATTTATATTATCTCTAAATAAACACAGCCATGCAATTTCATTCTGTTAATAAGTGTGCCAATTGCCAAATCAGAATGAGAAGAAAACTATAGGATATCAGGAGTTATTTTCTTGATTTGAAAAAAAAAAGTTCCCAAACATGCCCCAAATTTATAAAACACTTCACCACTTATCTATAAAAAAGAAGACCAAGTAACCATGTTTGTTCCAAATGTGTAATTTAAAAGGAAAAAAGTAAGCAAATAGTTGTAGGGGAAACACTTGAAAATCATTGTATCATTGGTGTAAAGGGTAACACACAAGGAAGATGGTTATGAGGGAAAAACATAAAAATTTTAAACACTGTTGATGATTGCCAGGAAATGTTATGACCTGACTGTATGGACCAATACAACTAGGTGCCCAGCAAGATATACTTTGTACATGCAAAACCTTTTTGCTATGATCTCTTGCCACCAAAACTTCCATATATGCCCTCCCTATACCAACTTGCAATAAAGGAAGTTCGACTGTGGACCTCGAGGGTACACCATAACGACACTTCTCTTGAGTAATAAATCTAATGTATGTTTCATTTGCTTTTGAAAATTCATTCATATCCGCAATATACAAATGGATATAAAGTACTCTTTCCCAAGAGGAACCATTCTCAGCTAGTTGTGTTTCAACTTTTGTCAGAACAGCCTCCAGATCCACCTGAAAATCTGGCAATCACAACACTGATATTATTACAAATAAAAATAATCAAACCAGTAGATAAACATAGAATTAGAAAGCTTTTTTTTCTGGGGGGAGCGATACTCAAAAATATCTATTTGCATTAAAAGTAACTCTTACTTGCAGAAGTCTCAGACTGATGCAGCCAGCAAGAAATTGAATATATATCACTCTCTTGAGAATTTGAAAATTTGAGATTCTCCATCATAGCACCAGACAAAGTGGTAAAATCAATTAATTCACTGATACCTTGTTGACATTCATCTACTACTTCATTCACCGTGCTGATATCTCCCTTACAAAGACTAGAGCACCCATTGGTCTCACTTGAAGAGACTGAGTCCATCTTATTTTCTAAATGAAATGAAAGCGGATGAAGAACTCCAACAGGAGCTATGGAATCTGAAGAATGCAAGATAACTTTAAATTCATCCAACACGATTCTAGCATACTGCAAAAGACATATAGAAGGGATGAAAAAAATTTTAAAAAGGAGAATGGAGGAATTTGGGAGATGCTTGATTTTTAAATGCCACTTAATAGTAGTGTCCATGAGTAATATGAGACAGAGAGAGAAGAGAGAGAACAAACTTTGAAGAGGGGGCAATCAAGAGTTAATGTTTCATACTCTCCACCTTCGCCACAAACATTTATTCCATAGAGCCTGAGATGTTTAAGGGTAAAAAAATATCACTTTTTTGAAAATGAAGTGCAACTTAATCCTTTTACTCTTTTCAATGATCAGCATACTCTTTTAGTTTGTGAAGATGGGAATCCATATCTGCTATTTCTTTCCCCAAGTGCTTTGAGGGGTCTAACCCAATAGCTGCAACCTAACAAGTAGATAAAAATTAGCATTTTCAAATGAAAACCAAAGCTTTTTAAAAACAAATTATGTAGACTTTGGTATGGCATGAAGTAGCTAGAACAAAAAGTAACAAAACTGCACACATTGAAAAAACAATGGGAATATTACTTGAGCTCTGAATATAGTACTTGAGCTCAGAAATAATGCAGAATAAAAAAAGAAAATGAATTACGAGAAAAACAGGGGGAGAAAACAGCCATCTCCACCTTAACTAAGATTGCAACAATACCACTAGTAATCTGAAAAAGAGAAAGTAGAACAAAGTATCAATAAATATTGACAACTTCTGAGTTTGAAATGATATTATTGTGATCTATTCTAAATCAAGTTACCATTTCATGGAGAAGTAATGATTGATCTTGCTTCCATAAATATGCCAGTGAAACAAGTCCTGACCTTGAACATACACTTTCAACTCGGAGTCTCTGGTAGTCAGATGCGATTGCGCCAGAACACACTGCTGTGACAGCAGGTATCTGTCGTTTTACTTCATTCAACAAGATGAACATGTCTTCAACTTCATCACCTGGAGTCATACTATAGCTAAGGCCATCATTCCTGTGGAACCCCAACATGAAAATACATAATGAGTATGATAGTCCCAAACATATTTTATCGTGTTGCAATGCTAGCAGTATTGAAGATTTTCCATGTTTATAGCAGAAGTTAGACTATCTTAAAATATTCTGTAAGGTTAAAATTGTTCTAATTAGTCAGAGTTCCACAGCTATCTCAGTTTTCGAAACATAGTGACAAGCCAATATAATTTTCTATAGCTGAAGCAAAAAGTAGAGATTCACTTAGGCCTTCAATTTTTGATATCATACCTGTATGTTTTATATGGAGCACATCAAGCAACACAAGACTATGACAGGCCATGTCGCTTTAGCACATTGCAGTGAAAAACTAAAACAAAATTTCTACTTAAAAGGGGTCTTGCCTTGTGGATCCTTTTATTCTCCTTCGGAATAATGGCACTCCCATGCAAGCTGCATAGCTGATGACTACCTGGTGGCCAACCTGCAGAGAAGTTCTAAAACCATACCATCACGAAAGCATATCAAACACCGTCTTAATGCCTCGTTAATGGAAAAGCTCAAGCTTTAAGTAAATATTCCAGCATGATGAATGACACTGGTCAAAAGCTAACAAATTGAGGGAAATGGAACTTCCTAACACTGAGAGCATGCTTTCTTGGATTATCGGTCATATTTTTTTACCATATCAGTAACTTACTTGACTAACTTATTTAATTGGATAACTAAGTTGGCAGATAATGGTCTTGTTTGGGAATAACATTTTCGATTAGCGTTTGCGTTTTGCCGTTTTGGATAAAATTTTAATGGCGTAGATTAATTCTGAAAATGCTAACACTGACGGCTACCGTCAAATAGCCTTTTCAAAACGCTAACTTCTAACGCTGATGCCAAATGGGCCCATTAATTAGCAAAAACTAAAAGTAGCACTTTCGGTCCTCATACTTTAGTAATTATTCCATTTAATTTATTAATAAGTATATTTTAAATGCACTTTTAGACAACTATGCCAATTCAACCATTTCATGATTTTCATCCATTCAACAAATTCACAATAATTTCAAACACTTTTTATCTCACCATACAGATAAGATGTACTCCCTCCGCCCCATAAACTCCTTCTCCTTCCTTTTTTTCTTTGTCCCGCAAAGTCCTCATTTCTATTAAAAAACCATTTTTACCCCTACTAATATTTACCCTACCTATCACATCATACTTTTTTACAAATAATCTACCCATCACATCTTACTTTTAGCCATCACATCAAGGTTATTTTTGGAAAATCAACCCAAAGATATCCCTCCCTTATTTCTCCATATAGTCAAAAGGGAAAAACTTTAGTACTGTGTTTGGTTCAAGGAATTTGGAAGGAAAAGAAAAGAAAATGATATTCTCTCCTTCTCCTCACCAAAATGTGGGAGGAATTTGGTTTTCCTTCCACTTAGTACATTTGCCTTCCCATTTTCTTTTCCTTCCACTTTTCCTTTCTTTTCCTCTCTAACCAAACAAGAAAAACTATTTTTTCACTCCATTTTCTTTTCAGTTCCATTCAAATTCCTTGAACCAAACATAGTGTAAGGGAGGGAGGAAGTATGTAAAAGCAAAAGTGAAGCTCACAGTTTGATACATGTAGCTGTCGAGCTCGTCCTGTGCATCATCAGTGGGCATTAAATTTGCCAGCGCAACTATCTGTAATTAAACATTATTAGTCGCATTAACCGGAATCAACACAGAGCAGAGAGAGAGAGATATGCGGGAGAGATGACCTCGTGACCGTAGTGTATGCATTTCATCATGGCGTAGCAGCTGTCTTTGCCGCCGCTAACTAAGGCCACCACCTTCATGACTTGCCGCCGATCAGCTTGCTGCTCCGGTCGATGGTGGCGCGGGAAGTGTAGGGTTTTTAGGAGGATTTTCTCCGTGTTTTATTACATGCTCCGCATACGGAGTATTTTACTGTTTCTGGGAAAACACATCAGTAAAAAAATACGGAGTAATAATATTATGCTATTGATGCCCTTGATTAAATGACCCGGAAAATATTTACATATCAGATTTTATTCAATTTATTTGCTATTTTTGTTAATATTTTGATAAAATAATGTAGTTATGTCACTACATGATAATGAAAACAATGATTATGAGTATAATATTAATGTTAATAATAATAGCAAAAATAACAATTACTCCGTACAATAGGAATAATATGAAAAACACATCTGAATAATATTTCTAAGTTTCTTTCAGTTTTTTCACTTCCTTCCACTTTTTAATTTTTTTTTGTTCTTTTGACTTTCTTCTAGTTTTTCTCCGTCTTTTCTAATTTCTCTCAATTTCTCCAGTTTTTTCTAGCTTTTTTATTTTATTCACATTTTTTAGTGTTTTTTTCAACATCCAACATTCTTCTCAATTTTAAAGAACATGATCTTAACAAAAAGTTATATTTAAAACTTGTCAGATATGATCTTGTAATAAAAATATTTGAATAATACAAATAGGTTACGTAGTACAATGAAGGCTTGGAGTAGGATGATTGTTTTATTCACTTTGACTACGTTTGACATCGACGTTACTAATTAGCGTTATCATTTTGAAAAGACCACTTGACCAATAGTTTTTATCTAAAATACTACGGAGTAATACTAATAGAAGATGTTGTTTCCAGCCAAGGTCTTTATTAGTACAAAAGATTTTTTATTAAGAAAACATCCCTTACGGAATGGATATGTATTTTACGGAATGGATACTATTATTTTTTTTTATACGGAATGGATATGTATTTTACTACCCATTACTCCGTATTTTTTAGGTAATTTTTTTCCCCCACTAAATTTCGGATTAGAACTCATCTGCCATTAGGATATCCATATCGGCGGAAACCAAGCGCGACAGCCTGCTCTTGTCATCCCGGCGGCAGTCAAGGCCGACAGAGAGACTCGTCTTCACAAAGTAAGCCGATTCCCCATGTCTATAATATGCCCTCGTCTATGCGCTCGCGCCCGCACACTCACAGATATACAGCGGATTACATATCTGCATCACATTTGTGCTTTTTTGATACATTATTGTATATAACCCTGATACATTATAGGAGCAACGACGCCATGGATTTGGATCAGCTCCAGTCCACTATGAGGACTTTTGAGCTCGCATGTACTTCGGTTCAGGTATTGTTCGCATATCTTTGGTTGATGAGATAGATATAATTGGCATTTGATTGGCATGTTGCAAGTGTTAAGTAAATTATGCGAACCATTAAATCATTTAAATATATTGATTTCTTAAAATAATGCGAATCATTATATGCTCTAAATATATTGATTGCTTAAGCTTCCCTATAGCATTAGCTTTAGCTCTATTAGTGCAATACGTTGCTGTTATTAACTTTTTTTACAGTATAATACCACATCCGTAGGGGTCTGGGGGTCAAGATGACCTTAAAGGCATTGGTGCATTTACTGCCCAGATTTGCATAGAGTCTAAGAAGGAAGAGATGTTTAGTTATTATTAATGTGCGTTTATTTGTCCATTAGGGGCTGTTTGGAAACTTCTGAATAGGTAAGTACTGAACCAGTAAAAGGTCTGAATCATTAAGTGCTGAACCAGTAAGAGGTCTGAACCATTACGAGCTAGTATATTGCTTAACTATTTAAAGGCAAATGCCTAATCAATTCAGATAAGAGGTCTTAACCATTCAAACTCTGTATAATACTTAACCATTCAGAGGCAAATTTCTGAACCATTCAGGCATCTAAACCATTAAGAGGCTGAAACAAATAGTCTGAACCAAGAACCATTAAGTGCTGAACCATTCAGACATCTGAACCATTAAGAGGCTGAAACAAACAACCCCTTAGTGTTTTTTAGACTTATGTACCATTAACGCCTAAGCTGTCAATCAATATGCAATGATGATGACGTCGGTTTGAATGTGTCCTGTATGGATGTTCATAGCATATTAGATAGCGGGGGAAACCTTTGTGCACTCAAGTGTGTTTACATTAGATATGTGATCTGAAGTAGTTGAGGGTGTGTATTGTTTTTCTGGTTGCAAATTATGAGCACTGACGGAAAGCTGCTTAAAGCTTGTTGCATTATTGGTAAACTATAAGTTCAAAGGACTGGACATTTCTAATTCAACCGCATCAATTAAAAGTGATTTCCCTTGAACAAATAAACACTTAAACATTAAATTCGAATTTGGTTGTTCTCATGAATCTCAATTAAATTCAGCTAAGCAGTTGAACAACAAATTCATATTCACCATGCTATTCTCTCGAGACCTGACGTCTTTTACTTTTTGTTTATTAACAAAAGCATCAACAACAATCCTTGTGTTGCTGTTGATAATGTTTACTGTACACTGTAGACTATTTTTCTGCTTGTGCTAATATTAATGTTTTATACTTTTATCTGCCTCTTAGAAGGTTTATGGTGATCCAGCAGCCGAGGCTATCATTTCATCCCTGAGTCATTCTATTCGGCCATACCGGGTATGCCAATTTATTCTTGGTGAGTCTTCAAAAATCATGTTTGTCTCTGCTAGTTACACACACTCACATTGAAATTTTAAACTATTTTAGGCAAGCCATAAATTCAATTATTGTTTTACCCACATTGGTCCTTATGTTTTCTTAGGTTGGTTCAGTCCTTAAACTTCTCTTGACCTTGTTTTATCCCCTTATTTTTCTAAAATGGTGCTAATTTGGTCCCACGGTTGATCTTTTACAATCAACTGAATCAAATGTTTGGTTTGGTTGTTATTATTTTCCAACCCATTCAAATATTTTTTCAATTGCACTTGCATATTTGGTTAGTTTATAAAAAATTGACTACAAGACATAGTTATCATGATTTTGGAAAACTTAGGGACCAAAACAGGGTCGCAACTCGCAAAAAACTTAGTCACTGAACCAATAAAATTGGATGAATAATTGAATATAAGGATCAAAATGAGGTTTTAGCCTTGATTAAACAAGTTGACATCATCTAATTAATTAAATCAAATAACTAAAGCAAGAAATAGTGATGTTGACTGATGAACAAATAATGTGAAGATTGTTTGTAAACTTTATTATTAAGAGGAACAGAAATATATAACATGGCATATGAAGACAACAAGTCAACAATTTATGGGATGGACCATAGCACCTAGAGTAAAATTTCCAAATAACCTCATAAAAGGGCCAGATAAATTAATAACATACTCTCATTGTATTTTTCTCCTAGATACTTTGGTATTATGCATTTAGCTACTGAGATCACTAAAGTTGGTTTTTTAAATGTTACACATTTGTTTACAAGCAAAAATTTGTAAGGCTGGCCATATTTTTTACTCTGCACTTGCTATAGAGAAAATAGTATGGCATAGTTCTCTTCGAGAATTGTTGAATGCTCCTGTATTTCTAAAACCCAACATGTGATTGTTTACATGTTGACTATTCTGATAGGGTCTTAAAACAGAGTACCATTAAGATGCCATTTTTTAGTCGCATACATTTTAGAGAGGCATAGATGAAGGTTACATGCTATGTTAGAATTAAAAAAGTGTGAATGAAATTTGAGTGTGGTGTTTCAATGTTTGAACTAACAACACTTGACATCTCCAGAACATTCTCAGGTGGCAATGGCACAGTTTCAGGCTGCTGGAGCTCTCAGAGATGCAGCAATACGAGAATGGGTATTTCTTGAGGATGATGATAAGAGGCATTTGATAAGGTAATTTTGATTTCAAACATACACAAAATGTTGCCATGGCGGTCAACTATTTATTTTGACAGAATAAAGATCTAAAGAAAACGTTAAAGAACATTTGACACTTCATCCTCACTTTAGGAGTATTGCCTATTTTGAATAATATAGGAAAGTGAATATTATTATCTTTTGTTGCGTACAAAAGGATACCTACTTGTTTCTAGTTACAAATTGATGATGAGCCAAATGATGATATCATGGTGAGCTAAGCAGTATTGTCAAAGTACAATTATTATACACACCTTTATTCAACAGTTGTTCAATGATCCTACGTGCATTGGCTCATGATCCAGTGCTTTTGTTTTTCTTTTTTAGCTTTGTAATAATAAGGTATCACTTTCCTAAAGGTTCATTGTATTAATAACATTTCTGTTAGGAACAAAAGCACACACACAGGAATAGAAAGCAAGAAAGCAATAAAGAACACAAGAGATTTAACGTGGTTCGGTCTAATCTGACCTACATCCACGGGGGCAACTAGGGTTTGTATTATTGAGTGATAATGATTACAAGCACAGGAGCAGTGTAATCTTAGAAAAAGCTTGATCTCATGGAGCAATTATTTAGTCCCATGTTTGAGCTCCCTAGCTTGACAAAAAGCTTGACAAATAGGGCAATTATTTAGTCCCATGTTTGAGTTCACTAGCTTGACAAAAAGCTTGATCTAATGGAGCAGTGTAATCTTACGAGCAAATTGTAATTTGTGGAAGAGTAATTTGCGGAATTGCATTAGACAAAAATGAATCAACATCATAAGATCACAATGATTTGTTTGATTGGCTTTCTAATTTAAGTTATGAGTGATGGGCTGTTGGTGATTGAAGAAGATATATTGCTATTGTCTATGGTGGTAGACTACAAAGATTCATGGACCTTTACTACTAGTGTCTGTGCTCTCTCTGCTGGTCTTCAGCTAATCACTTCATCTTTCTGCTGCAGTTTTTGCCTTTGTTTTGTTTTCAAATATGCAAGTTCATCTGAAGGCTATGTCATATCAAAAGTTGCTTCAGTTGCCGCGCAATTGATGAAAAGGGGTTGGTAAGTGTCTCTCCATCTTAGTGTCTTGCCACCCACAGGCCACAAGGTATATGGTGAGAGCGGATTCAGTACTCATGAAGTTGACTTTTCTATGACCTACCTATAGGCTGGAATTTGTAGCAGCTGTTAGGGAGGCATTTTTCTCCGAGGTACCAAAATATGTTCATAAGTCTTGATTCTCTAATGAAATTTTGGACACCATGAATCTTACCTTTTGTAGAATTGGACGAGATTAATCACTTTTTTCACAAATCACGACATTGAGCCAACCTTTAAGACCCATTATTTTTATTACCACCACCTAAGTCACTGTGCTCACAAATCAGTTTTTATATGTGGCATCCTATGCAGCTTATAGTCCACTCTTTTCAACATATTTCCAGTTTAGTGAAGTACATCACAGTTCAGTTATTTTGTGTTGTATTCAGACACATGGATGCATTTTTTTTATTTTTCACGCAAGAGTTTGTTCCTTTGAACTGAAATTTACTGATCTGAATATAAAACTGAAAGTAATGATAATTTTGATTGAATAATGCTGAATTGGTTTATTGAACTGAACATAATTGAGATAAGATGAAGTTGGAAAGAATGCACTCTAAGCTTTGTAGGATGCCACACCATATAAAAAAAGAGTTTTGTACAAAGTGACTGGATGGTAGTATGATAAAAACAATAAAGTTTATAGGTTGGTTCAAGCTTTTTGAAAGGTGGGGTTAATCTCATCGAACTCTCAAAAGGTTAGATTAATGGTGTCAAAAGATCCTTCTTCAATTTGTTATTTCAGCTTAATCAATGCAAGTCTATGAATCTGCAAGGCTTTGTCCCACGTTTACACACACAAACCACAGAAAATGTGATTAGTTAATGACCGCTTTACATCATATCTCATATATACACCTTTTTTATTTTCAATAAATAGATAGATGGTTACACATGTGATCCAGAACCTTTTTTGTAATATCGTGTTCTCTCTATCTGTTCATGGTGGATTAAAGTAGTAAAACCATATTTTGTTAGATGAATACACACGAGCTTGCAATTTGCTTGGATTTTGTGTTTTTTGATGTGAAAAGCTGATTTCATTTTGGCTCTTATATTTTTTTCTTCAAATGAAGGTGAAGCTGGCAATCATAGGTAGCCATGGTCTTGGTGCACAGTTTGCCGGAATTCATTTCTTGGAATCTCTGGTATGTGGGTATTTGTTCTGTACTTCTGTAGATACACTTTCAATTAGCATAGGGTTTTGGAATAACAACGACCTTTCTCTTAGATTGTGGTCTATGTCTGTTTTTTTATATGCATTCAGTTCATAGTTCAAACTGATGATTTTTAATTTTTTTCAGGTCTCAGAATTTTCACCCTCCACTTCACCTGCTATGGGTCTTCCAAGAGAGTATCACTATGAGTGCAAGAAATTGTTGGAGCTAGAATATCTGATGGTAAGATGATTGGCTTTGGTGTTATTTGTGCTAGCTTAGACTGATTCAGAACTTGTATAGTCCTGCTAATAGCTTGTTAGTGAAGAGGAGTTTTCTAACTTGCTTGATGTTGGATTTTCATTCATGCTAATGGCTTAGTTTCTTTCTCAATTCACAGATGTTCTACTGCTGGGCACAAGATGCTGCTATAGGCGTTTCTGGTAGAATAGTTGAGTCTCATTCCGCTGTTCCTGAAGTGAAAGTGTGCACAATGGCTCTGCGCTTCATGCATCAAATTTTGAATTGGGATTTTCAAAACAAGTCCATGATGGGTAATGGTGCAAAACAAGTCATGGATCTTCCTGTCGAAGTTAAACGTGCCACAAATACTTCTAGATTGACAGAGTGTAACTTGGTTCAAGTAAGAAACTGATTCCCTTTACAATTTATGTCATGCTGTATAAGGTAATGCTAATCCCAGATCCCTCACATGCTGAAAACAAACTATTGAAACCCCCTTTTGAAAATTAAAAAAAAAAACTTGCTAGAAAAAATGAAGAAAAAGGAACACTGCTTGACTGCATACATAATAAGAAAGAATGAAAGCTTGACTGCCCTATAGTGATTGCTTCCATTCTATCTCTTCTGTTCTATCCTTGATGATAGGCCTGTATTTTGAATATCATTTTTCACTATTTCAAGTAATATATAAACGTCAAAATAATAGTGGCTTGCCTATTGCTTCAACTTTTATNCCCCCCCCCCCCCGCTATTTTGGCTCTAGTTATTCACATTGTAGTTATGCTTGTTTGCTTGTAGCTTGGTCCCTCCTGGAGAGCTGTGCTGATATCAAGTGGTCATGTCACATGGCTGCTAAACCTGTACAATTCCCTCAGGCATAAATTTTCTTGTGAAGGTTATTGGCTTGATTGCCCTCTTGCTGTCAGTGCACGTAAACTTATAGTGCAGTTCTGCTCATTGTCAGGATCTCTTTTTCCTTCTGGTACTGTTTATTTTCTTTATTTTCTACTGATATACTTATCCTCATGAAAACTTACATAACAAAGGTTCCTTTAACCTCTTATAAGCTGTTTTCTTATATCATGTAAGATACTTAGAGTGTCTACTTGTTTGAATCTGGGAGGACAATCCAATAGGTGGTTGAACCACTACTTGATGCAAACCGAAAGGTGATAAAATCAAAACAAGTAATGCGGAGAAACGTAATTCTAAATGAAGTGTGATAACAAAGTAATGTATTTATGAATGCAAGATGACCTATAGATAGTACTCCTTACTACAATAACGGAGCATCTATAATGAACTATCCCAGTTGCCATATAGTACTATATAAAGTTGACAATCCTACAATTTCTTATCTATGCCAATGACTTACTACCCACCTTTTGTCCCACACTCCTGGAGTGGCTTCCCAATGCCCCTACCTAAAATGCTAGTAATGTGAAATTCTAAAATGTTTGTAGTATACTAGTATTACTCAATGCTTTACTACTTACTACGAGTTTCAGATGCCAAATTACTGGAATTAGTGAAGACTCTGCTTTCCCAGTTTTTAACTCTTTAGTAGTGCAACTCCAAGGAGAATATAGTTTCATAGGTTAATTTACATACTCTAAGTTGAAGTTGATTGCAATACAATTATAGAAAGTGAAAAGTGAGTAAAGTTAGAGAGCGTGTCTAGTAAAACTTTCATGTTTCTTGGAAAAATAAAAGAGAAAAAGATGTAAAGTACTAAAGTGGATGCTAACCCTAAAGGCTGCTCAGATGCTTTCCCAGCCTCCCTCTTGGAATGCATGTACACTCACAACTCAACTTGAGCTTAGAACTATGTTCCAAAAAGATTATGCCATGATGGAAATGGACCTTTGGAAGCTGCTTAGTTGTTGGTGCATCTCCGCACTGGAGTGTCAACATTCCGCTGTCTCACATGACCGAACCACCTCAACCTAGCTTCCCGAACCTTATCTTCCACCGGTGCCATGCCTAACCGACCTCAAATAACCTTGTTTGGGATATGAAAATGAATATGTTTGGTCAGCAAAGGAAATATATGAATTGTTTTGTATGCAAGAATCCAACAAAAGAAAAGGGTTCTCATTCGTTTATCTACGGACCTGTAGAAGTCCGAGTAATTGCTGTGACCTTTGCAGTTGTTAGTGTGAGACAACATTTGTTTTTCATTATGTGCTTTGGTGCAATTTATTTTGCATTACCTCGATTTTTTGCTGTCTTGCTTCCCACCTGCCCATTTGTTGCGATGAGTCCAACCAGTCAGTTGAATTGTATATTTCATTAAGATATAATTTTCTATTCTTACTGTCTAGAAAAAAATTTCTCTTTTATTGATGTGTTATCTACTTTGGCAAGTTAACATAAAGATTATCCTGTTAATCTGAATTGCTTGATTGATTTGTTTTCTATATCTTTTTACCTTTGCCTTTTGACCTGACTTCTAAGGTATGGACTCTTCATTCCTAATTCAAATGAACTCTTGTATTTAATATGTAGATGATGGGCAGACCCAACGACATCACCTTATGCAACTGCTTTGTGGAATCATTGACTGGGTTGATCCTCCTGGTGTTGTTTCAAAAGCAATCAAAGAAGGGAAAAGTGAGAGGTTATACTCTTTACATTTTACAACATCTACTCCTAACCCCTCATTCTTGTTATTCTAGATAGTGCTTTACCGAGTTAACGGTGAATGTAGTGAGCTGCTTGATGGTTGCCGGGTACTATTATCCATAGCAACTGTTACCTCCCCAAATGTATTTGATCAACTGCTGAGATCGATAAGGTTAGTTACATAGTTAAATTTGAGTGAAATAGCCATTGTCATACTTTAGCAACATTGTCTGTTTTATGCACTTCTACTTTTAATATTGTTGAATCTCCATTTTATGTGATTTGCCATGTTATTGATGCTCAGGCCTTACGGTACTCTCAGTCTATTGTCTGCCCTAATGTGTGAAGCGATCACGGATCAAATGGAAAATTGCACAGAAGAGGAGACATGGAGCTGGGTGGCACGTGATATCTTACTAGATTCCTGGACTACACTTCTCATGGTATTTTGCTTTTGATGTTGCTGAAGTAATGATCCTAATCTACAATGGAAGTTATTGAGCTATTTTAATTAGGATTAATTACTGTGATATGAGTAAAACATAGGTCAAGTGCACCAATAGGAGCAACTAATTGTTACATGTTTCATTACTTTCATGGGAATAAAAAGGCAACAAAGTGACCAAATAACTTTCATTTGTATGGTACGCCTTCCGTCTAGAAAGTACTTTCCATGTGAAAAAGGCATGGGTTTTATGAGTGGCACTAAAATTTGGTTGAAAAATGTTTACTGCTGGGAAAATGACTATTAATAAGATGTGGGGTAGGGTCTGTGGGTAGTTGAATGATGAAAGTGTCTTTTCATTTGTTCAATTTTTCCAAAAAAAAAGGAAATTGATTGTGGGAAGATGATTTTGGGACAATGGGCCATCATTTTCTGTTACCACACACCACCGTCGACCACCACTTGTCAATGTCACCGGCATATGATTATGGTTACTGCCATCCTAAATTAAAAAAAACTAGTGCAACTGTCACTCTGTCCACCACACCACCGCACAGCATGAGTCGGCATGACACCATGACAGTGAATATTATTGTGACAATGTAAACCATCGCCCTACCAGCATCACACGGTCACCTCATACACCAGCATACCCCTCGGACTGTTGTCACATCCCCACCACCAGTACTCACACCAATACCCCACCACGGCTACTTACATAGTATGCCAGTAATGATAGTGGAAAATTACATGTTCATTATCAATACAATTGAGAAGGAAGAGATTGAACCAGAGAGAAGAATATTCGAAGCAGACCGGGACAATAAAAATTTGGCCAGTGAGCTTTCTATTTCTCATAGCACAAAGAGAAAAAATTCCCAACGTTCAAAGAAAATGCCGCACGAGGTTTAAGATTTTGCAAAAATGTGGGACAGGAGCTTTCAAGTTAGAGATCTGTCGTCTTCGTCCTCGTCCAGAATCTTTATTCTGTATTGCTCTGTGTGGTGACAGTGAAATTGTTGGGAACTCGGCGAAATTGCGCCATAGCTTTTCCAACCTTGCTGGGTGATGGATCTTCAGGTGGAAACTCATAAATTAATGGAGAAATTTGACTTTTAATACAGAACAAAGGAAGAGAGAAAAAATAGTGGATTACAAAAAAAAAAAGTAATTGATTTTACCAAATTTGAGACTGTGTGTGTGTGTGTGGGTGGGGGGGGGGATGTTAGGTTTATCGCTACACCTGCATTACTATGTAATGATAACACCCACAACTTTACCTCCTCATCGTATAGAAGTAATTGACGAAGACACAAAGAAGACTTGATGGTGAAATGCACACAGACACTGGTCAAGTTAGTCCAGTTCAAGCAATGCTATGTGGAACAGTGGAAGCAAAGTTCAAGTTTCAAAATTTTTAAACTTGTGAAGTATTCTATAGGAATGTTGTAATTCTAGATTTAGAAGCTAGTATATGTTTTCTTATTATCTTTAGGTTTATTATGCTTTAGGTTTCATTTTTCTAATTCAATTTACCCTATAATTTCTGCATTTATAATCAATGAAGTTGCAAGTCAAAAATCATAACAATAAAAGTAGCATACTCATAGTATTTAACACAGTAGAGAACAATTAGGGGTTTGCTCACCAGTCACCACACATGTCATTTTGTTTAATCTCTCTCTTTGAACCTCCTTTTTTGTATACATATTCAGCCATTGGATTGTATAGATTCCAAGGCACTGCTCCCACCAGAAGGGATTACTGCAGCAGCCAATCTTTTCACATTGATTGCAGAATCTGAATTAAAGGGTAAACCTTATTGTTACCACGGTGATGCGCTTTAAGTTACTATTGAAACTCATATTCCATCCTTGAATCGGTCATAACATGATTATTCTTCTGCAGTTGCTTCTGCAACAGCCTTTAATGACGACAATGAATCTAGTTACTTCCATGCCTCTATTGCTGGTACATATCTGCACTAAATAAACTACTTTATTGAATTTATTTTGTGCTTTAGCACTCTAACATTTTTAATTTGAGTTAGTCTTCCACATGATAATTTCTTTAGTAGGATATTATTGTGTTTATCTCTATTACTTTGTAGCTATGGATGAAAGATTAAGCACTTATGGCCTTATTGCTCGAGCTGCTGCTGATATTAGTGTTCCCTTACTGATTAGACTGTTCTCTGAGTGCTGTACGAGGCTTCATCAGGTACACCATTGGTTTGACTTTGAATTTTGCAGTGGTATCTTGATGGTTGTTGTGAAGGAAGATGAAAATATTTTTTAAATGAAAATGTCCATATAAAATAATCGTATTTTTACACATATTATGAATGCTAACTGTATTCAGAATTAGGCTATGCTCATGAGTGTTATAATGATTTTTTACACCCTGTCATGGTCAAACTAGACCATACATACGTTTCTGTCACATAATATTCTTCCCCTTAACAATTTTCATTGTTTTTAAAATTTTAAACTATGTGGTTGAGATTTAAAAGAAATCTGAAGAAGTTACTGGTTTGACACAAAAAAGAAATCATTTTGGGACAAAAGGAGTATAACTTAGAAAAGATGTCTACATTAATCCCAAATGTGGGCGGCAGTGCGCTTTTATTAATCCAAATTATCAATCATTTTGGTATAATACGAAGTATAGGGTCCATCAACCATAATTAGTCTACGTAACTGACTTTGCTGAGTTTGCTCCAATAAGCCAAAAGAAAAATTGATTACGATAATAAGAACTAATGAACTATGTCTGGTTTGCTTTTATTAACCTCAAGAAGGAAGTATTGAGTACATGTTGCTCGTGTTAAGAAAACTTCCTGGCAACGTGAAAGCAGACACATATGCACATGGTGAGAGCCGAGAAGTCCTCATGGAAGCATGGAAGTACACACAAATGATTGGAAACTCCATATATTGTTTAGGATTGTGTAAATAATGTTTGTTTTGAGTTATGTGTGCATAAAACTGCAATATAAAGAGTATTTTTTTTTATATATAAAGGATTTGTGGTGCATCTGGTTTACCAATTAGGGAGTAATTATTTAAGAAATTAATTTCTTGAACCACCATTTAGCCCCTTGAAAGTGTTTAATTTTTGTTTAATTTTAAATAAGCTATTGTTTTATGTCTTTAATGGTGGTACATTACTTGATATTTTTATTCCCATAAATTAATATAAGCTGCATTCTTGTTGTCATAACAGCTACTGTTCTTTGTCTCAAAATAATCACATTTAATAAAAAAAAATAGTAATTTATTAAAACTATATATAAACTATTTAAGAACTCGCCTTGATTAATTCTTTTAAAAGATTAATGTATCTCACACTCTTTCAAAGAAAAAAAGTTGAATCATATATGACAACTATGTGAAGCATTTAGAGTGTAATACAATAATGAATTGGTTTAGAGATATTCCTCAGTTTTGATATATTGTTTCAAATATTTTTTAGTTATATGGGTAGTTATTTGGGGAAAGAGGCGGGCATCAGGTGGTGGTCATGGTGGGGGGGGGGTGCGACACCTAAGTATTATTTTGCCTATAAAGTCTATACAGCTCTGCTTTTTATATATAATATAATGTTTTTTATAATTAGCAGCACTTAAAAATAATCATTTTTAAATATTAGACAAGAATGAGTCATTATTAGACATAATTGTGGGTGAAAAAATGCTCGTTCCATTCTGGTTTTGGTTCTGGAAAGTTTCCAGTCCCCCAAAGGCTAGAAAGTTACCAGCATTGTAAATTCTTAAAATCGTGAACAACAACAAACCCAGTGAACTCCCGTGGCGTAGGGTGCCAGGGTCGGGGGAGTTTTTGAATACTAGACATATCTAAAATGATAAGTAAATCAGTGCTATTTATTGTTTCTTTGTAGGGTAGTTATTTTGGTGTGGGGGTGTGGTAATTATTTGCAATTAATGGTTTGATGGGAAGTCTAAGTTTGAAATTTTGATTCTTAAATACTCCCTCCATCCCAAAGTTTTCCCACTTTGACTTCACGGAGATTACGAAAAAAATTGAACAGATGTTGAAAAATGAGTGGCTATTGGCTAGAATTTATTTAGAAGACAGAGAAGTATTCTAAACCACATTATTTTCCAAAAAGGGGAATTTTGGGATGGATGATGAGTGAAAGCGGGAAAGTTTTGTAGGACGGAGGGAGTAATTGTTGAAGAAAATTCTAAGATTTGAGGATCAGAGGAAGGAGAGAGAAACACACATTCTTTTTCTATAATTTTATATGTGGACTTATATTTTACTCTAGTAGGCAGATAAATAGTGCTAAGTAGGCTGATAAATAGTTCTATCATCACGGTTTTCTGATTGTCATTATTTGTTCACGATGCCCTTTTTATGATTGAATATTTGCCCATATTACAAAGTTGAGTGAGTTACACACTCTATTGATGCAGGGTAGAGGCTCTAGTGATCCGACTCAAACTCTGGAAGAGCTTTACTCCCTGTTATTGATAACTGGGCATGTCTTAGCTGATGAAGGGGAGGGTGAGACACCATTGGTAAATGAATTATCCCTTCAATAATTTTCTTTTTAATGGATCATACTAAACATCTTCAACGTATTATATATTCGTAGAGATCACCTCTTAAGGTATGAGATTGCTTTGCTCATTTTCATTTCAAATTTTCATCATCTTTCATTCTTTTGTGACTTCTAGGAACCTGTCTCTATTGTGATTAATAGTTTCCAGTAGCAATCTGATGCTATAAGGGTCTATTTTCATTGATAAGATATCTTTGCATTGCTAAGTTGATTGCCTTTCCTATGCATAATATGCTTATTATACTCTTACACTAGTTAATATCTGGACGCTTATGCTTCAGTGTTTTGGAACATCCCACATTTACTGATTTCCAACAATAATCGATATGTTTCTCCAAGTCCAAGCTCTTCATATGTCTACATTTGACTCCTTTATCATACTACTTCTATTCTCTTCACTCTAGACAACTCTCTATCCCGTATCGATGGGTGACATTTTTGTAATATATCAGGTGCCAAAGGCTATACAAACTCAATTCAGCCACATTATGGAGACTGAAAAGCATCCAGTTGTCATACTCTCAGGGTAAGTTTTCATGTTTTCTTCCAGTTAACATAGCTACATGAAAGTAAAATATCTACATTGTAGAATACTAAAATTGCTCATTGCATGACATCTTAATCATTTTTATAAGATATATGTACCCAATGCGTACCCTTGATATCAAGGCTTGGCCCCAAAAGTGTGAGTTCTTGGCCTAACATTCGTGATTAAGAGACAGACGCTATTCTTTGTTTCATATTTGGCTAGGCAGGGTTAGAATTAAGGTCTCTTGGCATATAAATAGAATAATTTCATAGAGTTTTACACTACTTGAACTTTTAAAGTTTGGTGGGTCAAGTCTGAGGCTGTTGGAATTTGGAAAATGATGCCAACATAGTCATCCTACATGAGCCAAATATGAAAATTTAAATCAATGTAATAGGCATTGGGCTGCCTCTATTAGGTTGAGCTTTTAGGATGGAACCTCAAGTTTTAAGATGGTATTAAAACCCACTAAGACACTCTTGTTGGATTCAGCTATTCTGTTTTTCCAGTCATTCTTTTAATAAGCTTCTTCAATCTCCCTTTAGTTTCTACTTATGGCATATCTCAAGAAGGGGCATACAAATTTCAATATTGTTCTGTCCCAATGAGCCACTATCTTACGGGGAATGTCAAGTCCTTCCACGTCCGCCAAATACAAGCATATATACGAACATATAAGTATATAACTACATTAGTCGTTGGACTATTCCTTTCATCAAGGTTGACCTGTTAGGATGGAACCTCAAATTTTTATAGCATATTAGTTTGCATACTTTTCAATAGTTTAAGATAATGTTTAGCCCATCAATATTTGAAATTGCAACGTGCAATACACAATATTGCGCGCCTCAGAACCTTTTTCAGAGAGAAACGCCATGGGGCGATCTTAGCAATACGCTATATAGGTTTTGTAGATATTGCAGAAGAAGGCGTACACCTCAGGGCTAAACGCAATTAGGCATTCTAAAACGTATGCAATATTTTCCCGGAAAAATTAAATTTTAAAGTTAAATTAGTAATTTTCTTTGAAAAATTTAAAAGTTAAATGCACTAACCTAATTCCTATCCTAGTCGCTGATCGTCTCCCCTATTTGGTCTTCATCTTCAGCGTTTTCTCCCCCTATCTTTGCAGTCGGCAAGTAGTAGCAGAGCAGCGAAACTAGGTTTTTCTTTTACTTAGTTCCTCTCCAACTCTCTCACTTACTACTAGTTGTTACTCAGTTTAGCTTTTAATTCCTTGATTTTGTTTGTCATTCATGCATGTTGTCTTTCAACTTCTCTTTTTGTTTTTTTACTTTTGCATTGGTTATTTGAGTTTGTTATTTTATAAATCGGAAAAAAACTTCTTCCTATCTATTCGTGAAAAAGACTTTTTGTTACTCATATTAATTTAAGTTTAAAATTGGGATACTTTTTCGTACATAAATTTTATTTTAATTTTTTTTAGTAAAAAAATGACGGGCTGGCATGGAAATATGGGATTGAATCACGGCCAATAATGAAGGAAATACTACATCTTTTGATCCTAATTTGAAGCCTTTAGACACCGATGAATGTTTTTTGCATTCGTCAATTTAAGTTCATTGTGTTTGGCCAATATTTTGTATTCCATGCTAGATTTTGTTGTGTTTGAGATCTTTTACTTTGCCAATATACTTTTTAATGTTTTTAGATTAATACTGTTCTATATTCATTTTTAAAAATGTTATATTCACATTTTTAGACTTGAAAATTGAGGCTTACGCCTGAATATGCTTTAAGGCTTACGCAATACGCCTCAAAACCGCAATACACAATTTCAAACATTGAGCCCATGATGAATGTTGAATATGCAACCTTTTTGCCGACATGATTTTTGCAATGTGTAAACCTGGACTTTATTTTGCTGTTATTTAAACCACGTTATATCGAATCTTGAGTTATCTTATCCAAGTTGTCTATCTAATTATCTGCACATCCTTATTTTTATTCCTTTGGCAGATCTATAATAAAATTTGCTGAGCAGTGTTTAGATCCAGAGCTGAGAGCATCCTTTTTTAGCCCTAGACTTATGGAGGTAGTGTGTTAAATATGTGCTTGGTTATGATCTTATCAGTGAACTGCTGAAATACTGTAGTTGGAATGAATTTTTTTTGTTTTATCCAGCCATTCTTTTTTGGGTGGGGTTCTTTTGACATCACCCACTAATGCCATAATATGACATCAATTCAATTGAGGTACCTACGGTACACCGTTCGTAAAATTAATGGTTCCTACCCGGTAACCCCCAGCTCTGCATGTCCCTATCGCACCACCGCACCCCCTCCAATTGCACTCCCCAAAAATTGTTGATTTTGGGGTCAAATTTTGACCTCAAAGTCAACAAAAATTGGGGAGTGCAATTGGAGGGGGTGCGTTAGGGACAAGCCGGGCCTGGTGGGGGTAGGGGTAGGAACCACCAATTTTATGAACGGGACACCATAGGTGCCTGATTTCATATTATGGCATTAGGTTCTAGTGTCAAAAGAACCTTGATGTTCTTTTAATATGCTGCTTCAATCTCCCTTAAGGTTCATCTCTTTCCATATCTATAGTCCTTAGCTGGCTCACTTGGCTGTGTTCACCTCTATGTCTATGAATAAATCTCTACCAAATGACATTTTGGTTTGCTGCAATAACAATACAACAACATTACCCCAACGCCCCAAAAGCTCCGAGCCATTGCAGGGTAGGGGGGGTGGATGTACGCAGCTTGACCCGTATGTTTAAAACATAGAGCGACTGCTTCCCAATGACCCATGATGAGTGTTGAAAGTTGCATTGATTAACTGCTACTTCACTATAAAGAAGCGCAGAAGTGAGTCATTTTGCTTTATTCCATGTACCCCAAATCAAAAAAATAGTAAATCTTTGCCGCAATAACAGTGTTAAGTAAAAATATATTCATGAGCATGCTTCTTAATGGTCTCCCCAGCTCCTCGGATTGAGCCAAAGATGGGTATGCGGCTCCTATAGATATCCGCTCTCTTGGGTGTCTGAAGCGCCCTTTGTGCTTCTTATGCAATCAGAAATACTCGATCCGTCCCGAATTAATCGTCCTACTTTCCGTTTTAGTCCACCCCAATATGATTTTCCTACTTTACTTACCTATCAAAGTTAAGAATATGTGGTCTACAATCTTTCTCTTTCTTCTAAACAATTGTAATCACTTACTTTTTATTTTTCAACACATTTTTTGACTTTTTTCAACTCCGTAAAGTCAAAATAGGACAATCAATTCAGGACGGAGGGAGTAAAATAACTCCTCCTCCCTCCCCTTCCCCTCTCTGGTTCATTAAAAACTCTACTTGCTAGTTTTTTCAGTCTATCGGTCTATCCACAGTTGACAGTTAGCTTCATTCAAGAAAAAGGCAGTCCCACAATTCTCTGGCCACTTAGTGTTTGGAGTTTGGGCAGATAGTTCTAGAATTATAGTTCATGCTTTATTCAATTAAATATATAATGTAACTTATAATTTACATATCAAAAGACACCTTCCTAACGGTTTAACTTCACGTAGTTTAAGAAAGTATTTAAAAGTTAAAGTTGTTTGGTGAAAATTGAAAAATGTGGTTAGGAAGTATTTGAAAGAGAGAATTAAAGATGTCCACATATTTATTTTCTAAAAAATAAAATGGAGAAGTATAAAGTTGATATTTAAACTTCCAAAAAAAGGAAATTGTAAAATTCATTCAAATAGGGAGGAAGTTTTCAACAAGTCATTTAGTATCTTGATGCAATTCACTTAAATCAATTTTTATGAAAAAATGAAATGTTTTAAATCTCTAGATGAAGACGAAATTGGTGATTGGTGTGTTATTATTATGATCATACTATCATAGTTTTATTTATTCGTTTATTATGCCAATTGTAAAACTTTTAATAGATACTCTATATTACATTATACAAGCCTATTATTATATTTTGGTATTAATAATAGTTTTCCACTACAATTATTAGTAATAGCTTCCTTTTAGTATAAGTATTCTATTCTAGTTAGTATTAAAATTCTTGTAGATAATGGCTCAATTTACTTGCACACCAATATTTGTTATGCTTAATGATAACCTTTATGAACTATGTAGTGCAGGCCGTTATATGGTTCCTCAGAAGATGGTCTTCAACTTATTTGATGCCATCTGAAGAATATAAAGAAGGTAAAAGTTCAAATGCTTTTGTTGATGGACGGTTTAAGGAAGTGCAGTCTCAGAAAGCGTTGCTTGATTTTTGTGGAGATCACAATCAGGGCAAGGCTGTGCTTAATATCATTGTTCGCATCTCGATCACCTCTCTTATATCTTATCCTGGCGAAAAAAATTTACAGGTATGAAATGTGCAACTACTGTTTATTTTTCTTTGATAACGCACCTTGACAGTTGTATAAGATTACAACAAAGGAGTATAAAAATATTGTTTGGAAATGGTAGGTAATGAGCCCAAATCACATTAATGCCCTGATCATCTTCCCCTCCATTAATATTGAATAATGAATAAAAGTTCAGAAGAAATAAAACACAGCTTCAGTTAATTGGAAATTAAAAGTCACATAATCATTAAAAATACACTACACATTGAAAAATCTGGAGTCTGGACCAGGATGCGCTGAAATAAGAAAAAAAAGAACAACAACAACAACCAAGCCTTATCCCACTAGGTGGGGTCGGCTACATGGATCAAACGACGTCATTGCGCTCTCTATCAAGTACCATATCAGCAGCAAGATCATTCACGCGAAGGTCCACTTTGACCACTTCATGCCAAGTCTTCTTAGGTCTACCTCTTCCTCTAGCCACATGTTTATTCACCATTTGACTTATTTATATAAAAAGTAATACTTGGGTACATACCTTTTACTTTAAATTGTGAATTTTTGTTTACTTTCTTTTATATGATACTTATATTTTAGTATGTCTGTTTTGTCTTCTTTAAGAATATAATGTCATTTTGCAATTTTTTTACTCTCCAACCTAAATTAAATTTTGCTATGACCGAATATAGAGTTCAAAAAATGTTGAAAAATAAAACAACAACAACAACATTACCCTAGTGCCTCAACGGCTCCCGCCCATTGCAGGGTAAGGGGGGGTCAGATGTACGCAGTCTAGCCCATTTGTTTAAAACATAGAGCGGCTCTTTCAAGATGACCCATGATGAGCGTTGAAAGTTGCATTGACTTACTGCTACTTTACAATTGCAAGAAGCACAGACAGTTTAATGAGCCAATTTGCTTTATTCCATCATACCCCAAAGCCAAATAGTGAAACTTTTGCTCCACTGGGGAAAGGATATTGTTGAAAAATAAAACGTCAAAACAAAATTTAATTATATTCTCATTTTTAACTTATATTAACATAATTAAAAACTATTATACATATGGATATATGAATATGCATGTTACACACATATAACACCCAATGTTCACCTTTTGACCGCCCAGCTCTCGCCTTAAAAAGGACCTCTCACCTGCCTCTCACCTTTCATAACTATGCCTTCACATTCAACTGTTGTAATATATTGATTATATTCTGTTATTTTTTGAAATTTTATAGGCACTTACTTGCTTTGAATTGCTCCATGGACTTGTTCGGCGTAAAAGTGTTTGTACACACCTTATAACCTTGGTTAGTTGTCCATCTCTTGTTACATTGCTTGTAGAAAATTCTGGGTTGATGCACCTTCTTCCCTCTCTTTCCCCAGTGCAAATTGTTTTACTTGAACTCTAGCTAATGCACTTCCTTGCCAGTTTAAATGGTTAACAATTGAACTAAAAAATCTAAGACTTTGCTAGAATTATACTGGATTTTAACTAATTATACTGGATTTTAACTATGTTCGTATTCCTTCCATCCCGCTATTTTTGGGACATGGAGTAACATGTAAGTTAAGAACAGTGAAATTGTTTGGAAGATATTGATCTTAACATGTAAGAAAATGTAAGATTAGATGTGTCACACAAATGTTTCTAAATATGGTATGAGACAAAAATAGTGGGACAAAAGGAGTAATATTTATGCTCTAACTTATTCAAGATATACAATGATAATATATTTAAATTTTATCCCACACAATCTGATCTGTTAGTGTGCAGGATTCATGGCGTGATTTGGCAAATTCATTTGCTAATGAAAAAACTCTTTTCTCGTTATATGGCTCTTATCAGGTAAATTACGTTATTGCATTTTAGTTGGTTAGGGAGTAGTGAATAGGGCAAAGATGCAAATAAATCCTTTTTCAATCCCTTTAAAAGACCGGCATCATGATTTACTTTGTCTTAGGGGCTGTTTGGCAACTTCTGAATAGGTAAGTGCTGAACCAGTCTGAACCAAACCATTAAGTGCTGAACCAGTAAGAGGTCTGGACCATTAAGAGCTAGTATATTGCTTAACTATTCAGAGGCAAATGTCTGATCAATTCAGATAAGAGGTCTTAACCATTCAGACTCTGTATAATACTTAACCATTCAGAGGCAAATGTCTGAGCCATTCAGACATTTGAACCATTAAGAGGCTGAAACAAACAGTCTGAACCATTAAGCGCTGATTCAGACATCTGAACCATTAAGAGGCTGAAACAAACAGCCCCTATTTAGTCTACAATTTTGAAGGACTGAATAAAATCCCCTCTCCTTTTGCCTACTGGGTCTGTCTACCCTTTCTCATCTTCTGTACCTGTTCTGCACCAACCTTCGTATCTCCAAAATATGCGTTGCAATACTTTATGTTTTTAAACTTCAATGCTAGTTTGTTTTATTACAGCGTTCCCTTGCGCAAACACTGGTTCGTTCAGCTACTGGTATGAGAGATTTAGAGATGTCATATCAGTGAGTATATAATCTAGTTTATACTTGTACTATCTATCTTTCTTCGCTTTTTTTTAGCTTGCAACTTCTCACATATTTATAAATTCTAATCTGCATCATAACTGCACATAGGTATGTGAAATACCTAACAAACCACATGACTGATTACCTTGCGGAGCTTTCGGGCAGGAATGATTTAAAAGATGTTGCGCAACAACCAGACATCATCTTACTGGTTGGTGACTACAATTTGCTTTACAGATTATAACATCAGTTTTTTAGTAATCCTTTATACACATTCTTATCGGCTTTAATAAAATATACAGGTTAGTTGCTTACTAGAGCGGCTTCGTGGAGTTGCCATTGCAACAGAACCCCGGACACAAAAGGCAATTTATGAGATAGGATTATCAGCTATGAATCCTGTGCTGAGACTCTTAGAAGTTTACAAATTTGAGGTATTGTATGATTTTCTGATGAATCAGTTTAATGTGCAAAAAAGCTTTGCATGTTCAATTTGTTAGCACATAGTAATTGAATTTCAATGGTGATCTGGTGCGACTAAGTTTTATGATCTTTTTTTGTTAACATAGTAATTCAATTTTCAGTAGTGATTTAATGTGACTGAGGTCAGTATCATATATGTTCTTTGAGCCCCCAACAAAAGGTCAGTATTGTATAAGTTTCCTTTCCCTCATTAGTTGCAGCATTGCTTCCCAGTTTTGAACCTAGGAAATTGGTTGTCATTCACTTGGTACGCTAAAGTTGATCTTAAAACTATTCTTCTAAGGCAATGATCTCATCCAGTCCTTACAGTTTGCTGCTGCTCTTTGTCACATCACATCATCTTCCATTATTTTCTGCCGTGGTTGTAAATGTTGCCACCTTCATTTCCTGATCCAATAATTTATGGAGTCCTCAGCGTCATCCACTTATTGATGCCATAACTTTTGTTTGGGAGGGCTTGCTCTATTGTTTTACAAGTATCAGTTGAATTCAAAGTTTCAACAAGGATTGAGTTGACCTTCATTTCCTGATCCAATACTTTATGAGTCCTCACTGTCATCCACTTATTGATGCCATAATTTTTGTTTGGGAGGGCTTTCTCTATTATTTTACAAGTATCAGTTGAATTCAAAGTTTCAGCATGGATTAAGTTGGAGTAATGAAATTCCTACAGTAAAAAATTTTTCTGGCATATTTGCGGTCGACTTCTGTTTTGCTTTCTTGATTTTAAAAATAAGTTTTGACTACATTTGACATTAATGATGAGCTAGCTCCACTCATTTGTTTATTTCATGGAATAGCTATTCCAATAAATTTTATGTGCACCAGACTATCCCGATAATGCTGTTTAACTGTCATTGCGTTGTATAAAAACCCATCACGGTCCCACAAGTAGGGGTCTGGGGAGGGTAGATGTATGCATACCTTCCCCCTACCTAAAGGTAGAGCTTTGAGCTTTCAACATGTTGTACGGATAATGAGAACACTTGTATTTACAGCGCATTTCACATGCTTGACAAGTTGTTCCAAAAGGTGAGATAGCTTGCCTTGGGCGCCCCTCCACAACCTGTCCCATGGCATGTGGAGACTGGAGATGAGGCAAATTACACTACATAGTGACATAGGGTCTCTTGTGTCAAAATCCTAGTTATCAACAGTATTCTTCATTTCAATTCTGCCACCTGAGAACCTACTGAGATATTTCTGTGGTGGCAAAGGTGCCGATGGGGTCTGATCTGTTACTATACCATTACAATGTGCTGCTTATTGTAAATGTTTCTTTTCTTCTCATGCTGTATTGCTGTTTTCAGTTTGTCTTGGAAATCTTAATTTATATTCTTTAGCACATTGTGTTCATTCAGTAAGGTTATTATTTCAATTTTGTAGTTTTTAAGATTTGTAAATGGGTTAGTAATATGCTCAACTAATGCCTATTTTTAGTCTGCAGTTGTATATATGTTGCTTAGGTTTGTTGTTGATTGGGTGGATGGACAAATCAGTTACCTTGAAGCTCGTGAAACTGCAGTTGCTGTTAGCTTCTGTATGAGTTTAATTCAGCTGTACTCATCTCAAAATATTGGCAAGGTATTTTTTAAATTGCACATGCTTTCCTGTTAATTTGTCCAATCCCTAAAGCAGGAATGATTGATCTCAATCCCTAAAGCAGGAATGATTGATCTATAAAAGAATGTGTTTTACTCATCTGCTGGTCTTGTATAACATGACTTGAATTCTACCTTTTTTACTTTGATAAGATCGTTTCATTTAAAACACCAAGTTTGGGGTGCATTTTAAAAGAAAGCTGCTACTACGCAGAACTTAGACAATGCAGAAGGTTCATGATAGCAGTAATAGGGGAAAACAATTACAAACTTGTATATATCTCTTCCAGTTGAAGTTTTTATCTATCCAATGCATCAGAGATTGTCATAAGTTTTCTTATAAATTCTTTTCATTTTATTTCAAAATCTTCTTGCAGCGTTATATGCTTTAATCCATCAAAGTGCTTCCCATTAATGTTTTCGGAATTGACATTTATGCCTACAGATTTCTCTGAGCCGTTCGAAGAGCATATGCTCTGAAGAAGATACTGAGAGGTACAAGGATATACGAGCTTTGCTTCAATTACTTTCAAGCCTCTGTTCAAAAGATCTGGTAAGTTTCTTTGTCCTTCAAGTTTTAGCTGATAGTTGCACTTTGTTCCACTTCAAACCAACTTAACCCCTGACTAGGTACTAGGAGCCTCTGTCTGCAGTGTAATGCTTTTTACAACAATATCTTTTTTTAAATAAAACTATTAGGGATAACATGATAACTGGTTTTTCAGATTGATTTTTCATCAGAGGCCATCGAAACTCAGGGTACTAACATTTCTCAGGTTTGTTTGAGTTGTAATATTTTAGATACTTGTAATGACATACTAATGTGACATTTTTCTGATTTAAGTTTTAACATTCTGGAGTCGCTATCTTTTCTACCAGGTAGTATACACGGGTCTTCATATAGTCACCCCTCTAATAAGTATGGATCTTTTAAAATACCCGAAACTTTGTCACGATGTAAGTTTTTTTTCTTCTTTCCGACTGAATATTTCAATAAGCTGCTAAGAAACTAATATACTGGTTTGTTTTTGTATCTCCCCTCACAGTACTTCTCATTGCTATCACATATGCTGGGAGTTTATCCTGAAATGGCTGCACAATTAAATAATGAAGCTTTTGCTCATATTGTTGGAACCTTGGATTTTGGTTTACACCATCAGGTAATTTGTCCGCACCAAATGATAAAATGTGCTAGGTTCTTCTTGGCAGCCTTTTTTATTTTAAACGCTTAGGCCTTGGCAAATTCCACTCATTTCCCACTAAACCTGATCAATCTGTAACTAGGCACTAGGCTCCAGTCTACCTCAGTACCTCCTAGTGGGTGCTTTGAGCTGTTTTCAACTTTGTCCAATATTAAGCTGCTCCAATGTATTCATTATGTTTGATGTTACATACATTCATACATACACTCATATATACATACATAGATACACACACACACACACACACACACAAACTTTCTCTTGCTCCTACTCATTGCTCCCACGGTCAAAAAAATACTCCCTCCGTCCCAAAAAGATTTACACGTTTCAAAAAAATTGCGTCCCACAATCCCTTACCCATTTCTATTAAAAAACCACTTTTACCCCTTACTTTTTCAAACCCCATCATCACATCATACTTTTTTCCTAATAATCTACACATCACATCCTACTTTTACCCATCACATCAAGGGTATTTTTGGAAAGTCAACACAAAATTATCCCTCCCTTAATTTCAACTTTAGTCAAAATGGGTAACACTTTATGGGACGGAGGGAGTAAAATATTTTGAATTCTAAGAGTGTACGAAAAATGTTGAAAAGTGAATGGTGTGTATTAACCTCGTTTAGAAGAAAGAGAAATGTCGTGCGTGGTGCGCCACATATTATTTTACTCAATAGGAAAATATGCAAGTGTAAGCTTCATTTTGGAACATCCCTTGAAGTCAAAATATTACTTTTGTTTTGGGACGGGGGGGAGTATTTTACGGAGTAATGCACAACTTATTACCGTTATTTACTACTCTTTATGATACCATAGGATGTAGAAGCTGTTGATATGAGTCTACAAGCAGTGAATGCACTTGCTTCTTACCACTACAAGGAGAGAGGTGCTGGTAAAATTGGGTTAGGTTCCCGTGCTTCAGCTTCCACAGACTCTGCTGGAAACCTTCAAGAAGGCATTCTAAGCAAGTTCCTTCGTTCATTGTTGCAATTTCTTCTATTTGAGGATTACAGGTAAGATGGAAGAAATTACATTCACAACTTACAATTGTCAGTCCTATTATCACGAACCCCTAAAAGAGAGGATCATATCGTCACCCAAATTTGGTCTAGATAATGAACTAGGAAATGAAAGTTTAAACACGTTGCTACTAACATATTAAGTTTTTAAGAAGCCCATGTTGTCATGCTTTATTTTATTTGCCTTATCCGATGTGTAAATAAAGTCACGGGTCCATGTTTTTTGAGTTTTTTTGGGACCCACATGACTTAATTTCCATTGAGCCCATGATCTCCTGGAAAGAACCAACCTCTTTACTTTTTAGTGGGATTTTACTGGGTTTGTTGGATGACTTGAATTCCATATTTTACAACATGAGCACGTTCTTAGGACTCGATAACATACCAATGGCCCTTAAAATTTAGGACTTTTTTAATATTTCTGCTCTTACATGTTTGTGGTTGCAGCGATGACAGTGTCAGCTCAGCTGCGGATGCTCTTCTTCCATTAATCCTCTGCGAACAAGATCTTTACCAGGTCCTGCCTTGTTGGTCTTACCAAAAATGTACTGACCCAAACAAAACAAAAAAAATTATCTTCCTGTCTTTAATTTGTAAACCATTGATTCACTCATCTCGTAAAGAATTCGTGTATTGCAGAGATTAGGACATGAATTGATTGAGAGGCAGGCAAACCCAACATTCAAATTAAGGCTAACAAATGCATTCCAGTCTCTCACAAGTTCAAATGGTATCTCATCCACTCTAGATCGTTTAAATTACCAGAAGTTCCGAAAAAACCTACGTGCATTTCTTATCGAAGTTCGTGGATTTCTTCGGACAGTATGAGTCTCATGGGGTTTTGCAAAGAGTACTTTGTTTGGCTTGGAGCAGCCAATGTTTTATAGTGTAAAGTAGGGGACACTCAATCTACTGCTCATAATTTATGGAATAGGAGTAAAATTTTCGTTTGAATTCATCTCTTGTGACCTTTGGCATTTATTTATTTATAATTATTCTTTTTACAAATTATTGTGACCGTTTGAGCTGGCTGTCTCTTGAAAACACCATCTCTGAGTAGTAGCAAGGTTTGTGTATACACGCTTCCCAGACCCTATTTTTGTAAAATCTTATTGGGTTTGTGGTACAAATTATTTTGGTTGGTTAATTATTACTGCCTCTATCCCATAATAAGAGGCTACTTCGATGAGTGTACAACCTTTTAGTTTTAGCAAGGCACAACCCTTAGAAAACACTAAATTTACTACTCCATCCGTTCCTGAGTATTTGTCCATTTTTGACTTTTTTCAATAGAAAATGGTAAATTTTGAGAGTGTTATGTAACACAAATGAGGATAATGTATACTAATGTTTTCATATAAAAAAGTATTGCCGTAATCTACAAACAAAAATACTGCACATAGATTTTGAAAAATATGGTATAAAGTATTTTTTATATAATTAAGTAATTAAAAGAAATAAATTAATTGAATGGAAAATTTAAAATTTTAAAATTCAAAAACATATACAATAGGAGAACGTAAAAATCTATTGCATTTAATATTACCTCTGTTTTAGAGTATTTGTTTAGTTTGATTTTTTAAGTTACTTTGATTATCAACTAAACAAGCTTTATATTGGATATTACCATAAAAAATAATTTTATTTGATTTTTCTTGCGGAAAACTATTAAAAATTTATTTTATTTTATGTTCTCGCATATTGCCTACGTATAGCCAAATAATAAAACCAAACGTTTAACAATGAGTTGTTTTCTTCCACTAACTTATTTGCGTATATTGGCTAATTTTACCCTAACAAATGAACACAATAACAAATACTCCGTAGTACTCCGTAATAAATAAAAATTACAATATACTCCGTATATTCATACAAAAATAATCAAATTCAATTTATCTAACTTTATTATATGAATGTGTAATACTATTTTTATATAATTGTAGGTCAAAATTTGTTCAATTTGTTTTTAAAATATCAAACAGAACAAATATTCAAAAGAGAGGTAATATACATCATCCAAAAGAATTGGTCTAGTTTTACTCAACGCGACTTATAATAAAACAAAAACTGTTTGGTTGATTTGTATACAAAGAAGGAATCGGATGGAGTGTATGTTGTTTTCTACTCCATATAGAAACAAATAGATTAAATTGGAACAACGAATAGTAATTACTAATGACTGTAATGAGTAATTTTTCCCATAAAAAAAATATGTTAACCGTAATAAATATTTTAAATTTATAAGTAAAAAATTAATTTGTGCAGAACCAAACACAACCTTAAGTTATCTTATAACGGTATCTCCCATATGCAACCGTTTCTCCCCAACAGAAGAAAAAAAAAGGGTAAAGTTTACAGCATTAAGTTCAACCCTTCCTTCAAAGGTCCAAAATAAAGAATTTGTTTACCTCAGTACAAAATCTCAACATGTATCACCACAGCTAAAAAAAATTCTTGCTTTGGGCAAAAAAATATAGTACCAGATTCTTTTGACCACACCCAAACATCTCAATCTTTTTTTCCCAAACAGCATAAGAGCACCAAACCCATAGCGTGAAAGTTCACGAGTCCAAGTCCTCGACGGTTGAAGAAGCTTTGCTGTGATTATTCCCACTAGTTGGGTTTTCGTCTGTGTTTGGATTTTCATCAATGCCACCATCTCCAGAGCTGTGGGATGCAATTTGGATATGCTCCGCGGGGGGAATGGTCTGAGATGAATCAGCAGGTGTTACAGTATCGATATCCATTCCAGCTTTTGGGGTCAGAGGGCTGATAGGGGCATCAGTGCCGCTGTCTCCAGAGCTGTTTGGTGTGTTTTGGACATGTTCTGTGGATTCTGCTGCAAGAGACGGTGTAATGGTCTGTGATGAGTCAGAAGGTGCTGCAATGTCGATATCCATTCCAGCTTTAGGGTTTCCGTTCAGTTGTCCCAGAGCATCATCATCATCTGTCTTCTTCTTCTTTGGAGTTATTTCGTGATCTGGCTGGTCTTCATGAATTCCAGACATGGGCACTTCAGGATCTTGTTTATCATCAGCTTCAGCCTTGGCCAGCTTGGTCATTTGTTCCGGAGCATCATCATCCGTACTCTTATTTAGGGTTGTTTCATGATCTGCATCAACTACGGCCATGGGTTCTTCAGGATATTGTTTACCCGGTGGAGCAATAATTTTATCAATAGCCTCAGCTTTGTGAAGTTTGTTCAGTTCTTCATCATCCGCCTTCTCGTTTGGAGTTTTTTCAAGATTTGGGTGGTCTTCATCAACTACGGACATGGGATCCTCAGAATCTTGTTTACCATCAGCCTCAGCCTCAGCCTGGGCCAGTTCAAGAAGGGCACGATTCTTAGCCTCGGCTTCTTTTTCTTCTTGCCTTCTGTATTCCTCCATGAGATGCTTGATTCTTTCTTTCTCTGCTAAGAGGTGCCCGTAGCGCTTCTGTAGGGTACGCTCAAGCTCTTTCTGCCTCTGAACTTCTTCCCAGATGTTGTTGATCCTGTTTGATGCGGCAATCTTCTCTTGGTTTTGCAACACTTTGAAAGATTCAAGTTCAGTCCCTGCAGTGTCCATTTGCTTGAATATTGCGTCTATTTGGGACCCAATTTTGCCTGCTCGGAACTGTTCAAATCAAGATTCCAGAGATCTTAGCAATGAAAATTCCAATCCATGAAGTGAATAGAACATGCATAGCAGCAAATGATTAATTAATAATCTGTATGAGTTGAAAAAGAAAGAGGATTTGGAGGGAGAAATTTTTTCACTTCAGATCCCAGAGTCCATAGTATCATGAGATTCATGGCATCCCTAATTTTGGTCCCTAACTTTCAATATTTCCATTTTCAGTGCATGGACATGGAATTCTTTCCACTTTTGGGTCTTTCCGGCAAAAACCAAATGGACCCACTTGAGAATTTTATGTTTGAAGTCATTGCATGAATGGTTTCATGGGGGTGTCACAACAAGGAACTTCATGACAATTTTTATTTGATTCTGATTGGAAAAGTTAGCGGAAAGACCCAAAGTCAAAACACAATGACCAAATGTCAGGGTGACCCAATAGTCATGAGACTGAATGTGGAAATATTCTCTTTCAATTACACGATAGAATAATAAAATTAAACAACAACAACAACAACCCAGTTGAATCCCACTACAGTAGGGTCTGGGGAGGGTGTGTGTACGCAACGCAGACCTTGCCCCTACTCGAAAGTAGGGAGGCTGTTTCCAAGAGACATAGAATAATAAAATTAATTGTCCAATAAGAATGAAGCTCACCTGGTATCCATTTGTTAAAACCTTAACTTTTTGTTCAAGTTTTTGTGCCTTCTTGGTGTCATCGTCCATTTTCTTCTTCACATTCTCAAATTCGGACTGCAGAGCACTAATTTTTTCCATGTTTTCAGCAACACTGGAGAGACCATAGGAATTCTTTGTGGGAATGAACATGATATCACTTGAGCAAGTTTTGTGTGCGTCAATGAATTCATCTAGAGATTCAGTATCATGTCCCATTGCTATACGCAGAAACTGAGCCTCATCCTTGACCAGATTTTCAGCCTGTATTGTTGGAATTTTGTTAGTCAACGGTATAAAAATAACAGATGCATGGAAGGAATTTAAAAAGAACAATGACACTTGGATATTGTAACCAGCTAACCACACCCATCAAACTACAATACCACAACAGCAAGATTAAATATTTCAATGCAAGGAATAAGGAAAGCCTCAATATAACTAGTATCAAAGAAGGCAATTTACAACATCCTGTTTAGTTTGCAACGGAAGTAAAATATACTAAGTGTTTTGGTTGCAATGCTAGGTTTTGGAGTTCATTTTCTTTATGTGGATTTTAGAGTTTTTCTTTTATTCAACTACAAACTGTTATTTTTTTAAACGCATGCGCCTTTCAATGTGCTTTAATGAAGGTAGTGATAGTTGTCCTCTTAGTGAAATTGTCACACATAAACACAGACAGTCAGAGAGTAGTACTTGTTGCACAAAATCAACAATCTCATTTTACATAGGTTATACTGATGTTTCTAGTGTGTGCACAGCTACACAATAGCACTTCAATGAAGCTCAGCAATTATTCATAGTAGCATAGTACATCATAAAAATAGGTGAGGCTGTACAGTGTTCATAATATACAATACTCATGCATTACCTGAATAATCATGTATAAATATTAAGAGGAATGAATGTTATGTGTGTGTATAGCATAGATTGATAGATATATTGTTAACATTATTGGATGATGTCAATTGATATACTCCCTTTGTCCACCATAGATCTTCCCAATAGCCCTTTTTCTTTGTCCACAATAGATCTTCTCATTTCATTTTTTAACAAGTAAAATACCACAACTAACCCCACTTACTTTATTTATTACACCTCACCCACCTCATTTAATACACTCCACCCATTTTTCATTAAGGGTATTATGGTAAACTTTCACCTTTTTTCAACTCTCCTTAAAAACCACCAAAAGTCAAAATGAGAACATCTTAGGCAGACGGAGGGAGTACATAATAATAGAAGATGGGCATGGATGATCAAATAACCAAAACCTCTTGCACATTGGTAACCTTTGAGGTACAAAGTTAGGTTACCTTCCCATCACAGGCTAACAAAATGTTCCCCAAGGTTACGAGAAGATGATAGTTTATACATCATATAACACAAGATGTACCTCTTTGAGCTCATCTTCTTCAAAATCTTCAATAGCGGGCACATGAACAGTTTTTCTTTTGGTTACTTTCTTCTTCTCCTTGTCTAATTTCTCATCAGCTGGGTACTTTGTGTTATCATGCTCTAACAAAGATAGCAGCTCTCTTCTTATCATCTCATCGGCCTGCTCTAATGCTGTAGGAGGAACAAAGGAGCTCTTATCTTCATCAGATCTTATAAGTTTCATCCTAATTAGATCCAATGAAGCGGGAGGAGGTCTCGGGAGACCCCTCTGTAATACTTTTGATCTTTTCCGGAGCAATGCTTGCTGCCTTGCTTCTTCTTCAGCCTTCTCCCTTGCAATCTTATCAGACATATCCTCTTCAATCTTTTCCTCCTGTTCATCATTCTCTTCAGGAAGTGGTTGCATGACAATCTGGTATTCATTCTTGGGAAGTGGAAGACTTTTTAGACCGGCAAACAATTCTTGTCTAGAATCTGAACGCCCAACTTTCATCCCATCGTGCATATCCATTTCTTCATTAATGCGGAGCTCATCCCTCATTGGAGTCCCTTTCGGAGTCATGCCAAAAGAATATCCATCCCTTGAAGGAGTCATGCCGATTCTAGGAGTGAGACCCGTCCCTCCTGGGGTTGCTGAAGGTGTCAAGAGGGGGTTTGGTGTATGTATCTCCCTCTTTTTAGGAGTCACACCAGAAAAATCAGATGGATGCAACATTGGGTTCTCTCCCCCCAGCAGTGGTGTTTGAGACTGACTCAATCTTCTTTGATTTTCTGCTTCCATCATTATAGCATCCTGCTTGTTTGAAGGTGTTCTTTGAGGTGTACGTGACGGAGTCATCCCCTGGCGTGGAGTTTGGGCATAATTTGAAACAAGGGCACGTGTGGCAGAATTCCCTTCCATTAGTTCCTCGCTCCCAATGAGGTCACTTGCAATGCCAATCTTAGCAATAGCCTCCAATTCATGATCTGAAATTTGAGGGGCGGGAAGATTCAGTTTGGTCCTCTTCCTCACTGTTTCAGGATCATTTAGCTTGTTGGCATGGAGTATGGCTGAAGGGGCATCCTGCCTTTGAGCAATTTTATTCCTACCAATATCCTGTTTCCGCAGACGTGCCTCTTTATCTATACGTCTTTCACCTTCAAGTTCGTCAATAGTTGTTGGGAACATAGGTTGCTCCACTGGACGGTCTTCATCAGCAACATCATAAAAACCTGGAGGTGGTTTCTTCTCGAAGGGTATCTCAGCATTATAGTCAATGCCCCTCCTCTTTCTCTTCCTGTGTCTAACATCAATTCCAGCTGCCTTCAACTCTCTCCTCTTTTGTAAAGAAGCAAGCCTCCTAGCCTCTTCAAGTTGTTTCTCCCTAGCTTTTCGTTTGGCCTTCTTGCCTCTTGTGTTGGCAAGCCTTGCACGTGCTTCAGAAAGCATCTCTTTCTCATCTTCATCCATATCAACAGGATCAGGACGAGGAGGCTTCGATTCTGGATTTGGATCGATCTCCCCAGGACGCAATTTCCTTGGATCGTCACTAGCATCATAATTCTCATCCTTGGCACATGCTGCATCAAGTAGCTTCTCATAGCGTTCCAAGCACTGTGATGGAGTACGACCCACAATAGGCGCAATGGTTCTCCACTGTGTTGGCATAAGCTTTGCAAGATGAAGCAGCTTCTCATCTTCTTCTCTAGTCCACTCCGTCTGCCATGACATTAACAGGGATATGTCAGTTCAAGAATCTAGGTTGTCTGCCATAATAAGAGGCATGTAAATATTATTCGTGTAAATAACTCTGGGTGTTGCAATCCACAAGGCTCAATGAAATAAGCTGCCTGCAGACGCAATCCACAACAATATACACAACCATTAAAGAAATGAGCAAACAAGTGAATTGCAGAAGGAGGATGTACAAAGGTAGAAGTTGACAGATTGCCCTAATATGACTTGCAAAAACTACATATATTCAGCTATCAATTTATGGTGTGTAAGAATGGCCAACACTAGCAAACAATACCCAATCCACCTATCAAATTTACAAAAAAAAAAGAAGAAAAAACTTGCCTTTTTGATGGAAGGATCGAGCCACTCATACCAACGGGTTTTGCACTGCTTGGCGGATTTACGAACGAGGAGGGAGGAGATACGGGCCCACTGGTTCTTGCCGTATTTCATGACCGCCGCCTTGAGGATCTCGTCCTCCGTGTTCTTCCATACTCCCCCCTTTATCATAATCCTCATCTTCGCTCACTGTTTTCTCCTCCCGGAGGAGGNAAAAAAAAAAGAAGAAAAAACTTGCCTTTTTGATGGAAGGATCGAGCCACTCATACCAACGGGTTTTGCACTGCTTGGCGGATTTACGAACGAGGAGGGAGGAGATACGGGCCCACTGGTTCTTGCCGTATTTCATGACCGCCGCCTTGAGGATCTCGTCCTCCGTGTTCTTCCATACTCCCCCCTTTATCATAATCCTCATCTTCGCTCACTGTTTTCTCCTCCCGGAGGAGGGCCGCTGCTTCCACTAGGTGAGACGCGAGCGCCGCCGCACGGAGGTGCCAGGGTTTGGAAAATCCCCGGAGTGTTTTTAGCACGAAAACCAGATCCGATTACTTCAGATTTCGAAGTATATGCACATATTTTGAATGAATCTGCTTCATATTCACCCCACTAGAGGTTTTCCGGTGACTATTCCGATGATAATGCCGGTGAAATTATGAACCGCTTCAGCTCCTCCTCCAACCCGTCGACTACTTGGTGACCGAGTTACAGGCCGCCTGAGGAAAGGGTTTTGCTATTTGGTACTGTTTGTTTTAGCTTTCTTTGTGTTGCCCTTATTTTTAAAAATGGAATTTTTACAATATCTTTGGGAGTACTTGTCTAAATTAAAATTGCACTTCATTTTTACAATATATATATATATATATATATATATATATATATATATATATATATATATATATATATATATATAAAATAAAAAATGTTAGCCTTAGAAAAAATAGAGTTATAAGTGTTCAAAAAAATTGATAAAAATTATTCATATATGGTTAGGAAAAATGAAGATGTATACATTTTATTTTGAGATTCATAAAAAGAAGAAAGTACAATTTCAAAGGAGGGACTACTAAACTAGATTTTGAGAGCCTATATCATATTTGGATGTATTATTCTTGTACATCATTTTGAAATAATAATATGTTCATTTTTGTATATTCTTCATTTTAATTATAATACTCATTTACGAACAATACAATATTTATTATAATTATAAAGAGATACATTCATTAGTAACACTCCTTTAAACAAAGTACAAAATAACATATTCATCATTAAAAATATCACCTTAAATGTAAGTAAAATTAGAGAACGTACTAATTTAGAAGCTTCATATTTTTATCCACAAAATAAGAGTTTGCATTGTGGTAATGTAACATTGTATAACGACATTTCACAATACTTTTGATAATGTATATGATCATAATTAACACTGTATATGTATTTTAACTTCTATTTCGTGAATAAAAATATGAAATTCCTATTTTGAATATTTTTAATGTTTTACTCATACTTTAGTATTTTTCTCATGCATAATCATCACCAACCAACACTGTAGATCTAGGGTTTTGAACGCAACCACCTCCATTGGCCACACCTCTTTTCATTACCGATTGAAAAAACTAGGGTTTCCTCCCTTATTTATGTGGCGAATCTAGATCATCGATTGACGTAAAAATCTCAATTATTATCATCACATTGCTCCTTTGTTCCCATTCATTCCCTCGCCGACGCACACTTCTCTTCGTTGTTGTTGGCTTGCGGTTCACCGTTCTCTCAATATTGACGTCGGTACGAGAAAACCTATACAGCTGGCTGTAGGATATAAGTTGCACTTTTAGTATGACTCCAAAACGTGTGGACCTTAAATCTACCACAACATTTACCTTAGCTTATTTTATTTAAGCCTATGCTTTAATAAGGATAGTTACAAAAAGAAATTATTATATTAGTTTCCAATGTGATATGCATACTAATTCATAAATTGTTATGATTATGTGTGAACACATCTAAAAAATTTCAAATCATATAAAGGCTTTGTGCGAGAATAACATTTTCAATTAGTATTAGTGTGTTAAATTATTTTTTAATGATGCAGATTAGCTTTAAAAATTCTAAACTATATGCATTGCCTCTAAATAATCTTTCTAAAATGCAGAAGCTATTGCCAAATGAGCACAAAAAAAGGTGCAAACACACATTTGAAAGTATAATTGTATAAACAATCTGAGATAAATATTTTTATACACCACAGAATATGAGGTGCTCTTGAAATTACAAGGTTACATTATCCACCTTGAATTTTCTCAACAATATTCAAATTGATATTCTAGAGAGGAAAATGAATAAAATAAAGTTAAAAAAACAAATTTACCCAAACATGACTTGGAATCTCGTGTAGTCTTGAAATCTTTGGAAGCATGGGGAGGAGGCCTGCAACAAAATTGTGTTTTTCTTGTGCGTCTTTACCTTTCTTGTCTGATTTGTCCTCACGCGTCACATGTGGCGGGTAGCTGGTTAAACTTAACAAAAAAGCATTGCAAGCAGCGATTAGGTACGAATTAACTTTGAAAACGTTAAACCGATCACTGCCAGTAGATAGCCTTTTCAAAATGCTAAAGCCAAATGTTGAAGTTGTTGCCAAACAGACACTAAGCCAATAACCTCACAGACGAAGCAATGGCTAGCAACTCATCTGCACTGACTTTCTTCCACTCTCCTCCAATCATCAGACATCCTTTGATGCCCAAATAAGACACATTCTTCTCACTGTCGTCGTAGCTCTGTTCTCTCTCTTCCTTCTCTGTCTCAGCTTCCCTCGTTTTCTTACGAGTGGAATTGTATAGACATTCAATAGCAGAATCCGCCACCCTCTTGCGGCTATTAGTGTCCGGGATAGACACTTCTGAATCTTCATAATCAAGAACAGGAAGACGGCCCGAAGAAGAGAAAGCATGAGGCAACATGCCTATGGGACATTGTCTCCAAGAATCAGCAACAACCCATCGTCGTTTTCCGGGTCCCGCACTGTTTGGAATTTCATTTACCTTTTTGCCCTTCGGTGATCGGAGCTTGATGAGCTCAAACTTCTTGGCAGCCTGACGAAGAAGCTCTTCTTGCTTCGAAAGGAAGATCTCTGCAGGATGTGCATTAGGCAGGTCTAATTCTTCAAATACACTCAGCAGAGAGAGTTTTTTCAGCTTATCGCGCAAAGGGATATTTCCTATCAGACTTGCTATGACCACAGATGAAGCCATCAGATGCTTGTTGTCATGAGAGGAAACCATAAGGCATTTGCTTAAAATTGTCGGTAGGGTCGCCTTTTGCAGGGTTAGATCCTCTGAGGAGTTTTCAGTTTCTGATGCGGCCTGGTTCATGTTCACAGCTAACCATTCAAACATGCAAGAAAGCAGTTGAATTTGGCGAGAGACGGGTCCATTATCGAAAGACTGGAAGTAACCTAATCAAGATACAGACAATGTGGAATAATTTTTTAGTATCAACATAATAACGCATCCCCACTGGACCTCAAAAAAAGGATACACAGAAAAATGCAAACTAATACAATTGTATATGACAGATTTTTATTCATGCGGTAATAATATGAAGTGATGTTTGTGCAAGCAGTTTGAATTTTCACTTTATAGTTTCGGAAAACCGTGTTATCGAAATGAATTATTATAAATATTAGTAGTAGTAGTAGTAGTAATCGTTGTATTATTTCAAAGCGGTGTTTAATAAGTACTCCCTCCGTCCCTCATAGATCTTCCCAATAGCCCTTTTTTTTTTGTCCACAATAGATCTTCTCATTTCATTTTTTAACAATTAAAATACCACAACTACCTCCACTTACTTTATTTATTACTCCCCACCCACCTCATTTAATACACTCCACCCATTTTCATTAAGGGTATTATGGTAAACTTTCACTTTTTTTCAACTCTCTTTAAAAACAACAAAAAGTCAAAATGAGAACATCTTAGGTGGACGGAGGTAGTATTATTCAAAGGTTTAAAAATGCTAATTTTTTGGAAGTCTTTTGTGCAAAATGATTAAGAATGAAAAATCTGCTCCAAAAATAGCAAACTACAAACAATAAAATAAAGAAGCTAGGATTTGCTTCTTGATTTTAGCATTTTCGGAGCGGATTGAGCTGTGTTTAAGCATTTGCAAAATGTTTTACTGAACACTTAAGGCAGATGCGTAAAAAGTTACTCAAAAGTGGAAGCAACTCTGAGCATTTGTCAAGCTCCTAGGTGACAGATATGGTTAAGAAATTGCATACCAATCTGAGATTCCATGGCTGCAAGTGTCTCAATTTTATCAAGGATTCCTCTAAGAAGCACAAAAAGAAAGTCTGATGCTTTATTTGATAATTTTGTGATGGCTGGTTTCCAGTAGTCAAATACAGCATCCACATGAAGGGATCCATGCAGTGTTTTGGCATATTCTGACCCATCTGCTGATTGGGAGGAATCCAAAGCATTGACCAACATTTCCAAAAGTACGGACACCACTTCAGAAGAGGACGAAGAATACAGACGAAGAACATTTTTCAATGATCTGGTGACTTTTTTCTTCGGACCTGAAAGAAACAACCAACCCAATGTGGAAAACATGATAACTTGTAAGCATATGTGGAATATATGGCCAAAAGCAATGAGCAGATTGAAGACCAATCTAGATCCAAAATTTTATGTGAAACCTGCATATAGTCCGAATTTTCCGCCCACCTATCACCTAACACTTTAGAATGCAGGTCTACTGTCTATGTGCCCTATGTTAGAGTATAAACATTTTCAGGCCTAAACCCACAGGCTTGAGCTTGTGGTTGAGTTGGTTCCTGAATACCCTGCAAAGCAGATATTGTTGGAGGACGATAACAATGTTGCTGTATATTGCAATTATGCAATATATATATATATCAACACTAACATTCAGAATTAACATACGGCAGTGGGTAGAGTCTAATAATTGGGCAATATCAGCAAACTGCACAAATGCAATCACAACGTGATTAAAAAAAGAAGTTTACTCACGCTTTTCCTTGGGAAAAGGACTTGATGTGGCATTCGCCTTTTCTTTCAAACAACAAGCCAATTCATGTAATCTGTCCCTTGTTTCTTTTTGAAATATGGTGGTCTGGTCCTGCCGAATAGCATCCTTTTGAGGCTTCCAGTAATTTGATTGCAACCATTCAAGTGCCTAAAATCATTACAGCACACTTAGAGAACTATGAAACAGCCGAGCTTCCAAAAAAATAGATTTATAAAGATATGAAGTACTAGTAACAGCAATAAAAACCAACTAGGAGGTTACAATCCCCACCTCTCACTCAAGGAAAGTTAATTCAATGGTACTTTCAAGAATTCCCATATAGCTACACCTCCAACTTCATGAACATGTAAATATAAAAGTGCCAAGGATGGTTCAAAAATAACATATGACATTTCAACGAACTAGTACTTGAATTTTCCGTAAAAAACTAATACTTGAATTTATGCAATTCAACAACACCAATCTACTTAAATCAAACGCCTAAGGATCACATGAGTACATGACTACAATAAAGAGGAAACTACAATAATAAATGATGAATCAATTAGTGGACAACATGAACTGAATAAATGAATGATAAAGGAATCATGGATACCTTTGTTGAGGCAAGGCGGGCATATTTAAGCGAAGGAAGGCCACGATGAGAACCCTCTGAAAGAATTCACAATAGTTTAAAATAAAAACTCCACATACCAAAAAACAAATGGGAAACAAAGTGCACAAATGTACACATGTATGAAACAATGTATAACAAGTCAACAACAGAACTCAGTTTAATCCTAACACTATTAGGGACCTTAGGAAGGAATCAAACTTCTTGACGCACTGCAACAGTTAAAAAAGTCTTATCAATAAAATAAATTAACCTAAAATGCAAATCTCGAAATGCAATAGTCATCTTTAACAGACTTTTGTGCCATGGTGGCTTTTGGCATTTCAAATCAGCTTTGAATAAAATTACAGTTTGTTCAAGATTTCTCCAGGCCAAAAATGAGTTTTTATCACCACAAAGACAATCCTAAATGAAGCCTTACTAGAATATTGTTGCATATCTTATCTACAATTCATTGCTTGTTTCCTTCTATCCACAAAGCAAAAGGTTTAACAATCTGCGTGTGAATAATGAATTAGAATATCCGCAAAAGGGAAAATGCAACTATGCATATTAATACATACCATGTCGGACATCAATCACCATACGGTGGAGGCCAAGTTCCTCAGCTGCCTCAGCTATTGAAGCATAGCTCTTCTTGCGGTGCTTCTCAATAACTCCATTTACTAACCTTGAAAGATAACACCATATATAAAACAGTATTTGAAACATCACCAACTAAAGGAAGGAAATTTTGTTATTGACAGGAACATAAAAATATGAAAAAATCATGAAGCATAAAGTTATCTCATCTAATGAGAACCGTAAAATGGAAGAGAGCCCCACACAAGTCATCGATGAATAAACATTGTAGGATAAAATGCAAATTAACAAACACTTCCAGTTAGGTAAAATTTAAATAATTCAAAATAAAATTAAAGGCAGGGATAGGAAAGCAATGTGTAGAATATTTAAGTCCTTTCCCAAAAGTTTTCCACAGTAGCCAAAACAAAAGGTTCAAAAAAGAATTGCACCCCAATTGAAGGTGCAAGCATGACTTAATTCTGGGTATTAGGGGAAGAAGGGGAAGGATGGAAGCACTTGAGTACTTGACCAAACACCCATTGAAAAAAATGAATGACATAAGAAGAAAAACCAACAATTTATTAACTACAGAATAGCATTGCATATCTACACCGTCTGAGAGATGAAACATTGACCATTATACTAATGATAATAAAAAGGAAATTAAGTAGTTAGCATTAAATACTTGAGGGAAAGAAAACTTAAAATTTATATTAAAAAAAAGTAAATAAATAAATACCTGGTAACTGCCATAGAATATAGCATAGCCAACATCTCTTCTGACAACTGAACACTAGTTGGTATATCATCTCTACAATGGGTCCAAAAAGTATAACAATAATATGAGTATTTGAGTACATAGCGATTAGAAGAGGCCATCGAGAGGGTGTAGACATGTAAGAGAGAGAAAAGATTGAGTGTGACACTTGTACTAAAATGATCAAGACATACCCTCCTCAGCAGGCGGGGGTATATATAGATGGGAGATACAAAATAGCATGGGAACAGGGAGTTGGAAGACGATGACAGCGTCCTTAGTAGACCAAGGGGGAAACTGGGCCCAGCCCAACATGGCTGGCCGAGTTGTGGGGCATCTAGAGCTATCACGCTGGCTATTATGGTTGATCGCCTGGCCGAGGCCGAGCCCATGGGCGAGGCTCGTGTGCTAAGCCAAGGCCGAGCTCCAATGATACTACAGAGGCACATATACGCACTTCTATGGACCTTTTGGGTCCTCAATAGTCAATACAATAGCCTTTGAACCCGGCATCCAGACCAGTCCATCAATATAAATTCGTAATCTCAATTCAACATTAATCAATCGTATAGTTTTTTTAAACGCTATTGACTCTATTACAAGGTAGTATATGTTTATATTATTCTCAACCTAATGACGCACAAAGAGCCAATGCTTCCGCTTCCGCTTCCGTTGGGGCTCGAACCTGGGTGAACTTCCCCGTGAATCGTGGGGAGTGAGCTTGCTACCACTCAAGCCACGGGAGAATCGTATAGTTTTTAATAACATTAATGATAATAATCATACAAAGAAGAAGAAGAAGGGATCACCTGAAAAAGGGATCTTTTTGCTGAACTTCGATAACGGAAGCTGTAACATTAATGGCTATGGGAATGCACCCTCTGGTCCTCCAAGTCGAAATCTAAAATATTCACATTTCAATCTCTTAGAAGTATTAATTGCTACGCACAACAATTTCATCAAATGCATTATTAACAAACAAATAAGAATAAAAAAGAAGAAGGAAACACAAGACACATAAAAAGAAACCCTTTCATATTACCCTCTGAAGAGCAGAATCAACCAAAAGCGGAGAAGAAGAGAATAGGGAATCTCCGACGGAGCTCCACTCTTCCCAGCTTAACCACGGCACCAACTTCAATTCCTGCGGCTTTTGTTCGTCGGCGCCGTTAGAGTTCGACTCTTTAAACCCTAGCAAAGACTCCATCGCTAGATTCAACGTCGCAATTTGTTGCAAAGAATGCTTGGCGTCAGTGGTTTAACTGAATCGGGATGAAACCCACATATGCGTATCTTTGAATGAACGAGCGCAGATTAAACATAGATTTTAGAGTAAATTTACTCCCTCCTTACCAAAATGTTTGACATTATTTTTCAAACAATTTTATTTAAAAATTATCATATAAATTAAAAATAAAATGAAATATTAAATTTTTTAAAATCATTTAATCTAAAGGTTGGTATAGAAATAAAAAAATAAAACTTCATATCTTAAAATTATGACAAAAGTAAGAGTTGACAAAAATATTTCATTTTATCAAATAATCAATAAAAATATACAAAATCAAAAATTCTAGTAATTCTTGAATAATGAACTGTGACATTTTTTTGAAAGATGAGAGTGTGATTTTTGAATAATGAAGGCATTGTACAGATCCCTCTTAGCCCAAACTTTGAAGACACTTGGGTTTGGCATGAAGATTCAAAGGGATGCTATACATTAAAATTGAATATCGGAAGTTGATGGGTGAATATGTTAGATATCCCACAGAGTTCTCCTCGTGGCCCAAGCTTTGGGACTTGAAAGTTCCCCACAAAGGGAAGACTTTCCTTTTGAGAGCTACTAGATACGCCCTCTCTACTGTTGTCAACCTTCGAGCCAGGAGGGTTGATGTGGATGTTGTATGCCATATTTGTGGTAACCATAATGAAGACATCATGCATATTTTGGTTTCATGTGTCTTTGCCGAGAAAGTTTGGAGGATTTCTGGATTGCCACAAATAGGAAGAGTGGGTTGTAACTTTCCTTAATGGTTGCAAGAGGTGTGGGTGACGATCGATAAAACATAATTAGGTATGACAGTGAGCCTTTTAAATGGAGTTTGGTCTGCTTGTAGTTCCACAATCTCGGATAACAAACTCCCACTTCCGCAGGTTGTTTTGAGGGTGCCCCAGGCTGCCCTTACTATTGAGGAGTGTCGAGATCTTTGTAACAGTTTATAGAGTGGTGATTTAATCCCCATCTGAAGCTTTCTTGGAGGCAATGAATGACCATCTTCCCCGTTGCTTGAGTGCACTTATGGCGGAAGCTTTGGCGGCAAAAGAAGCCCTTGCGTGGCTGATTGGTCATGGGGGATTGCTCTCTCTCTCTTATGTCATAATCTTGCAAACACTCCAGTTGAAGATAGATCCTACATTGGCATCGACATTTCTGAGTGATGGAGCTTGATGCGGCTTTTCACATGTTCATTTCATTTTGTTCCTCGTAATTTTAATTACATTTCTCATTCGTTAGCTTCGATCGTTTATGTGCAAGCCAACCATCTGTACTGGGACTCAATGCCTCCTTATTTTGTTCCAATTCAGTTATAATGCAATCATATTTTCCACTACGAAAAAAACCGTCTTTAATTTTTTTGAAAAGATAGTTTCAAAATATTTCAAAAAGATAATACCCGAGTATTATCTTTTTGAAATATTTTGAAACTATCTTTTCCAAATAATGATCTTGAAAAATAAAAATTAAAAAAATGCCAAAGAAAAAATATATTAAAATGTCATTTTTTGCACAAATCATATATCCTATAAATTGATCGACGTTATAATATATCAAATGCATTCGCATTATTTTTCATTCAATTTGAGGCAAAAAAAACTCAGATTAGGACCCATACAAGAATCCTAGTTAGGGCCTCCCAAACTTGCCATGAACCCACACTCTCTTCATCCTCTTTCCATTCCTTCGATTCACAGACGTAACACAGCAATACTCGAGCTCGACCTGTGGACAAGACCCAACCACAAGAGGGGTTAGCTAGTGGGCATTTTGTAACGTTTTGTTTTATGAAAATAGATCATGGAAAGCGTGTTTGGCGAAAGCATCAATTTTTACACTCTTTACTCAACATTCGAACCCATTTTGGAGCCCAACCACTTTTTTCTGGTTTTCATAGTATTTGTTTTTTTGTTAAAACACAGAAAACAGGAAAACATATCAAATCATAGCCATGTTGTCGTGTTAACTAAGTCATACCTCAGTGAAGCCAACACTGCAAAACAAATCCCTCACACTGTCAAGACAAAAGAAATAAGACCGAGTTCCATCGGACCGCATGTATTCCCTGAATCCCACTCTTTGTTCTGGCTCGAACCGGAGCATGGTCATATCGTAGAGCCCTGAGTTCATAAAACACAAAGAATTAAAATTCTTCATAACTTCCAGGAAAACAAATAAACTTGTACAAAAAAAATTGTCCATTATGTCGGGTATAGTTGAACAAAAACCCGACAAACCAAACTATTCAAAATCAACAACAAATCCATTGGTCTGGGGAGGGTGAATGTAAGCTGACATGACCCCTACTTGGAAGTAGAGAGACTCTTCCCAAGAGACCCCACATTAGCACTAATGAAGTGCGAGTAAAGAAAGCAGTTTAGTTTGAACTGTTCAAAACCTAAACAGGCAAAAACAAGGTGGTTCATTTGTTTGTTTAATGTCAATGTATTAAGAACTGATCAAAACAAAAATGACAAACGATAACCTCAATTCTGTTGGGTTTGTTTGTTTGGCATTTTTTTGAGATGAAATGTAAATTGCATAAATAACCCAAGTCAGTACAATGGCAACAACAACAACAACCCAGTTGAGTCCCACAACAGTAGGGTCTGGGGAGGGTGTGTGTACGCAGACCTTGCCCCTACTCGGAAGTAGGGAGGCTGTTTCCAAGAGACCCCCGGCTCCACCTGCACAAAAATATGGAAGAGAACACAGTATAGCACAGATAAGGCACCAAGTACAAGCAACAAGTACAAACAAACAATAGCAAAAGATTCCCAACAAATACAACACACTACAAAACAACCTCTACAACACCGAGCTCCTATCCAGCTACTCTAATCCTAGTTCTCCAAAGGTTCCTATCTAGGGCCATATCCTCAGTCAGGTCGAAAAGTCCTAAATCCTGTCTTATCACCTCCTCCCAAGTCAGTACAATGGCATTTTTTGAAATTCACAAGCTATAATGTCAGGAAATTACCATAATCTCTAAATAACAGCAATCCTCCTTGCCTCAAAGCATAAAAACACTCGCGGATTGCCATTCGCATCCTATGCATAGGCAGTGCTGATAGAGTGAATATCTGCATGTTAGATTGAAGAGTGAAAATATCAACAAAAAATATGTGGAATTTCCTTAAGGGCCTGCTTGGATAGATGGTTTTGCATTGGTGGTGTAGATTTGTTTTAAATGTTATACTCTGTAATAATTGAAAGATTGACAATATGACATGATATGTAACCGTATTAGTAGTATCACCATTTCAATCATCTTTTGAACATGTTTAGAAATATCTATTCATCAAGATATACACTAAGGTCCTCAAAAGTCAAAACAATTTCCCACCATGGTCCTCCATCCAAACATGCCTCTAAAGTACTTAACTTAATTGAACAATAAAAATAAACTGCACTGCACATACTAAGGTAAGAAAATCTACGCCACCAATGCAACACGGTTTTCCCACCAAGCGTGACGGATTAGGGGAATATATCTTCCCAGCACTATTTGAATCTGCATAAAATAAAAACTATAGAACTGGCATACACCTCCCTTTTGTTTCATAATAGCTATCAGTTAAGAAGCCCACTAAATATATAAAATCTCGCAAACACGAATTAACTCTCTTCTAAGATCTACTAGAATTTACTTTAATCGAAAATTTAGATAAAGGGAAAAACTAAAAAATTGGTATCAAATGTTCCTTAGGTGCACCGATTAAGGTGTTGCCACGTGACGTTGAGGGCACGAGTTCGAGCCATAGAAGAATCCTCATCCAAAAGTGCAAGGTAATGTTCAACTGAACCACACCATTACGGTCGCTCAACGAGATGCTTTGTAGACAGGCTGGTGAGCTGCCTTTCTTTTTAAAAAAAAGTCAAATAAAGCCTTTGAGTTAACAACCGCAAACCTAGTAAAATCCCACAAAAGTAGGCTCTAAGCAGGGGCCAGGGATTGTGTACACACACCTTACCCCTACTCGGAAGTGGAGAGGTTGTATGCAGAGAGTAAATAAAAGTTCGACCCAACTACTCTAGTCCCAGATGTTCATATATAAATGTCATATCCTCGGTAAGATTGTGAATTATATACGGAGTACTAATTAATGCACATATTCCAAATGAACCAGAATAAATTTATAAGGCAAAGAACCTGAAGGCAAAGCACGTTGTTTAACTATAGAATTTTCCCGACAAGAACTACAGATCAACCACTGAGGACACATGCTTGAAGAAAAGTCCCATTGGAACAAGTTGAAGCGATGTTCTGCTGATGCCAAATTAGCAGCAATTATGTTCTCCTTAGTCCTCTCAACAGCTTCGCAGCTACAATCACATGCATAAAGAACGATGCTCTGGTTCCCACTGCAATATGTCATCAAGGATTCAGAGAAAAACAAACATACACTGCTCAATAGGTAAATCATGATCCCTCATGCTTCATTGAATTTAGAATTATATTGGGTTTGTTGTTGTTGTTGCACAGACAACAACAAACCGAACAACAACAACAAGCCAGTTGGATCCCACTAAAGTAGGGTGTGGAGACAACAACAAACCCATTAGGCAAATTCTTCCATGGACCTAAGGTGCATGGTGAAACTTTATATAGGCCAAATGAGCATTTGCTTACCATTTAGGTAAACATTTTTATTTTTATTTTTAAAATAAATAAATAAAAAACTGTGGAAGAAGGTCCATGTGCGCCTTAGGTCCATGATAGAATTTCTCAAACCAATAAAGTCCCACAAGAAGTAGGATCTAGGCAGGGTGCGTGTAAGCAGACTTCACTCTACCTGGTAGCAGAGAGGCTCAATGTAAGAGGCCCAGAATCTCTGAATAGGAAATGGGCTACTCCGTATTTATAGGGAGCAACTTATTTTGCAGAAAAAATTCTCAAACATTATGCAATGAAACAAAGCCTTAGAGTTAACACATGAGCGCACCGTGTTTTAAAAATGAAGCTGAAGATATTGGTTACCGTAAAATTGGGAGGACAGTACTACCATTCCCACATCCCACTTCCAAGACAACAGAGCCCTCATTACAAGAGGCTAATTCAGGGAACTCCTTGAGCAAATAACGCCTCTCCTGCATTGAGGACATGTGCTGAGCTAAAACTAATATGGGGTAGAAGTGTAGAACACATCATAAGAAAAAAGTACATATGAAATAGAAAATTAGTCAACAAAAGTTCCTTGGTTCAACTAACAAGTCAAACTCTTCTTATTGTCTAAACAATTTCCACGATGCTTGATTCCACGCATTGAACATAAGTGTCTGTTTGGTATAGTATAGCCCGCTCTTTTTTATTAAGATCCTTACAGGTACAGAACTGAACTGACACCAAAATTGCTCCATATTCATTGACAACACACTGAAATAATCAGATAATGGGTGTTTCACGTCAAGTATGAAAGTAACCCCGAAAAGGTGAAGTTGATATCCATGTACAAAGAGGCTGTGAGTCACCTCCTCCCTACCCTTTTCCTTTCTTAAAAAAAAATTACGGAGTATGACTTGTTTGCTTTATGGATCATTCACTACAGCTTATCTGAATTGAACTGAGTGGTACTTAACTAAACTAAACTGAACTTTAATCAGTCATTCGGTAGAGCTTATCTGAATGAACTGAATGGTACTCAGCTGAACTAAACAGAACTAAATTTCACTTGAACTTATAGTTACTGAACTGACCTCAAAAAATCATTTTGAGGCAGTTAAGCTCATTCAAAACTCCATTTTTTTTTGTCACAGCCTCGTCAAATTCACATAATTTAACCAAAATTCACCCACCAAAATTACCCTAAACTTCATATATCTAGACCCAGATCGAACAGGATAGTAATACACAAAAGCTGTGATACCTTAAAGAATCTGCCTGTAGAATGACGGGTGTGGAACTTATTCCAGGCTTCAGAATCGTCTTCTGGAGAAGCAGAAGGAGAAGAAGAAGGATGATGATGAAGATCCTCCTGGTTTCCGATGGCTGGGTTAGGGTTAGGGGCCAAGTGATGATGGAGAAGAGACGGGTCGTTCTCCACGTCTAGCTTCAGTTGCTCCCATTCGAAATCCTTGGAATAATAATTCTCGGCTGCCATTTTCCCTCCTTTTTTCCCATCTTCATCGCCATCATTCATCAGCATGGTTTCATTATTTCCATTTCTGCAATTCTTCAACTTCTTCATCATCTGTAAGCAGTTTTTAATGATTTTTTTTTTTTTTGATCAAGGAGGGGAGACCCTGTGCCAATAGCCCCTCGTAAAGTGATGGTAGCGTGACTACAATTAAAGTGTTTCCATGTTTACTTCTTTAGTTCCAAATTAAATTGTATATTTACTATTTACAAAGTTAAACTTTAGTCATATTCTTTTCTTATTTTATTAGTCATTTGATAAAAAATATAGTCATGTCACCACTAATTTTATAGATCTTTTGATGTAGTTTTTAAATATGTAATTTTATTTTATAATTTTATATTATTTTTTCATATAAAATGATTTGAAAATAACTTTTGACAAACATCGTAAACCGAAATATGCAATTTAAATTGGGACGAAGTGAGTACAAAACTATGTTTCATCTTTTATGAAAATCTCCAAACAAATTATCTTTCATTAAATTCTTTTTATTCCTACGAAAGAGTATTTTACTTATAAACAACTTATAGGTTAAAAAATTACGTATCAGCAATAAATCAATATTCTTCTTTTCCAAAACGAAAAGGTGATAACTGAATATACAAGTATTATTTTGAAACAAGGGAAAAAATTTACTCCATCTGTTCTAAAGTATTTATTCACTTTTGACTTTTTTGATCAAAATTGATAAATTTTGATCTGAAATTAAATAAAAATGACACTAGATATTGATACAAAAATAATTTTATTAGATTTATTATATAAGATATTTTTTAAAAATATTATTTTATCTAATTAATATACAATATATGTTTTATTTAATTATAGGTCAAAAGTTAAAAATAATTAACTGTAAAACGTCAAAACCGGAAAGATACCCTCGGATAGAGATAGTAAAATATTTAGGGAAGGAATGGGAGAATTAGTCAACAAACTAAAGAAAGAGCAATGCTAGGGGCATGGGTGGTCCGGAGGGTGTGCAAAGTGGCCAGCCGCACAAGGCCCCTAAAATTTTAGGGCTCTGTATTTTTAAATTTGTTAATAATTTTAAAGCAAAATTATTCTAAAAAAATAAAATAGGGTCCAAAATGTAAATTTTTGACCGGGCCAATTTTAATTTTTCATTTTTCGGGACCGCCCCTGGCTAGGGGTACACCAAAGATGTACCCCAAGTGTACACCACTCACTTCTCCTCCACCCATTTTTATTTATTTTTTTTTTTTGAATTTCTTGCCTTTGTTTTGTGGATAAGGAGGGGTGGGGGGACAAATGGGGTACACATTTAGTGTACCCTAGCATTTTTCTTAAAGAAAGGACTAACCTGGGCAGGTGTAAAGTGGTTGATTTCCAAGGGTTACAATTTAAATAAATACTACTATACCCTCAACTAATATTATTACTACATTTTTCGTCTCATAAAATTTTTCAAAAACAATAAAAAAAAACATGCCTAAAATGAATTATAAAATATAGAGAAAATTAGAAAATAATATCAAAATTTTACATTTTTAGCCATGTTTTTTTAAAAGTTCTTAAGGAACAAAGGTGGTAAAATATTACTCTCTCTATCTTTAAATACTCCATTTCCTAAACTTTTGTCTTGCACTTCTAGTCTTCTATAGAATTTAAAGAGAATGTTTAAAAGTTAAAAATGAATAGTTAAAATTTAATAAGACGAAAAAGAATTTTTTTAGTCACATAATTATTTTTTAGAGAAAAATAAAGATTATTTTAATACGTCTAAAAACGAGAATTTATTTGAAAAAAGGAGTGTGTGCTTTTGATTTACTTTTGGGTGCCCTCCCTCTTACGTAGTCAAGTTGTGACTTGTGTGACTTATGATTAGCAAGTTTTAATAAAATATTCCACAAATATGATTGTTTTATAATTCATAAATAAAGTTTTTGTTGCGCATTAAGATGTTTGGTTGAAGTTATTTTAAAATTAATTTTTATGAAAAATGATATAGAATTAAAAAAATAAAAATTACATATTTAAAAACTACATGAAAAGATCTATAAAACTACGGGTGACATGACCATATTATTTTATCAAATAGAACACAACAATAGATCAACAAAGTGAATAAAATTTGACCTTGTAAATAATGAATGAGAACTTTATTATTCGACGGAGGGAACATAAACGAAAAATATATTTAAAGAAAGAAGAAATAGTTTGACCGCATGAAAAATAACAAGAAAAGATCACGAGGAAACATATATTTATATTTATAGGAAAAAAAAATATTACAAGTACATGATTCATAATATGTTTTCTATCATTTGTATAATAATTGATTTTAAATTCTAAAATTTTCTACGTAATAAAACTATAAGGGCTTTATTTGACTTTATAATTGAAAAGTTTTGTACCTTAATAAAATTATGAGGGCTTTATTTTTGTGGGTCCATATAAAAAGCCATTATAGATATGCCTTTAATTTCCACATTCTCCCACTGTAAATTTTCAGTTTCCCATAGCTTTCACCTTCTTGATGGATCGATGAAGTTTCAATCGCAAGAAAAGATTTGATTTTTGGGTAAGTTTCCTCGTATTATTCTTTTATCTCTTTCAAAATCCGCAGTAAAATTTTAATTTCAAAAACTTATATGTATAAATCATACTCCGCAGTATTTATCTTTTCAGAAGAAATCTAGTAATTGCATCGATTTTATTATTATTATTGTTATAATTATGAATTTATTTTTTATTTTTAAATTTATTTATTTTTGTTCTTTTGATCATCTGAATTTCATTATGTGAGAAACTCTAAAACATTTTCCTTGCAAAAAAAAATCTTGCAATGGTTTTATACTAAAATAAACTTATAATATCAAATAATATCTAAATATAATGTAAAAAATACTATGAACGAATGTGACACTCTTTTTTTTAACCATCTCAAAAATATTTTGGTTTTGTTATACTCTGTATTTTTAAGTCAATTCAAAGTCATGTTCGGTTTGATCTTGAAGTAATTCCTATCCTAACTCTCCCAATGAATCTCATCTCGACTCAAACCGAACTCGCTTCACCTCTCCTATTTTAGCTAATTTTGGATATAAAAATTTCAATCAGAAATTAACTAAATTTGAGAGATGTAATTTAAGTTGGAGGGTGGGCTCGAGGTCTAGCCTGAGTAGGGACTTCAAATTGGCCGGTGTGTTATCGTATGACATCAGATGCTAGTGTCATTTTAATCGGGTCTAAAACCACCTTGGTACTGTCATATTTATGACACCACGTCAATTTGAAATCGTGATCATTTCAATTCCATTGTGATCCCTACATTTTTGTTAATCCTCACGCCTCCCAAAAAATGTTGTTGTTAATCAACTCTAAATATATCGACGATCATATTTTCGATAAGAGGACCGCCCCAAGAATTTTAGACGAGAGATTACTCAGTTTCGTATCCCAGTGGGAGCATTGGTTGCGTTTCAAAATGTTGAATAAATATGTTTGAACATATACTACATTGTAATAGAGTCAGTAAAACTAAAAAAAAACATTACTTCAGTGCCCAAAGTCTCCCGCCCATTACGGAGTAAGAGGAAGTCTCCCGCCCATTACGGAGTAAGAGGATTGTATGTACACACCCTGACTCTTATGTTTAAAACATAAAGTGGTTATTTAAAAAATTTATAATGCTAAAGCGTAATGCAAAAAAAAAAACATTGCTGACTCGGGTTGTGAAATTGCGATTTCTCATGGATAAATTGGTATAAATTTCATATTTCAATTTTATTTAAATAGTCTTTATACGGTTTGAGATTCATATTAACGATTGAACACATTGTGATCAAGCGGCATAACTGTAACTCTTTCACTTCACCAGGCTATTTAGTTAAAATGAGGCTAGAGGGACTAGCATTTTATGGTCTTACAGTGGTGGTGCTAAACCTCATGATCACGCCTCATCCATTGATTCTAGCGGCGCGCAACACCGGTGAGAACCAACTGATAGGCGTGAACTGGGGGATGCAGACCTCCCACCGCCTGCCTCCGAGGAATGTGGTGAAGATGTTGAAAGACAATGGGATTCAAAAGGTAAAGCTTTTCGAGGCGGATCCTGACGCCCTGAGAGCCTTGAGAAACAGTGGCATTGAAGTCATGGTTGGCATTCCCAATAATATGCTCTCTGATATGGGTAGCTTTGAAGTAGCTGAGGAATGGGTTTATGAAAATGTCACCACATATATCAAGGACAATGTTGACATCAGGTTTGGGTCTCTTATACCTTAATTACCCCCCTTTTCTATGTAGTATTTTTTTACTCTCCCCATCCTCATATAAAAGTTAGGTATTTAAATTTTATTTTATTTAAAAATTGGTATATGAATAAAAAAATAAAACTTATATACTTCGTATTATACATTTAAATACTCATCTTCATAGGTTGCACCTTGTAACTTATTTTTAGTTTTCAGATATGTTGCAGTTGGTAATGAAGCCTTCTTGAAAACTTACAACGGAACTTATCTTAACACCACTTTTCCCGCTCTCCAAAACGTTCATTCCGCGCTAGTAAAAGTCGGGCTTGGAAATCAAGTCACCGCCACCGTCCCCTTGAATGCAGATGTTCACGACAGCCCTACCGGCCTACCATCTGATGGCGATTTTAAGCCAGAGATTCGTGATTACGTTCTTCCGATCGTCAAGTACTTGAGTTATTACAGATGCCCTTTTACCGTCAACATCTACCCGTTCCTGAGCGTTTACAAGGACCCAGATTTCCCGTCAGAGTACGCGTTCTTTGACGGGAACTCGAAGCCTGTAGATGATAACGGGACATCCTACGAAAACATGTTTGATGCGAATTACGATACCCTTGTGTGGGCCCTACACAAGAATGGGTTTGACAACATGCCTATCATAGTCGGAGAAATTGGTTGGCCGACTGACGGGGACAAGAATGCCACAATTGAAGATGCCATGAAGTTCAACCAAGGGTTCGTTGATCATATACTGAGCAGGAAGGGCACCCCAATGAGGCCTGGGGTGCCCATCAACGCATACCTTTTCAGTTTGATTGACGAGGACTTAAAGACCATTGCCCCGGGGAATTTCGAACGACACTGGGGGATTTTCTCTTACGACGGAAAGCCGAAATATCAACTCAATCTCGGCACCACCACGGGACCCTCTCTTGTTCCCGTGGAAAACGTGAAATATCAAGACAACAAATGGTGTATATTCAAACCAAAAGCCAAGCTCACCGACCGTCGAATCGACAAGAGCATGAGCTACGCGTGTAGTCTCGGAGATTGCACAGCGCTAGGATACCAAACATCTTGTGGGACATTAGACGCACGAGGAAATATCTCGTACGCGTTCAACAATTACTACCAAATGCATGACCAATTGGATGAGGCCTGCACCAGCCATTTTTCAGGCCTTGGTGCAGTGACAAGGTCCAATCCTTCTGCAGTGTACAACAATTGCGTGTTTCAAGTCATGATCGAGCCCTACTACGGAGCATCCTCTGACTTAATTCCAATGACATGTGGTTTAGTAGTATTTTTGGGGCTGATTCTCTCTGCATTATTGGCAATTTTGTGAGACTTATATACTTGATTACTTGTACAATTCCTTTCCGATGATTAGATGAGCTAAGGAATTTTAAGTGTGTGTTTTGTAATAATAATAATAATGCATATACATGTATGTGTAGTAGATCGTAGCCCAGGATATTTTTTATTTGTGAAAAGTTATACTAGTATATGATGAGGGTTTTGGAATGCTTAATACTTAATAGCTATTGTAAAACTTTAACCATGTTTTTTTTTTGCATGAATTTGTTATCTTTAAGGGGGTGAGTGTCAAATGGGTAAACATAAGTTCGACTATTGGCAACGACGATAAAGAATAACCGTGCACTTCTTGCACGGGACAAGCCCAACATCCTATCAACCATATTGAGATTATAGCTTTATCTCCTCTCAGTCTACTGTCAAGACCCATACTATAAGGGACTTCGGAGATTGGGGTTCAATTTTATTTTCTATATTGACCTTCACGAGGTCATCATAGTTTAACTTTTAATTATTAACATATTACTTGTTTCAATTTAATTGTAACATTTTTAATCGGGAGACATAACACCTCGGGGGGGGGGAGGGGGGGTACATAACTCTCCCACCAAACGTGCTTAGTCATATATACCAACAACAGAACAAAAAACACCTAAGGGGTCAAGATGAAGGCAGGTTAACTCTTTAAAAACATGCAAAATATACAACAAACAATACTATTGCCAAAGTCATGGAAACATACACTTCAATCTCCGGAGTTGAAAAAAGAGTATAACGGCACACGTGACAATTTCAGACATGGCAACATCCAAGATGCCAAAAGATGGTACAAATTTTTCTTTTAAAAAATACATTTAGCACACAACTAGCATAATTAAGAACCGTACTACAATCACACCAAAGTTTGACATCTTATGTTTCACAAACACTTATTAACTCGGCCACCTAGACATGTCTTGAAACACATAGTGTCAAAACAGATTTATACACAGCACAATGATCCCAAAGAGCTAAAAGAGAAAAGGAATCATTGCCTTCCTACCCTTGGGGAAGTTTTCAAACTTGGACAAATACCATCTCCTAGTGGCAACACTCCTCCCCATCAGATAAAAACACGTACCCAAAGCAAAAACAGACGCGTACAATGTCTGAGAAATGCAAGCAATCCCGACAAACCCCAAAACCTCAAAAAGGTAATGCGGGCACACCACAAGACCAAACAACCCACCTTGGGGTATTTTATACTGCTTCTCGCCATCGTTTCTTCTCAACACAGAAAGAAGGTAGTGGTGGTAGAAATTACCCGTTATGCCGAGGAGAAAGATCACGAGCCCGAAGATTTTCAGGTCGACTCTTGGGTCTGGAAATCCGCGGACTAGGTGCTGAGAGTAGATCATGTTTGCAGTGCCTGTGAAGTAACTAAGGGATATGGTAATTGTTGTCTCCACATCAACACTGCCACTATATTTGTGAAGAAACATTACCTGTTATATGCAAGGGGTTAGGAGAGGGTGTGGGAGTAACTTTAAATTGTATTTGAATTGAGAACCATTGAACAAAAAAAAGCCCATGAAAAGTAAACTTAGGGTCTGTTTGGGAAGGGGAAGGAAGACATTTTCCTGAAGATCGTTCAAAAATGAGCCAGGAAAATAATTTCTATCTTTCTACTGAAGATATTTTCCAACTTTCTCCCACTTATTATATTCAACTCACAAAAAAAAAAGATTGAACTCACCATGTTCTATTATGTTACTACAACAGAAACTAGTTTTTTTTCATTTCCCAAACTTTCAACCAAATACCAAAAAATGAATTCATCATTCATTAAGTCATTTTTCGAACATTCAAGCAAACACCATAAAATGATTTTTTTTTGGCTAAGGGCTTGCGCATGAACATTAATTTTTTAAAATTTGGGTGCCAGTGTGAACCAAACTCGTGATCTACATCAGCAACCAACTCAACCAAGAGCTTAAGCTCCAAAAAAGCTTTTATACTCTAACAAAATCCTTACTGGTCTGTTTGTGAACTCAAATTTGGATTTCGATTTCATACTTGACCCAAATTATATGTTTGGGAATCCAAAAATTTGGAATTGAATTTGGGCCAGATTTCTCTAATTTCCAAAAAAGCTCAATTGCAAATTCAACACACCTAAGAATTGAAATTCAAGAATTCAAATGAGTTTTTAGCTTCCAAACCCTACCTTGTATAAATTTTTGAAGAGGACCTTAGAGTTGGTTAATAGTTCCAAAAAATGGCAAATAAATTGTCAGAGAAATTGAAGCACAGAATTCCAAAAATATAAAAAAAATCACATCTTTTTAACAGATTATAAAAAAACGGAAATAGAATCATACCTCGAGGAGTCGTTTGAAGAAATGGATGGTAAGAGCAGCAGATACCAAACGGAACCTGAAATCTGCAACGGGGAAGATCCAAAACGAAGCCGCGCCGGCAAGGAAAGCGGGAGCGTAGAAAATCGCCATCCCTGTTCTGCTCGAGATTCTGGCCGGCGATTTCTGGCCGGATCTAGATCTGTAAAACTTCGAGTAGTTCATGTGCTTCCCTCTCGTCTCCTTCAATCCGGCGTTGCTCAGCGCGAAGAAGTTTATGGCGGACATCGCCGCGAGGTACAGAGACGGAGGCGGCGGGTACAGGAAGCTCAATAATGATGAGAATATCGCCATTAGTTCTCTCTCTCTATCTACTCTGTGTGGAAATGTGTTTTAGTTGTGCGGCGGAGGAGGGATTCGTTTGGCGACGGCGTGGACGGCGGCTGTGGGATAAGAAGTGGGTGGTGGAGGATTCAATTTGTCAACAGATTAGCCACAAACTTTGCATGGGGAAGGAAGGACATAGGACCTTGTGATAAGGTGAGCAAGTAGTCAAGTACCATCCTCAAAATTCTAGAAAGAAAAAAGGATTAAGTTCGTTGTACACCAAAAATTATATTCTATTTTGTACCCCAAAGATATCCACCGACATTTTGTGTTAGTATGATGTTAGTATGATGATTTACATTGACAAAAAATGTCAGTGCAAATTTTTTTAATTGAACTAACATTTTATGCCAGGGTGAACCGTTAAAATTTGGTGTATTTCTTTGGAATATAACTTGGGGTACGTTTTTGGTGTACTCATAGCATGGTTGAAAAAAAATCAAAAATATCGAAGCGAAAAATACTGTAAAAGAAATGAAACATGCTGAATTAAAAACTAGTAATCTTTTTATATTTCTTCATTAAATAATAAATTTATTTTGAAAGATTAGTTTAAGTTTTATAACATGTAAGTTATACTTTTATTCAAGTTTTAATTCTTTGTAAAATAATACAAAAATATTGTCAAACATTTGAAATTCTATTTGTTATCATTTCTTTTCTTTAGTTTATGAAAAACAGAGTATAAATTAAGTTTTATAAGTAGTTCTTGCATTCTATTTTTTTATGTTTCTTTATTTAAATATATTTTTCATTCTTCTAAAAAATAAAGGAGTTTTGTTACATTTTAAAATGTAAACTAGGTTGGGTAAGAACCATGAATTTGATTAAAATTTGGACAAAGTATCAATCCAAATTTTGTACCGGTATAATAAATTCAAAATATCGTGATTTTTTATCATTAATAGTACTTGAAGTTAAGATAACGACGTTGGACATGACTAGCTCCCATGGTGCGAAGGGTGATGTGATAAAAGCTCGAGAATGAATTCACCATTTTGTATTCTCTCAATACCAAAAAATGTCAGGCCGTGATAAGGTAACTCCAACATTTTAGGGCTATCATGATACCATTCTTCGCACAGACACGCACAAACAATAATTATTGGTATAGTAACTCTAAAATGTTGGGATAACACTAGCTTTATTAAAGAATGTTCTCCATATTTAACATTGCTATTTCAAAAACAATACAAATATAACATCATCAGATTCAACATTAATAAGAAAGAAACACACACACTAAACATCACAAAACTACACACAGATATATAACAAAGCAATCTTGACCATATCCAAAGGCATTTAAGCAAATACAAGAAGATACAGAATTTTAAAAATTGGGAAGAAGAAGAAGAAGAAAAAGAACACAGCAAAACACAATTGTTTGCCTGAGATTCTATGCAACCCCGACATACAATCACATTTGTTGATATATATGTGTGTATAGGGAGCATAAGAGATGACCAAACAAGGAACAAAAAAAACTACACTCTTATTGCCTCCCTAAATCTGATGCTGAAAGTTTTCTCCGGGCCGTTCTTCCCGGTTCCCATGATTGGATTTCCTTTCTGCATCATGGCCACGAATTCGTTGTAATCTATGCATCCATCCTGCAACAAAGAAAAACAATTCAAACACGCTTAACTTTGGAGGTTCTTCCCAAATGAACTCGACAAAAGAATGGGTTTTTTTTTTTTGGGGGGGGGGGGGGGAGGTTACTTACGTTGTCTTGGTCAGCTTCTCTGATCATGTCTTCTAAACGGGCATCCTCGATGCCAAATTCTTCACAGGCCTGTTGAAGCTCATCTGCAGTGATATAGCCGCTTCCATCCTTGTCGAAATAGGAGAAAGCAGCAAACAGATGATCCTCTCTCTCAATTTTGTTGAGATGTAAAGTTGCCGCTACAAACTCTCCGTAATCAATGGTCCCACTGTTATCCACATCGGCCTGCGCAGTTTCGAGCAGGAAAAAAAAGAATTTTGGTTTCAAAAATATAGTAAATCATCATCATCATCACCAAAATGCCGTGAATGATTGGGTAAACTTACAGCTTGCATCAGATCATAGATCTCAGACTCATTGAGATTGGCACCAACTCTGTTCAGTCCAACTTTAAGCTCCTCGAAAGTGATTTGCCCGCTGTTGTCTGCATCTATCATCTTAAACATTTCTTTTAGACCCGCAATCTCTTCTTCGGAGAGGCTCTCTGCTATGATCTGTTGCATGAGACATCAAGTGTTTTTGTTGATGGGGTTTTTTTTATTTGTGTGAAAGAATGTTAATAAGTTGTTGATATGCGCTATGGACTTCAAAGTAAATATGCCCTTACTCTCAAAGCCATTTTCTTGAGTTTGTTCATAGCAGAGAATTGCTTCATTCGACTCAAAACTGCAGAGTCTAAAGGCTTGTCTGGAGCAACACCGCCGACTTGAACCCAAGGATGGCCTGCAAAATGGGGGTTTAAGAAAATCCTTTTCATCAAAAATTCCAGTTCATGATTTGGGAATTGATTATCACCTTAAAGAACACAAAAGAATATAGAAGACAAAAAAACAAGTGAGCTATGGCCTATGAGCATATCAATAAGAAGTGCATTACTAGCATACAGACATGGTCACATGGACTAATTGGGGTTAGTAGAGATCCAAAATGAACTAGATGGAGTATAAGTGGGGGGAAACTTTGTGACCATTTGGCAACAGTTACATCGTCCAGCTTTGCACAATGTTTGGTTCAAGAAATTTGGAAGTAAAAGAAAAGAAAATAGTTTTCTCTCATGTTCCTCACCTAAAATAGGAGTAATTTCGTTTTCTCTCCTCTTAGTACATTTTGTCTTCTCATTTTATTTTTCTTCCACTTCTCTTTTCTTTTTCTCTCTAACCAAACAAAAAAAAAAGAGTTGCTTTTACTCTCATTTTCTTTTTTTTCCCTTTCAAATTCCTTGAATAAAATATAGTGTTAGTGTATTGAAAATGCTATCTAAGGGCAGTGTTTAGCTATAGCATTTCTAAATTTAAAGAACTTTCCAGAATGCTAACACTAATTAAAAACATTGAACTCAAACAAGGCCTTAGACGCTTGACGGCTTGACGAGAGTCCAATATCAAGACTTGAAGTTACATACTAAAAGATGGTCGACTTTTGTAGTAGTCTAGTTCATAGTCATATTAGTGGTACGGACTCATGCCATATATAATATATAAGACATTATGCACTACATTAACAACTATTCAATCAATGCAACTACTACATCAATAATAAAAATTCTACACAAGCAACTAGGTGGGGACTAATCAGGGTAAGCGAGGGTATTCACTACAACTCTAAATACTAAAATCTATGAAGCATGGGAAATACACAACAAAATCTAGTTTCACCTTGCAATTGCTTATTGATTCATTAACGTCTCATGGCTTAAGAATAATCAAATGAAAGCACTCACATAGAACTTCATGTGCAGTCAAACGCTTTCGTGGGTCCCGCTCCAGCATTCTCCTAACGAGATCTTTAGCGCCATCTGATATACTAGGCCATGGGTCCGATGTGAAGTCAAGTTCACCATGTAACACTTCTTCAAATATTGCTTTCTCGGTTTCTATATAATGTATAGAAAGAAAAGGAGTTATATGGTGCACATATATGAAAGAGAAGGCTTGAGTTACATTATCATCAGAAGCATGCTTTCTGTAACAACGAAACGATGAAAATCTAAGTTCCAATATTTTCCCAAATTCTGTTTTTTTTTTCACACAATTTCATGTTCTTATTTTCAAAATAGTGAGGGGAAAAAACAAAAGCATTACCAAATGAAGCCTTAATTGAACTAAGTAAACCTCACCAGCCCAAAAAGGAGGGACTCCACTTAGTAAAATGTAAACTATTACGCCGGCACTCCAAACATCAGCTTCCGGACCATACCGCTTTCGTAGAACTTCTGGTGCAACATAGTAAGGACTGCCAACAACATCCCTAACTTTTTCACCTGGCAATAAAAAACATATGCAACGTCTTGAACTGGGTCACATAATGTTGAAACTTATACGAATAATACAATGGCAATTGGACAAAACTTATCCCCCAACCAAACAAGCCCTAAATGTTGCGAGGAGGAAACTTTGAGCTCAGGAATGGCATTTTATGCAAAATATCAACTAGGCATAGTGCGTATTTGGCGTTTAGCTTTAGCGTTTTTAAAGTTTATCTGAACCATCAAAGAAACTATTCAAAATGCTAATGCTAATTGAAGAAGTTGTTCCCAAACAAGGCCGCAAATAGAACGTTTACTCAAATTCATACCTGGTTTGAAGAATATAGACAACCCAAAGTCGATCGTCTTGAGAACTGAATCTTCCTTCTTGTCCAGAAAAAGAAAATTTTCAGGTTTCAAGTCACGGTGCATCACCCCCAACGAATGGCATGCTTCCACAACACCAACTATGGTCCTAGTCAGCTCGGCTGCCTGTTGTTCAGTGTAATGTCCGCGCTGAGTAATCCTATCAAACAGTTCCCCTCCTGCACAATATTCCATCACAACATGAACCGCGACAGCATCCTCATAAGCCCCTTTAATGGATATAACATTTGGGTGTCCTGGCAAGTGGTGCATTATCTGAATCTCTCTTCTAACATCTTCCACATCTTCATCTGTCAAGAGCTTCCTCTTGGCTATGGACTTGCAGGCGTATTGCTTCCCTGTTTCTTTCTCCACGCAAAGAAACGTAACCCCAAACTGCCCCTGCCCTAACTTCTTCCCAATGCTGAAGAACTCCTTCAAGTTTCCAGTTTTCTTTTGTAGGACCTCAGTCCTTAGCCCTGCACTCGGTACCCTCTTCATACGGAACGGCTTCTCAGGATTATTCCTTTGTTTCCCCTCCGTCTCCGGCTTGGGCTTTATCGTGTCTTCTTGGGACTTACTTTGCACGGGCACAGGCAACTTGGGTTCTTGACCGGAGCCCTTTCTTTCTTGACCCGAAGGGGCCACCGGGTCCGATTTGGGCATTGCCATACGTTCTGGTGGCTTGCTTTGAAACTCCATTGGTGACTCGGGCTCTTTCCCTGAACCTTGTTTTTCGGTTCGGACACTGTCCTCATTACCTGTGGAAGACGAGTCACCCGTGGATCGGGAAGGCCACATTGCAGCCGAAACCGATTGGAAAAATCCACTTTTGGAAATTCTTGGCCCCACACAAGTATTCCCCATCTACTCCAAAACCTCCAAATCCCTTACAGAGAGAAAAAAAAAGGGAACTATTCCCAAATATTCACAGAGATCTCATAAATGTTGAACAGGCTTCTGCCCGGATCAAGCAGATATACAAGTCAAACTCCCTCAATCTTAACTCTTAGTTCTATACTTGCCAATAAAGATTCAAACCCAAGAACCAAAACGGCATCTTACCCAATTGGGTTCAACAAAAAAAGGGAAATATACACAGCCCGAATCATCAAAACAAGAACACCAAGTGCAAATAATCAAGAAATATGATGGGGAGAAAAAAGATAAATCAAGACGAATCTGAGTGCAGAGAAGAGAGAACCATATACATGAAGAAGATGGAAGAACCCAGATAAAAAAGACTCGAGCTTTGGAGTTTATTCGGCAGATTCAAATGCTCCCAAGTGGGGGTTCAAAGAGTTCCCCAGTGGCTGCTGGAGCACGAAGAACAAAAGGTTTGAAATCTTTGAGGATGATGAATAGTGCAGAAGAGATGTGAGACCTGGTCCAAAGCCATCTCCCCATTGGGGGGTTTTAGACTTTTTTTTTTTTATTTTTAAGATAAATACAGTACTCCGTAACTCTTACTCATAAATAAATACTCGCAAGAAATTTTCTCAGAAAAAAAAAACAAAAAAAAAAACAAAAAAAAAAACAAAACAAGAAGAAGAATCTGGTTTTTGAGTGCCAAAACTTGGTTTTGTCTACTTTACCATTTTAGGTAGAGTCTTGTGCGCGTCTGAGGATTGGGTTTTTGGGGATGGAGACGCGGAAAGCGCGTTGGTGGAAGTTTCCTTGAAGCTCTAGCGTGGGGTTGTTTTTCCAGAGTAGGAGTACTTTTTAGCACCCAAATTCATAACCACATCTCCGATTTGTGAGATAAAATATCTCTCCCATAGGCCATACGCCCATACCCATGGTTTCAATTTTTAAAAAAAAAACACCTAAAAGGCTAAAATAAGAAAAATATATGGAGTATATGGCTATGGGAGAAATACGAAAATAGCACTTTAATGGCCTTATAATACTCAAAATAGCAGTGCTATTAGTTTTTGGGATGAATTCCCGTTTTTGTCCTTAAATAAACTCCCAAAATTAGAATTATACTGCAATGTATACTCTTCACTGCCACATTATAAATAAGTATGAAATTCTCTACTCTTCACTGCCATAATATGTTTGAGATTGAATTTAGTGCCCTAACACATACAACACTGCCAAAAAAAGAGCAGAATTCATTTTAAGCCGCGACCTTTTATTTTTTATGGTAATTATACATAGCAATATATACTCTCTACACTGCCACAATATCTACTTCCAAAAACTCAATGTATGAAATACACTGCCACAATATATACACTGCCAAAAATTCAATGTCTGAAATACACTGCCACAATATATACACTGTCCGAATAAAAGGATGCAAGACAAAATTTTAACATTTAATCTTCACAATGCCCACACCATAACACCTAATCTTGACATCGCCAAAATCACAATGCATTTCAAAAGACCTAATTTTTCAAAAGGGACAAATACTTGGTATTTCAAAATTGATTTCACAACATACACCTAATATTCAATACGAAGAAAATACAATAATTAATACTAAAAATACAGGGGTATGGAAGGAGAGATTGGAGTTGAATGCCGTAATTTTTAATGAAAAAACAGAAAAAGGGGTAAAGGGTATGATAGGAAAGGATTGACACCATAAATTGCTAAGTTTGTTAAAAACAATGAGTAGTGCTAAATGCGTAATTCAGGATGAGTTAGAGTGCTACGTAGAGTGATTTCTTTATGGTTATTACCCCAAAATAAGGCTATTGGGTTCAATGTGATCCGTCACATCATCAGACTCAGCGCTACGTCAGTTTTTCTCTTTTTCATTACAGTTTATCACGGTCGATGATTCTATCATCATACACCCCATCATGGTCGCGGTAAGGGGGGCTGTGTTTCACGCCGTGGTGGATGCCGATGTGGTGCCACCTGGCCATCACGAGCTCTCACACTCGTCTGTCTAAAATTGTTTTATTTAAAAAATTACTCTCTCCGTCCCGGAGTATTCGTCCAGTTTTGACTTTTGGAACTGTTCATCTAAGCACTTTGACTCATCAAATTCTCTCAATGTGTAAGCCTAAATATAGTCATGTGTGATCTTGTTTGATTTGTCTTAACATATAGATTATTAATATATAATTTCTATAATTTTTTAATATACAAATTACAAGATACAATGAATTAAAGAAGTGTATTGGATGGTGTGTAAAAATGGAAGTGGACAAATACTCTGGGACGGAGGTAGTATTTTTTTTACTATTCACATGTTCAAACTTTCTTTACTTTGTTGACTCATTTTCATTGCATATTTGGTAAAATAATATAGTCATGTCAAATCTAATTTTGTAAATCTTTTGATGTTATTTTTAAATATGTAATTTTTATTTTTTCAATTCCACGCCATTTTTCATATAAAATGATTTGAAAATAATTTCAATCAAATGTCGTAACATGCAATTTGAAGATAATTTTTGAACGGAAGAAGTAGTGATATATTTTTATTTCAAAATAAACTATTGCATTATAATTATGTAACACTGTATGTTGATAGTTCATAATGCTTTTTTATATTATATGTTGAGATCATTGCAGCACAGGTTCTATTTTGAAGATAATTAAAAACATCAATGTCTCTTAGCTTCTACGGAGTAGTTCTTTTTTATGTTTTACTTTTACGTCAGTCTTTTTTTCTTTAAACTAGCGTTAACATTATGAATAATTTTTCATTGTATATGTTAGACAATAATATTAAGTATTCCTAGTTATGGTAGAAGTTGTATTTTAGTTAGTTTCCATTCTCTATTCCTAGTTGTGTTAGGAGTCTCTTCTATATATACTCTATCATGTACTTCATAATTCAAGGAGCAATATTATTATTCCCATATTTCAACATGGTATCGGAGCTATCGTTCTTGGTGACCTAAAAAAAGATCTTTGCTCCCACCGCCGCCGCCGGTATTTCCGGCGCGGCGGCTCCACCTTATTCACATCTATTTTTTTCCCTTCTTTTATTCTCAAATTAACTTCTCCATTCAAAAAAAAAGAAAAAATTCCCGTGTTGAAATCACAAAAAAAACCATCAAAGGATGAACTTTTCTCTTGTCATCTCCATGGTCCTTCAAAAAAAAAAAATCGACTCCTCACAAACTCTCTCAAATCATCATATCTTCTCAAAAAAAAGAAAAAAAAAATGATTGTTGTTTCTCTCTAATTCACCATATCAAATTCACAGACCCAAATCTTTTTCACATCACCAATTCTTAACCCACTTTTTCTCTCTCTCAAATCACTCATTCTAATCATCAACCTTCCTTCTCTTTCTCTTCTATTGAACCAATAAAAATACAAATTCAAAGAGCAATATTATTATTCCAATATTTCATCTGGTATCAGAGCCACCGCTCTTGGTGACCTAAAAAAAGTTCTTTGCTCCCACCGCCGCCGACGGTAATTCTGGCGACGACGGCTCCATCCTATTCACCTCTATTTTCTTTTCCTTCTGTATTCTCAAATCAACTTCTCTATTCAAAAAAAAAAGAAAAAACCCTGTTGAAATCACAAAAAAAAAACTATCAAAGGATGAACTTCTCTCTTGTACCTCCATGGTTCTTCAAAAAAAAAAACACAACTCCTCACAAACTTTCTCAACTCATCATATCTTCTCAAAAAAAAAAGAAAAAAAATGATTGTTGTTTCTCTCCAACTCACCATATCAAAATCTCATACCCAAATTTTTTTTCTCCATCACCAATTCTTAACCTCCCTTCTCTTTCTCTTTTATTGAACCATTAAAAATCCAAAGTAAATCAGCACAAAAGCAAAGTCAATGGGGGAAGTAGTGACAGAGGAAAACAAATACCTCTACAACTCACTCATTCAAGAAGGAAATAGGGCATTGCCCGGATCCAAGAAAAAGACAAAAATGTCAAGGATCTTCAGTCAAACAGGAACCTCCAGTAGCTTTCTCTATTCTTCTTCAACGTCAGCAACTACAAGCGCACGTTAACCTTCTCTCTTCTTCATCGACGTCAGCAGCTACTAGCGCACGTCAATTTCTCTCTTCTCCAACGACGTTAGCAGCTACCAGTGCACGTCAGGCTTCTCTCTTCTCCAACGACGTCAGCAGCCACCGGCGCGCGTCACACTTCTCTCTTCTCTTACGACGTGAGTAGCCACCGGAGCATGTCAGACTTCTCTCTTCTCAAAGTTACCAATTTCCAGCTAGTGTCCAAGCTTCCTCTTGCTTTAGCCAGAGTTCAGCTTGAGGGGGGATGTTAGACAACAATACTAATAGTACTTCTTGTAGTATTGGTTATGGTAGTGTTTCATTATTAGTCAGCTTCCTAGTCCTATTTGTGGTAGATGTTATATTTTAGTTAGTTTCCATTCTCTATTCCTAGTTGTGTTAGGAGTCTCTCCTAAATATACTCTATCATGTACTACATAATTCAAAGAGCAATATTATTATTCCAATATTTCAACAGTATATACTCCGTATTAATTTTGAAATATCAAAAGCTAAATATCATCGTTAGCGTATGGGTAGTGCCTCACAGAAGGAGAGGAGTGCTCCTCCCCGGCACTACCACATCACAGACGAAACGTCACTTATATTTTTTAAATTAAACGAGTTAATTTTTTTTGTTTTGCTATTAGAAAAAAAGTAAAACCCCAAAATTGTACAAAAAAAAGCTTTCTTTCTCTTTTTTGAAAATGTGTCATATGAAGCAACATTATGTGGGTGTTTCTCTGTGCTGGTGCTTATTGACTTATTGTTTATAAGTAGTTTCTAACTTATAAGCTGTTTATAAATTAAAAACTCTTTCATATAGAAAAAATGACTTAAATGATATATAAAAAAATTTGGGGATATATGATAGGCGAGGGATAGTTTTGTAAGCAATCTGGTCGAAACAGAGAAACGAACTGGCTTAAAAATAAGTAAGTGAATCTACTTATTTTTTCTGACTTATAAGTACAGAGAAACACATCATTTATTAACTTATAAGTTAAAAACAGCTTATAAACAGTTTTGACCAACTTATAAACACAAAGAAACACCCACTATATACAAAAATAAAGAAAACAAAAAGTAAGTTTTCTTTTTGTTATATATTCCACCAATACAATTCGAATTGAACGAAGTATGTTTTTTTATCAAATGGGTTCTAATTATAATTTATGTTTTCATGATTTTTTTTCTTTTAAATTAAGTTAGTTTACGTTTTTATATAACATAAAAGTAAAGAACAACAATAAATATGATATTAACACCAAAAGAAATTAAAAAGGTTTGGACGGAAAATAATAAAACCAAAAAATAACGAAGTATAAAACAAAAAAAATAAATTATTCATGTTAATTTAAAAATAGAATTTAATTTGAGTATAAATAGGTAAAGATAGCGAGTGCAGTCATCTCAGTAACTGTTGATTTGGAGTGAGTGACAATACGACACTACAAATGCTTTAGATAATATTTTCATATTTTATTTAACATACTCTACTTTTATTAAGTGTTACCCCTTTCTCCCATTAAAGTAGTGTTTAACATTTTAAATAACTTTTTATTGTATGGAGTAATTTTATGAATTCAAAAGCTAAACATTATCGTTAGATAATGTTTAGCAAACTATTAAAGGTGAATATTGAACATGTTACCAAACATACCCTACTTCCATTAAATGTTACGTCTTTTGTTCTCTTGATTTTTAATAATTATTATTTATATAGTCAAATTATTTTCTATATACATGCTTTTATTTATCTTTTAATAAAATAATATAGTCATTTAACCTTATTTTGTAGCCTTTCAATATAGTTTTTAAAATGTACCCTATATAAATTTAATTTTTAATTATGCATCAATATATAAACTACACTCGAGTTCATGTGACATTTAAATTCAATGTCATAGCATGACCCAGAGTTCCTATGATATTTCGTTAAAAAATGATGGTTTATATCCCTTTGACTCCCCCACTGTCTTCTCTCCTTCGCAGATTGCCTACAGGGACCATTAAAGCTAATTGAGGAATGGATGAGGTTGGGGCTATTATGGGGGTTAGGAGGGATTAGGGGGCACAAACTATCAATTTTTTTGAATAAAACCTCGTAGGAGTTTTGAGTCATCGTGTGACAATAAGCTCAAAAGTGCAGGAACTAATCTCTTTAAACAAAACGACTTGCAAATAATATTATTCAAACATTATAACTCATACGGTGAAAACCCAATGTGACAAAGGAAGCATTAATTTATGTTTGGAGCATCTAAAACAATTCCCTATTTATAAAAATGACGGTTCCTACTCTCTAACTCTCTCCCTAAACCCCTCCACCCCAGCCTCACCCCTTTCCTCCCACCCCAGCACTCCTCCTTTTCTTGCCAGGCCAGGGTAGGGAGGATGGCAGGAGGGGGCTGGGTGGGGATTTGGGGGGAGGGTTAGGGGGTAAGAACCGTCATTTTTACAAATGGGACATCATAGGTGTCCTAAACTAACTGGTGTAAGCAAATGACACCAGTAACAGAAGTGCCATTTTAGACTTACCCTTTATGTTTAGCAAATTTGTTTTTCAATGAGAATATGGTGTCATCATTAATGTTGGAACAATAATATCAAGATTGATGTTAGGGGATAGGCCAAGTTGCACACTCTAAAATAAACTTTTTTTGAGCTGACATAATACCTTAACCACAAGCTTTGTCCCTTGAAACCTACTTGGGATTATCGCTCTTGAACCCTGCACTTGAATTTGTAATATTATTATTCATCGAGTACCACTCCACATGTGCATCTGAATTGAACATGTTAATAATGTCAATTAAAATTCTCATTTGATTTAAATGTATCTACTTACACAAGATAAATTAGTGACACTAAAATCACTAAGAGATCCCTCTTATTAACATTATAGAAAGAGAGTCACTATAAGGAACATGCCTTGCTTTCTGTTGATTAGTTTGAAATTAAAGCTCGATTTAGGACCTGTTTGGGAATGATGTTAGAAGTTAGCGTTAGGGTTTTGAAAAGGCTATCAACGGGCAGCATTTAGTGTTAGCGTTTTCAAAATTAATCTGCACCGTTAACGCTTTATCCAAAACGCTTACGGTAATTGAAAATGCTATTCCCAAACAGGCTCTTAGTCTCTTGTAGTCAATTGCTTAGGCCGGTATGCTGGACTCTAGGATGGAGTCGCCATTTTTATTTTCCCTCCGTCCCATAGAAAAGTTTTACCTGTTCAGTGAGTTTTGAAGGTATGATAAGATAAAAGTTTTGAAATTTGGGAGAAATAATACTCCATCCGTCCTAAAACGTTCTTTCCTGTTAGTATTCACACATTCAAACTTTAATCACTTTCTTTACATATTTACGTTAGTTATTTGATAAAATAATATAGTTTTGTCATCTTTTATTTTGTAGAACTTTTGATGTAGCTTTTCAAATATATAAACTTTAAATTTTTATTTTACACCTAAAATAAAAAAGTCGGTCAAACCGCGTAAACAGAAACGGAAAAAATGTTTTAGAACGGAGAGAGTATGAGTTTTGAAATCTGAAATAAAGTTGTTTGGAGAGATTTAAAATCATGATTTAATTAGTATAGGCATGACTGCATGAGTGACCTGCAATGAGGGTGGTTGGCGGTGATAATGGTAGCCGTTGGCGGAAAATGGTCAACGATTGAGAAAGATATCAAATATCCATATTGGAATCTCTCAAATTCATGAAATATCAAAATCCTTCATTTTGAGAATTTATGATATCTGAAGGTATCAAACTTGATTTCTATTTTGGTTTCATCAGACATCAAAAAAAGATTCTAATGTCTAGGTATATTAAAACACACACATATCTTTTTTGCTCACCTAACACACCGTTAGTTTAATATACGATTTTTGACTAAGGTTATTTTCACTTCAATTCATTTGAAAATTAGTATAAAATAAAAAGAATTACAAGCACATATTTAAAAAATAGTATAAGGTTATTTTTATACGGAGTATTTAATTGCAACATAAATTTTAAATTACTATATGAACATATATTTTTTATTTAGAAATTATAAGGTATCTAACTAATAATTCCAAAATAAATTTCTGGTCGTGCATCATACTTGTACATGTCTAATAGGTAGATATCTAGTTATTATAAATTATTCTATTCGTCACAATGTATTTGTACAATTTAACTACTTGGAATCAAATTAAACAAATTTTAATTGTCAACTCTTTTTCAATTTGTATTACACATTAGTAGAATAAAATAAAATTTTAAAAGTTTACAACAAGAGTAATTTACATAAATAGAACTAAAACCTAATGACTTTCCCAATATAAGACCATATGTTTTTATTTCTCAATATAGGACTTTTGGTCATTATCAAGTAGTCATTATTCAAGTAAATGTCCATCATTACTGGACATTATTCCTCCCACGAGGTCATTATTAAGTTCTATTTAGAGAATAAAAAAGTTTAAGTCCTACATTAGGAAAGTCATTATGTTTTAGTCCTATTTAGTGCAAATTTCACTTACAACAAGTTAAAATATAATCAAATGATTCTTATTCAAATATAGATTAAACTTTAAAGTCCTATTTGGTTGAGGTTTAATATATGTCAAGTTTAACTTAAAAAAATAAATTTGATTAATACAAAAAGTGGTAAAAAATGAAATAAATGGACAAGCCGGCGAGAAATCGAAAAACAAAGCCCCACTCATCGGAGGCTCGGAGCTAATTTATCCCGCCGCACTCCGGACGCAAGAGCCGCATCTGCCGGGAAAATGTTGAGGCGAGCTTTAACACGCGCCGCCGGTTCGCTCCGGCAACGGCACCCCTGGAGAACGTGCGCGGCGTCGCAGTCTTCTTCGTCGTCACCATCTGCTGCTTCCGCCACTGTAAACAAAGTTATTCTCCGCTCCCTCAAAGATCACTATCTCGAAGTCTCAAAAATGACTCCCCCTCCGGTAAAAAAACCCCGCCAACCTCCTTCCATTTCTTAGTGCACCGAGTTCATAATGCGTAAACTTGAGATTTGTGAAGCTAGGGTTTATTTTATTTTATTTTATTTTATTTTATTTCCCCCTTGTTTCTCCATTCTGATTTTTCTCGCGTCTCTGCTAATTGAAGCATACAATTCAGGCTTAAGAGGAGCTTATTGGGCTTTAATTGGTTTTGAACCAGTAGAAGCTTCATGTTTACTCCAACACATTTGGGATTGATTTGCTTGTAGTGATGATGATTAGTTGGGTAATTACCATTAAATATGACCTTGGATGTATTTGTTGTGATCCAGAATATGGATATTTACTAATACCTTGCTAAAAGGCTAGGATATGGCATTCAGAGTGTGTTTTGGCTGCATTTTATGAGAGAGTATATAAAACTACTCCCAATCCCTTGTTCCCCACCCCAGGGAAAAAAAATTCAGGTGTTAAATACTTTTTGCCCCAAAATACGAGTCCATTTTGTGCAAAACAGAGCTGGTTTAGTTACATACAAGTATGTTCAGTTAATTACTTTCTGTTTAGTTAAATCAACAAATAAATTTCTAAAAACTTAAAGTATGGTTTGTGACATTATTTGTGCTGTTTTGAGCCGGGGTCTTTTTGGAAACATGATTTTGGCCGTAGTTTACCATAATTCAAAAATTGTACGGAATATAGTGGTTAAGCATGACATTTTTTTGGGGCAGATGTAGTTTTACTTACTCTCTCGGTCTCACAACAAATTTCACACTTTTCCAAAATAAATTTCATGCTTACCTTATTTCATTTTAAGGAAAGGAATGTGTGGCTCGCATCATTTCTTTTTCTTCTAAAGACATTATAATCATACACTTTGCACTTTTCAACACTTTTCTTATACACCGTGAATTCAAACCATCAAATGTATTTTGGGATGGAGGCGGTATTTACAAAGTAATCATCAGAGACTTGGGGTAAAAGCATCCTTATTTTCACTTAGTCCAAATCTCCAATACTCTAAAAACATGTTAAATGAGTTTTGTTTATGGCAAACATCCACCCAAATGTTCTTGGTGTTAGAAGCACAATGAATTGCTCCTAATAGTATCCAAATTCATGCAGTGTATTGTACAAAAAAGCCTTAAGCTAGATAAAGTGCTAATGCTAGTGTTTGCAATTTCATTTTGTTGCTTAAATGAACATCTTTTGGGTTCACTAAAAGTCTAAAACCCCATCAGCTAAAAGCACATTTTGTTTTTGCTTATTACTTTGTACAGTTTCATTCTCGCTAATGGTTTCTGTAAAATCGTTGATGGCATTGTTTTTTGAAATTACTGTCTTATACCTTAACCAAGTGACTGACTCACTTCATGGTTGACAGAAAATTAGCCCTCCTTCTCCATTCACAGTGGTGAAGGGGGCACTTGATAGTGGTGGTCCTGTTTTGACACGGACACATGGCAACGAAGAGATAAGTGTCTGTGTGATGCGTTTGGCCAACATAATTCCTGGGGGAGACGAGGGAAACGATGATGATGGTGATGATGGGATTAATCAACTGTTTGTTCATGTTGACATATCTAAGCCAGGTCAAAAGGAGTCGTTACATTTTCTCTGTGGCTTATATCCTGATGCGTTGGGCATTCATTCAGTCACATTGAGAGCTAAGGAGGATATTGGGTTTCTTGAAGCCTCAAATAAATATGGAGGTCCAACTTTTCAGTAAGTTTCAGATGGATATACTAATTGTTGACAGTAAATTTATGATAGTATTTTCTAAATCATCATCTTCAAAAAATTGCCACAAATTGATGTCTGTGCATATTAAGTCAAGCCGTCAAGGAGTCTGGTCCTAAAGTTAAAGCATCTAAAAATCTCAAACTTTCAATATGATGAAGGTCTCTTTGGGATAACTTATGGTATAGCATATAAGGACTTTCTCATTTAAGGATCTAAAGTGATTCTTTGGAAAAAGCACTAATCTGATGCTGTCTTGATTCACAAAAACATGAGAAGGCCTCTTGAACAAGCACTTAATTTTTTTAAAATATAAACAGTTATTTTATTATTTAAAGAGTTATACAAACTTTAGTATTATTTGGTTGGGGGGTGGGGATCCTGTCCCCCCCCCCCCTCCAAATTCTTTGAAATAGAACACTATATCCAATAAAAATCTTAAACTGAAAACATTAATTTAGTAGTATTTGTAGCTATGGTCTACNCTGGTTCAAAACAATTGGCACATTCGTCGATGAGGGTAAAACAGCCTCGTCTGTCACTGCCTAGTTTTCTTTACATACTCATATCTGTGTAGAGTGAAGAAGACTGCTTGGGAAAAAAAGGGCTATGAAAAAAGTTGTCAAAATCATTGGTTTTCTAATGTTTCTGCAAGAAGGTTATTCCATTTGTTACTCACTTTGCTGCTAGTCTCTTAATCCATTGTTGTCTACTCCCCTGTCCATTCACTTTCTTATTACTAGAAAAAAAATGTGACTTGAAAACTCCGTGAAAGTCGAACACGGATGATATCAAGCACACATTTTGTTACGTTTCAACACTTCTCAAACCCCGTGAAAGTCAAACACAGATGATTTTTTTGGGATTGAGGTGGTATCCATTTCGTTGGGCTCGTTTGGCAACAAGTTCAATGTTTAGATGTAGTGTTTTGAAAAAGATATCTTAAAACACTATTAAGCTATAATGTTTTCAAAGTTAATCTATATCATTAAAAAATTATCTAAAATGCTAACGGTAATAAAAAAAATGTTATTTCCAAAACATTGTCCACAATGTGTATTTTCCCATGTCTCAAGATTATGGGTCTATCTCTTAATTAGGCATTTACTTGCGTAGTGACGTTAATAAATGTATAGGTAAATTAAAGCAGGACCAAATTAAGAAGGGATTGGACCTAAAGAAAGATTCCCAGAAAAAATAATCTAGGGATACACTAACATGGAGTACTCTATTTGTACACCAAGGTAACACAGACACACACAAATGGGGTATTCAATGTTGGTTACGACTAATGACTAAATGAGTTTGGACGAAGTATTTTTCAAATTGGTTACGACTAATGACTCAATGAGATTCATCCAACGAACATGAATAAAGAGTGATATGTAAACTTGAAGCTAATATCTTCACCACAAAAAGACTGCAAACGCTTTTAATTATTGTATTATATAAATAAGAAAAGACCAAGTTTCAATAATTGTCCGACGATGACACGTGGCCAACCCTTTGACTTCACCCAACTCAACGCTTTCTAATGGTGATTGCTTTCGTCTCTCATGGACCAATGCTTCCTCGACAATGAATATTCTTCACAACAATGGACTGGTCTTCATGGTCAGGGACAAAGAAACCAAACCCAATGTACCCATCCACAACACCTATCGAAGCATCAACGTTAACCTTTAGAAAGTTAATCCTCGGCGTCTCTCACATACACACATTCCTCATATGAGCTGGGGTACTACGTACAAATATATGATATATGATTATATGAGGGATATGATAAGATTAAAATAAAAGTAACAACTTAATTTTATTTTGTTTCAAATTAAATTATACTTTTTTACTTTCCTAGTAAGGAAAAAAGCATGGTTACAAAATATCAAATGTACAATTTTTGATATTTTAAAAAGTTGCTGATGTCAATACGTTTTTTTCTTAAATGTTTGGGAGAGAGACTATGAGGCTACAAAACATTAAATTATGTAAATGGGAAGTCAACAAATTAAGGAATTTCAATCATTTTAAAGTGGGACTTGGCCAAACTTCAAACTAGCCTATAGATGTTAGTGGGGGACATAAATGTGCGTGGCCATGGATTTTTCTAAATTGTATGCCACTAATATATTGTTGAAATTTTATGGTCTTATTCTTTTTGCCAATTTTCTTCTAAACAATTCACGAAAGAAAAAGACTAAAATATGAGTAACTCATTGAAAAATATATCAAAATATAAGTTCTATATTTTTGTTCTCGAAATAGAAATTAAAATAAATTTATATTACCAATCATGACCATGTACATAACTAAAAAGCATAGTAAAATGCATATATACAATTTTACGTCACCATAGTGCGAACTCATATATAAAGAATAGAAACATGAAACTCATATTTTGTTACTTTCTCTATATTTTTCTTCTATTTAGGGTGATTTTTTTCACGAAAATCAATTTCTTACTCCTTGTTTAATATATCTCCTTTATTTATCTTTGTTGAGAATGCATGTATTTTAATAAGATATTATTCATTTTGGGTCAAATTTTGTTAGGTTTGAGAAAATATTCAAAAAATATTTTTGTGTATTTCTGAACAATCTTATATACAACCATAAGAATCTACATGTTGGACAAACAAGGAAAGAAACAATACTAGTAAAAGGAATAAACCATACAAAAGAGGAAATAAATCACCTATTATTAATATTACTAATTCAATTAACATTCCTCATCAGAAAGATTGAATATTTCTGTACGATTCGTTAATCATTCTTGTAATTAGGATGGTAGAAATCGTTAATTTTTTGAATGAAACAACGTAATGCTCCCGTGTCATCTCATAACATTGCTAAGCAATGTCATGGAAACTGCTCCTAATTACAGTCATCAATAGTGCTACACATACACCACTTTTGTACATCACAGCTCTACACCATCACTCTGATGATTCACACTTGCACAAAATGTCAGTACAGTCGTAAAATTTTAAAATGACATTTTGTACTGGTGTAAATCGTCAAACTACTAGTACAAAATTGCGGTGTACAAAATGGGGTTTGGGGTACACCAAGCTAGCATGGTCCAACAATCATAATAATATACCCCTCTTTGTGTGTTGCGGGCCTAATTCGGGTTATAATTGGGTGCCCAAAACATATACTCATTAACGCCCGAAGGCCAAACACAACATGTGTAGCAGTGTAGGTACACCCTTCTGGCACCAATTCATTTCCTTCCCCATAGAGAGATGTTACAGTGCCGCTTTTAATGTCTTTACGCGTAAAACCATTTTTGACACTTTATTAAATTTTCTTTAATTAAAAAAAACATAAATCTTGAAATAAATCCAAACATCTTGACCGCTACCCCCGTTGATATATACAGGCACACGCATTTGGAGGGGGATTCATTCTCAGAAAATACACAACTCCCAAAGCTGGTTTTTTCCCTTCTTCTTCTCTATGTTTCTACAATAATCTTTGGATTTTTCAAGCTCAGCCATGGTGGGGATGATCAAGAACTGGAGGCCATGGCCTCCACTGTCGTCCAGGAAATTTGAGGCCAAGATTGTGGTTCACTGCCTAAAGGGTCTCAGAAACTCCCAAGAATCTGCTGGGGATTTGGCTGTTGAGATCAGGTGGAAAGGGTCGGCAAAGATCAGCCCGTTGAGCTCTCTGAGGAGGAGGAGGAGTGGGGAGAGGAGGAATTTGACAAAGGTGCAGTCTTTGGTGGAGGAAGATGGCGGTGATGGGGTTTCTGTTTGCTGGAATGAGGAATTTCTTTGTGTCTGCAATTTTTCAGGTTACAAGGGTGCTGGATTTCTTCCATGGGAGGTTTCTTTCACTCTCTTCAATGTGAGTTCTTTGATTGCAGTTCAAGAATTTCCTATCATTTTTCTCTTTGTTTTTTTTTTTTAATTTTTGAAGTTGGGTTTTCCTATTTATGTTTTAATCTTTGAAATAAAAATTTATACATGTATAATCAAGGTACAAGTATTATGGAATTAGAGGTTTTTTTCTGTGTCTGTGTGAAGTCTCTTGACAATCAGAAGGGGTAAGAGGATCTTCTGAGTTCTGATCATATCCAAATTTCCAGTGAGATTTCAAATTTTTACCCCTCCCAGAAGTAGGGGTAAATTTGGTCCAAATATGAATTTCTGAAACTTGTCATAGAGTTTAGGTCTAAGAGATGTTTTGATAAAGGTCTGCTTATACTCGCACTCCAGACCCCGATTCAAGTGGGTTTGTTGTTGTTTATAGGAGAAATGATTTTGGTTCCTATAAATTTCTTGCAATATGTAAATCTTTGCATAGTTCTGAAAAAAAAAAATAAGGGAATGAATATTTGATCATGCTGGAATTATGGCTATGGTTCTTTTTCCAACAGCTCAATCACAAAACACTCTCCATGAATTATGGCTTTTATTTATGGACTTGCTGCATCTTTTGGAATTGTTCTTTTTTTCTTTTCCAATGACAAAATAAAACCATTTTGATTTGCACAAATTTATCCGTTCACACACCGGAGTTGGGAGTGTCACACCTTCCACATTTCACCATTCTGGTGGCAATGCATTGCTGCATTTATATTACCCAAAGCTTCATAGAATGTAAGAAGTTTAGTGTCAATAATGACTCTCTTAGCTCTATCGGCAATGGACCCAAATTTCCTCCTTTTGATGCCCCCTTTTTTTGTGGCATGCTATCCAAAAATAGAATTTTTCGTGCCTTACCGTCGGGGAATATATTAATATTATACCTATTATTTATATGTAACAAAAAGAACAAACCCAGAGAAGTAGGGTCTAGGGAGAGTGTGTACGCAGACCTTACCCCTACTCTTAGAAGCAGAGCTATATTATATATATATGTGTGTGTGTGTGTGTGTGTGTGTGTGTTGATGGAATATTTGTTTCCTAATGTATAGGGCTTGAGTGTGGAACCGACAGCTATCGCCACTGCATCATTAAACCTTGCAGAATACATTTCATCTGCTAAGGAGAAAGACTTTGAGATTACCATCCCAATGGAAGTCTCTAGTCCACAGTGTGTTCCAAGCAGTCCTATACTTTGTGTAAGTACTATTATCAGCATGACGCCTACCGATCTTCCATTGCCATTTTTACCCTCCACTGTCTAAAGATGTGTGCAATGCTGCTGCAGCTGTCTCTCAACCTCAGGGAGTTGAAACACGCTAATGAACCAGTGAAAAAGCCCGTCGCGTCCCCGACACATGGCGAAGTTCTATTGGATGAGAAAAACACAGCAGCAGCAGCAGCTTCGCCTTTGAAAGTAGGTCTTGAAAGAGTTAAGATATTTACGGGATTGTCCCCTCGGGATCACAAGAAGGTTGTGGGCCATGAAGAGGAGGGGAGTCCGGTTGGAAGCGAGGACACCGAAGAGAACTACCCTTTGGACACGGACTCATTCGGGGACTCAGATGAAGGGGTGGAGCCCGAAGAAGGAATCAGAGCGGACAGGAAGTCCTTCAGTTATGAGGCATTGGCCTATGCAAACCTCGCCGGAGGAGGATCATACTATTCCAATACGAGTGGGAGTGAAGATGAGGATTGGGTATACTATAACCATCGAAAATCGGACGGCGATGATGCAACTAGAATGCCACTAGTTGATGAATCTACGCGGCGGGGTTCAAAACGGGGGATTCTCCCCTGGGGAAAGAGGAGATTGAGCTTTAGGTCCCCTAAGAGGAAAGGGGAGCCATTATTGAAGAAAGGGGAGGAAGGCGGCGATGATATTGACTTCGACCGCCGGAAGCTCAGTTCACCAGATGAGCCGCCCGAGCTGCCCTCGTCCCCGGTAAGTTCCGTTTTTAGTTTTAGGCCTCGTTTGGGAACGGCGTTTTCAGTTAGCGTTTTGGGTTGTTTTCTAATGGTACAGATTAACTTTGAAAAGTGAAAACACTATAGTTAAACACTTCTGTTAGATAGCTTTTTCGAAACGCTAAACCTGCTGTGAAACGGGCACCTAATCATCTTCAAGTAGTGCCTTTTTTGCCTATGTCATATAGTGACAGTTCTTCTTATGATGTGAAAATATATCCATATTATCCATGCAGGTGATGCAGCATTGCAAAACTGAATTAGATTCAACCGAAAACCGGTCGCCCGTCGCGGAATTCGGAGACGACAACTTTGCTGTTGGGAGCTGGGAATTGAAAGAGATTGCAAGCCGCGACGGGGAAATGAAACTGAAAACTAAGGTATTCTTTGCTTCCATTGATCAACGCGACGAACAAGCGGCGGGCGAAAGCGCTTGTGCCGCCCTTGTTGCCGTGATCGCCGATTGGTTTCATTCCAACCCTCCCAAGGAGATGCCCATCAAGTCCCAACTCGACTCTCTCATTCGCGAAGGCTCGCTCGAGTGGAGGAAGATGTGTGAAGTCGAGATCTACAAGGAACGTTTCCCCGACAAGCATTTCGATCTCGAGACGGTCCTACGAGCCGAGATCCGCCCGCTCTCGGTTTCCCCGGAGAAGTCCTTCGTCGGGTTCTTCCGTCCCGAAGAGTCGAGGACGGGGACGGGTTCGATTTCCTCAAGGGCGCCATGTCGTTCGACGACATCTGGGACGAGGTCAAGAACGACGCGGGCCCCACATCGGTGTACATCGTGAGCTGGAACGACCACTTTTTCGTGCTGAAAGTCGAGCGGGACTCGATCTACGTCATCGTGACGTTGGGCGAGCGCCTCTACGAGGGTTGCAACCAAGCCTTCATCCTCAAGTTCGACCGCGACACGGTGCTATCGCGGTCGACCGAACCGACCGAACCGTCTCCCGATAGAACCGAAGAAGAGCCCGAAGACGGGAAACGAGAAACGGTCACGTGGAGAGGAAGGGAGGCTTGCAAGGAGTACATCAAGAGGTTCTTGGCAGCCATCCCCATTAGGGAATTGCTAGTTGATCTGAAGAAAGGGTTGATGGCATCATCATTGCTCCTTCATCAACGGCTTCAAATCGAGTTCCATTGTACGAAGAACGTCGATCGTGCGATCGAGCCACCTTCACTAACTGCTAATGGTGATGACGACGACGACAACAACAACAACAACAATTCCTCAGAAACACAACCAGTTTTAGCAGAGTAAGTGTTGATTCAATGTGAGAGTATATACATATATAACCTAACATCATCCCTACCTTTTCCCTTTTTGTAAAAAAGAAGAAGATGAACCCAGTCTCTTAGAGAGTCTCAGAACCAACCAGCCGAACAGTTACCTGAAAGGAGGTAAATTATCCCTTATGGTCTCGAGACCCACTTGATAGAAGAAGTAAATTGAGTTATAATCCCGATCTGGCAAGGAGAGAAGTATGTCTCTGGTATCTGTTAGGGGTATATTGGTCAATTCTAGGGAAACTTCTCTTTTGACACCAGGGAAGTGTCCTTTTTGCATATGTGGGGTGGAAAATCTGCTTTGCTAGAAGGGCATGCCTTTTTCTTTTTTCTACTTTACTTTTTTTTTTTTTTTGACTTTTTGGGTCCAGTGGCATTTTTTTTTGCCTCTTTAAGAATGTAAATCAGTAAATGACTGAAGACTAGTAAAAGTGAATGCAATAAGTTTCTATCTCTAAAAGAGATGGACATATGTATTGTGTCATTAAATACTTATTACTCCATATTAGTGTAAGAGATGTACTGAGATTTTTTATTATCTACTCATAAAAGTTATACTATTACTTTATGTTCATTTTCAATTTGTTTCTCTTGAATGTTATTGCAGGATAATGGTCTCTGAAATGAGATTTTTTTGGGCCCTATTGTAATGTGTGGATTTTTTGTGTTTTAAAATTAGTGTTTCATTGATTTTTCATCATTAATAATGCAAAACTTTGACTGCTAAAATATATATTAGTGTAAAAAAATAATTAAAATACATTTGATTTTTCATGATTAATAATGCAAAACTAAAATATGTATTTATACTATATTAAAAACTTTGGTCTTAAAAAAATAAACTTTCTGCCCAATTTCTCCACTAACCCAAACAAGCTTAAAACTTTGGTTTACTGACTTTTTTTTCCTTCCTAAGCAATTTCATTTCTTCCATAATTTCTTGAACCAAACATAATGGTCAAGGCGTGTAAAACTATTTGAAAAATGAAGTACTCAGTATCATTTTGAACTAAATTTTACTCCGTCTCACAAATCATTTCCAGTTTGAAAATACCAGTATATTTTTTTGTTTTATATTCTAATTTTTAATTTTCTATTATTTGCTACCCTATTATAAAGTAAGGACAAAAGTACGGAGTAGAAAATAACACAAACATTATGCATTATCGGTCTCGTTAGTGTTAGCATTTTGAAAAGACTATCTAACATTACCTTTTAGCGTTATGATTTTCAAAGTTAATCTACAGTGTTAAAATTTTATCTAAAATGCTAACGTTAATCAAAAGCGATGTTCCTAAACAAACCTTTAAAGACTGTCATTTTTCACACTGAAAATGTTTTGTATGACAGGGTGTATTAAATTCATTAAATCCAGGCAACAAATGGTTCATTCTCACTGTCCTTGGAGAGAATCATTCACTCATTCATAGATAAATAAATAAATAAATAAATAATATATTACCTTCCAAACCAAAAAAAAAACAAAAAGAAATATGAAGAAATTTACAAGGCACCATGGTATTTTTCAAACACAATAAATATAGCTAGGCCAAATGCTGCTTTTGCAGTCCTGATATTAAGAGAGTGACTGTGGTACTAACTAAATCTTCCTTGTTCACTCAGAACAGAGATGAGAGGCCAGCTTTACCACTCCATGCATGGATGCATCATTCTGTGCATTGTATTAAGGAATGAGTTACCGATAAAACGGATAAGGTCGGTGTCGTAATACGTAGGACACTCATGTCATTTGAGGGTCTTACAGTGGTCCGTTCGATCTTGAAGCGGTCCCTACCCCCCTAACACCCCCCCCCCCCCCCCAAGAAAACTCGGGACTTTGTGGTGGGTGGGTGGGGGGAGGTTCCTAATTGTGCGTGTGTCTAGAAAACAACCAAACTATAATCAAAAGTAACCGAGCAATTTGGTCTAGTGACTCTAGTCAACTTAGAAGATTTGATCTTTGAAGTTCGGTCACGATAACAAAAATATACTCCCTCCGTCCCAGAAAAAACCTTTCTCCTTTCTTTTTTCATCCGTCCCAAAAAACACTTCTCATTTCAATTAAAAAGTCACTTTTACCCCTTACTTTTTCATACCCTACCTATCACATCATACCTTTTTACTAATAATCTATCCTTCAAATCATACTTTTATCCATCACAGCAAAGGACATTTTTGAAAATTCAATACTAAAATACACTCTCCTTAAATCCCTCTTCAAAATCAAAACTCCCATGTTTTCCGGGACGAAGGGAGTATTTTTTTTTGCTGCAACACGCTCCCTCATATACACTTACGTTCTAAAAAGGCGATAAAATCAAGTCTCAAGAAGAGCAAAAAGAGTTCACATACCAGATAAAGAACGTCGAATGCATTTCTATAGCTGTCAAGAGAATCCTCAATGTTGTGGTTTCTGCAATGATTTTTTTATTCAGTTTCCTTTTTTGAAAGACAGGTGAAGTAATTTTCACAAATTCATAAGATAAGCGAAGCTTCAACTTACAGAAAACCGACAGAAATTCGAGTTTCAAAATTTAGACCATCGGACATTCCTAAGTCTCCAATGTGGTCGCCGAGAAGCAAAACATTGGTTCTCTGCTTTAGAGAAGATTCCTCATTAACCATTCCCTTGTCTTCATCAAATTGGTCATGAAGAGGGGCAGCCATGTCAAGTGCATGCTCATTCTTGTTAAGAACATGAATGGTCTTCCCTATAAAACACAGCTTACGAAATTTCGGGCATGATCTAATAATAAATATGGATAAGGTCATGAAAGGGAAGTTATTTACATATACTCCCGCAAAAATCTTCACCTTCCTTTTTTCATCCGTTCTTGAAAAAAAACTTCACTTTCCTTTCAAGGAAAAGAATGTGCCTCAAAAAGTTTATCTCTTCAATCCCAACCACATTTTTTTCACATGTCAATACTTTTTTAAAACTCTGTGAAAGTCAAACACCGAAGATTTTTATGGGACGGAGGTAGTAGATGCTTTTACTTGTTTCAAAAGTCATCTCATATGTTTAAGGCTGAAAAGCCCGGGAACGAACTTCAATAAACCGTGCCACGCTAGTATTGTTACATAAATATGAAAAAAATGATACCTTTAAAGTGCAATAAGTGGCCATTCTCATCAAACACCATCCTATTGGATACAATCCTCACATTCTTGAAAGATTTACACAGTTTCTGCCTTAGTACCTGACAGCAAAAGCAAGTTAGGCGTTGTTGATAAACTTTTTAATAATATTAGGCTCATTAAACTAAATTTACTGTATTCAACTTGTTTGAGACACCATTTGTATAATAGAAAACATAAAAATAAGATGAAAATTGGCTTCTTTAGTTTAAATATGATTCTTTTTGGGGGGTCAAAAGAAGTGTACAAAAAAGACATTTTTTGGGACGGAATACTAAAGAACTGACCTCCTCTATAATGTCTGCAAGACCAGCCGAAAATATCAGAACGGGCACATTTCTCTCCTGCAATTCATTGCAGAACCCATAGCAAGTCAGATCAATCAAGAAGTGGAAAAGAATGAAGAGCATCCAAATGATCAAAATAATTCACCTCAAGAAGTTCAAATAGTTCAGCAACGCCGTCTCTGAAAGCAATATTTGCATTCGCCACTGATTTTTTAATAGCATCATATGTAAGACCTCCTTCAATAAGAAGGCCATGTGTTTTACCCCACCTGCAGAAGTGAGTATGAAATTAAAGACCCTAGACCCTTGTTTCTTCAAGCATTATCATATTAAAACGAATCGCCTTTGTAGAGTTTTTGTTTTTGTTTTTGAAGAAAAGCTCGCGAAGCTTGCAAAGTATGGACTTATTACTTTATGATATTGTATTGGAAGGTTGGATCAGGCGAAGAAGCATACCACTCTTCCATGAGCCGGGCCTTCTCATCAAGTGGTATTAACGGGTTAAATTCTAATGGATGATAATAGTCATGTAATTTCTGCCTCTTGATATTGTACTCCGGATTCTCCTGTTGCAAAAGGCCATGACTGCCTATAGATTTTGTATCAAACATGTCACTTGCTTGTTGTTGGAGAGAGAGAGAGAGAGAGATGCATTCTTTTGACAATCTACATGCATCTACTTGTACCTTTGAGAAAATACGGAAACTTGAATACTTACTCTTCCCTCTTTGTCCATCAATCCAATATTTTGTCAACGTTGCATCAAAATCTGCAATTACCTAGTGCATTATAAACCATCATATGAACCTTACGAAGTAGAAGCACAAAGAGCACGGGGGACATTAAAATTTGAAGTCAGAACATGACAAGAAACACAAATTCATTTTGGGACGGAGGGAGTATTAAAAGTTTTCAAGCCTGACATTTGGCCTGACTATGGAAGGATGTGATTGTCTCAGCTAGAAACTTGTGGGATAGACTATTTCAAATCATCATCGCCTCATACTATTTCTACGCAGGTAGAAATAATGAGAAGGTTCTAGCACTAAAAGCCGTTTGGCCTAAAACTTTACCTCTGTGATTTTTTGCTTGATTTAAGGGCGTTAGTTGATTTTAGACCATTGATAGAAATTTCAAATTTCATGACTCAGATCTCAACTAGTTGAGATTAAACTGCTGACTATTATCATTCACATTACATCTCGACAGTCATCGAACAACAAAACTCCATCTCAAGAAAGAAACAATCACAAAAGTCAAACTCTATTTAGACTAGTGTACCCGTTTGGAAACAACTTCAGTGTTTTGAAAAAGCTATCTGATTGCATATTTAGCCTTAACATTTCCAAAGTTATATGTGCCATTAAAAAAACCATCCAAAATGTGTCTTGAAAATGCTGTTCGCAAACAAGGCCAGTGTCAGTTCCACAGAGATTCCATATTTCCATACTCTACATCCACAACTTGTCCATGAAAAATTCATGTTTTTGAGTCTCGAAAACGTTTCAGGAGCTAAAATCCAAGCTGTTCTTAAATGCTTCCTAGCATCTAGTTAAGCACAATTCCTAAAAGCAACACAGATTTCTCTCTTTTTTTTCTTCTTCTTTATTTAATACAAATGTATGAGAGAACTTGGAGCTTTGAAGGTCCTGCACGGCGAATGGCAGATATTTTCTTGTGCAGTGAATCAGCTTGACCAACCACCACCTGCGACTCTGAGCCATCAATGACCACTGCTTCCATTCCCGCTTGATTTCCACCACTCACCATACAACTACAAGCAAATTACACCCTAGGGTCATTCCCAGAAAGAAGAAAACAAAAACAAGAAA